GGCCCACCCGAGGCCCCCTCCTTCCTCCCAAGCACACCCACACAACCCTCTCTCGCCTTGGCTGGAGAGATGCTCTCAGGTGCCAGTGTGCAGCGGTGCCAAAGGCGCTGGAGGGCTGGGGCTGCACAGGAGACCTTCCAACCAGTGCTGAGGACGCTTCTTATCTTTCCTCCTCTTTTAAAATACTCCCTTGTTCCCACCGCATCTTGGAGGAGCAAGGAGTGATTGGAAGTAACGGACGCAGAGGTTTTATTTATGAACCTTCAGGAAGTTCTCGGCAAGTCACTCAACAGGACCCATGAGTCCCAGGATAGCCCCAGCTCCTGGCACCAGTTCAGCCTGGCACTGCCTTTTGGTAGCCAACCCAAAGCCGAGGGTGAGGATGCCGCATGACCCCTGACTGCTTTTAGGGTAATGACACTACCGGTAGCCTGGACCCTGGTGGCCTCGCTTTGTGAGCATCCCCACCAGGTAAGCACACCCCAGGGGTCTCTAATGATCATCTGGGTGGAACCTCAAGCTCCCAAGAAGTAAGCCCATGCTGTTCAGCCCCAGACAGAGGTGGGAGACTGCTTTTATCACAGGACATTGTGGGAGACGGGACTGGGAGGTGGAGTTCATTTTTATTTTTTAATTGATGTGTAGAGATGAGATGCATAGGGGCCTGAATTTTTGTAGGAAGTGGCCACAGAGAAGGGCTGGGTGACAGGCGTCTGAATTCCTGCAGGGACTGAAGGGGGAGCAAAGTCTAAATGTTTGCAAGAAACCGATGAGGAGCGGTCGGTGAGAGGTTAGAAGCCTGGAAAATGTGCAAGAAATTGTAAAACGTGTGTATGGATCTGCGCATTTCCGAGAAACGGTGGGAAAAGCACTTACCGCCCTGGTTTCACCTGTCACCGGTGCTCAGCCTTCTGGAAGATGCGCGCAGACAGGCAACAATGGCCGCGCCTGGAGCCCGCGGCGCTCAGCACCTCGGACAGCGCCCGGGGCCGCCAGTTCAGCACCTCGGACAGCGCGCAGGCGGCGGCGCCCAGCGAGAGCAGGAATGGGGCTCCCTTCTCCTGGAGCCAGGAGAAAGGTCTGGAATCCCCAAAGCGAAGGTGGATCCCAATTTCTGATGTCTTCTAACTGCTTCCCATGGCTGCAGAAGGAAGAGGCGGAGTATAAAAATAACCCCCAAGCTTCCGTGAACACTACAGCTGGACGGGTGTGGCCTCCTGGATTTTGAAAGGTGAACCCAGATTTCTTCAAAATCTAACATGTATGGAGTGCTTACCCCGTGCCAAGGCCCCGGGCTGAGTGCCATCTCGTGTGCTATTACCCCCATTTTACAGATGGGAAAACTGAAGTAAAAGAAGCTCACTTGCCCAAGTTTATGCAACCGCCAAAATGGTAGAGCCCTTCCTAAACTCCACACCAGGCTGCAGTGGTGGGAAGATGTGCCTGAGGGGCATTCCTTCTGTGAAATAGCTCTGAACATGGGATCAGAGGAACCAAGTTTGAATCTAAGCTATACAACTTATAAATGTGTGCTCTTGGGCAAAACCACTCAACGTGTCTGAACCTCAGGCTTGGCTTGTATCTATAACCTTAGGTTAGTAATGCATTCCTTGCAGAAATGTAGCGGGGTAGGGTGGTCAGAGATCATTATGTGAAAGACTCAGAAAACTGTGGATTGTGGTTGGGTGGAGGCGAGAAAGGAGGGAGCTGGTGACTGATTGGAGGAGAGAGAGGGTTGGTGGTGAACACTAGCGGCTTTAAGGGGGGGGGGCGCTGGGTGACACAGAGCAGGGCTCAAAACTAGGATTCTGGGTGCATTAAATTCAACATAATAATCCCATATATTTTTACTGGACTTTGTAGAGAGTGTTCACACATTGCCTATCATTAGATCCTTATAACAGTCTTGTGAGGCAGAACTGGAATTCTATTTACTTGGTGAAACGATGCTCAGCTACCTGGTAGCAGGGCCAGTATTAGAACCCAGGTCTTCTGCCTCTGTACTCTGTGATCCCTCCACACGACTGGTACACCTGCAAGAGCTTGGGTGACGCAGCAGTCACAGCTCTCAGGTAGTTTTAGGTGAGCACTGCACATACATACTGGCTTGAACTGCGTGAACCTGACACTTTCTTTGACCAATTTTTACCTACAGAGACAGTAACTTCATATGGATCAACCTAATAAATGTTCATTGATTATATTCTGTTTTGTCCCACAAAGAATTGAGAGCAATTTATGAGGATCCACAAGATGCCGTATTAGAAGTAGTTGAGAAAACAGAGGAAAGGCAAGATTAAGGCTATAGCCAGAAGTAGAATAAATGCAAAGTACGCATATTATAAAGTCCTTAGAAACTTTGTCTTGCATTTTGGTCAGTTAAAGAATTTCTGTTGGGAGGCTCACAGTGAAAAAATGGTCATAGACAACCTGAAAAGTAGTTCACTGCACAAAGACATATGTCCATAGATGGGCTGGGTATTCCAGACCTCCATCCTGCTCTCTCCGTGGGCATCGGGAGATAGTGTATTAGGCTTGAGCTCAAGTGAGCAGGTGGCCACTGACTCCATGTTCAGGGAGAGGAGCGTCTCCTAGATCTACCCTCCTTCCCCCCCTCTTTGACTTAGACGTATGTGATTGGTACCACACACACCATGGGATGATAACCAAATAATCCACCTGCGTCTCCTTCCCACCTTTCTTTCCTTTTTCTCTTCCTCCCTTGCTCCATCTTTTCCTTTATTCTACTTTCCAATGACCACACCGCTGGTGGGGGAGAAAGACAGTGTTCTTGTCTGAAGAGACTCAGAGTCCTGGGAGGAAGCTGACCCAGATGCTGAACAAGGCTAATACTCCAGTAGAGAAAGTTGGCAAGTATTAAGGAACCCAGGGGATACAATATCCATTTTATCTTTTAGGGGGTGTGTGTGTGAGTGTGAGAATGTGTGGGTATGAGTGTGAGAGTGTGTGTGGGGGAGTGTGGGACTGTGTGTGTGTGAGAGAGCATATGAATATGCAAAGATGCTATATGGCATTCTAGTGAATGCATACACTACCCTCTATTTTGTTCATGACGGGCTGTTTCAGTTTTGTTTTTTTATGAATATTTTATACATGTTTTGCTACATGTATTTATCAGTATTCTGTTGCTGTTAACAAACCATCCCAAAATGAGTGACTTAGAAACAATAACTGCTCATTTGTTTGTATTTCTGCAATTTGTACCAGGCTCTGGGAACCTCTGCTGGCCTCACCTGGGTTCCCTCATGTGTTATAAACATCTGGGTGGGGCTGGCTGGTTGAGGTGGCTCCAACTCTCCCTCGCCTCTCTTGAGTGATTTTCTTCTTGAATAAAAAGAAAGTCATATTTGAGCTGAAGTTCAGAGGAGGCTGAATAACTAGAGAAGAACAGAGAACCCTGATAGTCAGAAACATGAATGGTGCTAAGAGGAGGAAAAATAAAAAGTAGGACATTTGAGAAAGAGCCAGGTTCCAGTGGAGATGGAGTCAAAGGGCTGGTGCTGCTGGACAGGGCAGGAGGTGCAGGGCCCGCGACGGCCACCAGAAGGCAGCAGTTTCCCTGCATGTCCCCTTTATTTATCCCTTGGAAATTCTGCTTCAGATGTTTAGTGCTTGGAGACTAACAACCTTATTGGGACTTTAGTAGAACAATCATATGTAGGATCACGGAAGAGTTAAAACAACAGAAATAGGGAGAGAGAGACAGAGGGAGCGAGAGGGAGGAAGGGAGACAGGGATATCAGTAGGAGACGAAAGAATAAAGAAGCATAGAGATGGAGAGAGAAACTTGTCGGGAATATATTGAATTACACTGTCCTTGGGTGATGGCATTTTTACAGAAAATCTCACAGGAACACATAAATACAACCTCAACAAGATCAGAGTCGGAGCCATTGGAACAGTGCTTTTGTGAGAAGCAGAAAATGATCGGAAGCAGAAAGACGCAGACAAGATTGTTAGCCATAGTTACTGTGTAGAGGAGAGGGTCCCTGAGGAGGGGCCGGGTGTGAAGTTCATGGGAGATGCGGGGGAGGGGCCTGTGCACTGGCGCAGACTCAGTGCTGAAGCACCCCTCTTCTTCCTCGCGGAAGCCGTCTTGAGCAACAGCCAGTTTGAAGGCTCTTGAGTCCAGGAAAAAAGTGACTGACATGGGGAGACCAGAGAACCTGGGATTTACAAGGCTCAGCTGAGGACGCTCTGACGTGAGCTTTATTTCCTAGTATTTGTGAGGAAAAACGCAACCTCCTGGCTCATCTCCTGCCTCGTCTCTGTTTAACCGAGGGACGGGTGAAGCATGGCACCTTTGGAACTGTTCTGAAAATCTGGATGAGGTCGAGAACTCCGACATCCGCTGGAAAAGTGGCGACAACAACCAGGAGTGGGAGAACTGATCGATTTTTCATCTTACAATACTTTTCTTCTGGTCTCCTCTATTATAACAGCAATGCATGCTTTAAGAAAGACAGCAGACAGAAAATAAAAACTATACATAAGCCTGTTACCCAGAACAAAAAGGACATTTTGGTGCGTTTCCCACCAGTCTTTTTGATACACACCCAGGGCAGCAGTGTGTTGCTAAGTGCTGAGGCTGCCGTCATGGGCAAGACAGACACAGCCTTTCCTTAGGGGCTCAGACCTGAGTGGCCCGGACAGGCGTTACACAAAATTCCTGTAACTACGTTTGTGATCAGTGCTGTGCAGTCAGCGCAAGAACAGCTTGCATTTTTTTACTGCTTACTGTGAGCTGGGCATTATGCCAACCGCTTTACATGTGGTGACGTGTTTTGTATACACTGTCTTATTTAATCTTTACGATTACTGATGGGGTAGCTTACTCCTGTGACAACCCCTTACACACATTACAGATGAAGAGACAGACTCGGAGAGTCAGATGGTTTGGGACCAGGCCTGGGTTCGCCTGTGCGCAGACCCTCTCATGGCCACTAGGTCCGCGGTTGGCCGCGTGATGTTTCCTCTCTTGTTCCCTTGCCAGGTCTGATCACCTCTGTGGCTCAGAGACACTAAGCTGTAGCCAGAGGATGGACGACAACACGGAGCTGAGGACTGGTGGAAACTCTCTTCTGAAGGCCGTGTGGCTGGGGAGGCTCAGGCTGACCAGACTCCTCCTGGAAGGAGGCGCCTACATCAACGAGAGCAACGACCAAGGCGAAACGGCGCTCATGGTGGCGTGTATCACCCAACACGTGGACCAGCAGAGCATCAGCAAGACCAAAATGGTGAAGTACCTGCTGGACAACAGGGCCGACCCCAACATTCAGGACAAGTCTGGGAAGACCGCTCTCATCCACGCTTGCATCAGGAGAGCTGGGGGGGACGTGGTCTCCTTACTGCTGGAGAGCGGAGCGGACCCCAGCCTCGAGGACCACAGTGGGGCCTCCGCTCTGGTTTATGCCATCAACGCTGATGACAAGGACACCTTGAAACATCTCCTTGATGCCTGCAAAGCCAAAGGGAAGGAGGTGATTATTATAACAACAGATAAATCATCTTCAGGCACCAAAACCACCACGCAGTATCTTAATGTCCCTCCTTCACCCAAAATGGAGGACAGAGAGCCACCCACGCTGTGCACCTCTCCCTCCGACAGGGCACGGGAGGCCCCTGGCCTGGGCTCTCCACCCTGTGAGGAGGTGGATGACTTCTTTGGTCTCCAAACAGGGCATCCGAGTACTTGCAACACCTCCAAGGCTCTTTACGAGCCTGGGTCACCCACCAGGAAAGTGGGGAGCCTCAAAAGGGCCCGTTTGCCTCAACTGAAGAGGCTCCAGTCGGAACCCTGGGGCCTGACTGCGCCCTCCGTGCTGGCAGCTTCCTCGCCTCAGGATGAGACCCGTGGTGCCGGCACAGACAGCGAGGTCCTCAAGAGTGTTAGCAATGTGTCCTTCCCCAAGAGGGGGCTCCTCTCCAGAGCCAGCAGTATTGACAGCAGAGACCCCGCTGTCTTCCCCGCGGTCACCGAGCAGGTCCGGAAGACCCCAGCCTCTCCAGTGCTGACACCCTGGAAGGCAGCTGATCTGGCCAGAAGAGGAACTCTCCCTGTTGACCCAGAGAAGGGTGGTCTGTGTCCACTGGTACCTGCTGCTCTCAAAGATGCAGCATCCCTTAAACAGCTGGAAAATGACCTCTATGACTTAGATTTACAGCCGGGGGCTAACCCACCCAATACTATTTCCCCGGAATCAGGCAAAGGACCGTTAGAGAGAAAGCAGCTCTTCCGTGGCTCTCGGGAATCCCTGGACGCCACGGCCAGCTCATCGCCCAGCTCGCTGCGCCGCGGGCTCCCGCACCTTCTAGAGAGACGAGGTTCTGGAACTCTGCTGCGTGACGGGATTTCTCACACCAGGCCTGGCTTCCTTCCACCTTTATATGTGAATCTGAACCCCCCAGCCCCGGACATTCAGTCTAGCAGCAAGCCTCCTTCTCCACTGGCTAGTGGCTTAAAATCCGTGGTTCCCGTTGCTCCAAGTTCGCCAAAGAGAGTTGACTTGAGGAGTAAGAAGAAGCTGCTCAGGAGGCATTCTATGCAAGTCTGACTTTGAAGAGATCATGACCTAGAAGCAATTAGGTCCCTCTTCTTGTTTTACATCCAGACAATTTATAGATAGTACCACAATCTAAACCAGTGGTTCTCAACCTTCCTAAGGCCGCGACCCTTTGATACAGTTCCTCATGTTGTGGTGACCCCCAACCATAAAATTATCTTTGTTGCTACTTCATAACTGTAATTTTGCTACTGTTATGTCTTAGGCGACCCCTGTGAAAGGGTCGTTCGACCCCAAGAGGGGTCGCGACCCACAGGTTGAGAACCACTGATCTAGACCAACACAGCCAAGTGGATTCTGTCTTGTTCTCTCCTTAGTGCTGGTGTGTGGCTGCTTCGTACGCGATGGAGACAGGGTGCTGTTTCTCTTCTGAAATAATCTCTGTGTTTTTATGGGCCTGCTTGAAAAGAGCTCGGGATATTTGGGGTTTGGAGATGACCCTCCCCCAATTCTCCTAAGGAAGAGAATGTTTGGAGCAAGAAAGTAACGCCACAAGTAAAATGACCTTAGTCATTCACTCCCGTTATTTTCTATCAGACAAGAATTTCAGTCATAGGATGGCATTTGAAATATGTCCTTGGTAATAAATCTATGAAGTGTCTGCAGAGAAAATGAGGCTTTAACAGTCGTTACAACGTGCAGAACTCCAAAACCAGCCCCGAGCTACTACATCTGGGTCTCTGTGTTACATGTGAAGGTACAGGAGCGGAGACCCCATCAGAGAGGGCCTGGCCCGTGGTCCCGCCTGTGCCGTGTGGTGCTGCCTATCACCGCACAGTCGCGATCTCTCCGAAATCCAGTAACCGCTTAATTCACACAGTCATGTGGATGTGCTCAGTGTCCCCCGATATCACATTTTCATGTCCCCCCATTTCTTATGTATCCGAGCAGCTGGTGCCTCAGAGGAGAATCTTGCTCTCTGTGGAAAATGTGGGAAATGTCTGTGAATTGATTTGGATCAAACGGGACACAGGTTATAGGACACATCGATAAGAAGTGTTTCCTGGTTATTCTGAGAATAATTGCTGTCTCCCCAAACCAGGATGACTAACGATGGTGGGAGCTGCCCAGGTTGAAAAGTGAAGCAGGTGGTTTTCAGGCCAGGAGCAGTGGGGACCTTCTAACCATGTACCCTGAAAATGTTAGAGGGTGCAAGCTGTCATTTCCCCTCTACTTATCGAGGTAATTCAAGGGTCACATTTTAGCGAACAGTATTTCTGGTTATTTTTCCATTTATTTTTCCTTTCGTGCTGCTTAGATATATTTGCTCTATGGTTAAGAAAACTTAGTAGTCCTTGAGGATAGAATCATGTACAGAAAAGAGGGAAGGGTTTGAGATTTGGGTGTGCATCTCAGTTTCATCATTTCCCAACAACATGACCTTGAGGGAGTTGCTTAACTTCTCCAACCCTCCACTTCCTCATCGGTAAAGTGGGGTCCATCATGCTTCACGGTGCACGGTGGTGGCGAGAATTAAGTGAGAGTGTGTGAACGCGCCTGCTACCTACCGTGAGTGGTAATCACAGCTGGGTAAGTGGTAGCTCATTTCAATGGACTTCTTCAGACCACTGAAGCCTCGGAGTCTAAAATAATACATAAAAAGTGAAGTCTAGCTGGAAAATTCAAGTGTCCCCCTGAAGAGCCTCGGTGATTCCGTAAATACCGAGCCCTAAACTGATCTGCAAAGTAAAATAAATTCTCATTTGCAAAGTCCCATGAGCTCTCCACGTCATACTCTCTACCATAACATTTGCTAGACATGTATCTATATAGCTCACACAAAAGTGTTAATGATGGTTAGAATTAAAACAGGTATTTGTTCGTTTTTTACTTTTTTCACACCCAACGTTAGTTCCATCTTATACTTTCCAAAGCAGCATCTAAACCATGAAGGAAAATTCAAGTTCCTTTAGTTCTTATTATTGGAATCCTACCTAAAGTGCTGTTTGGAAAATAGAAACCAGGCCTATGACAACTATGTACTTGTTAAAAGGGTAACCACTAAAATCTAGGTGGCAAGATACATTTTGGCGGTGAGGGTCATATGTACATGGAAAAATGTATGCCCTTTCTAGACAAACAATTCATTATCATCAAACAATTCTTTTGTACAGAAAGTACTCTGCTTAAATCACACCCCAATCCATCGCCTGTTTCTGTAACCATTAGTTAAACAGAAGATTCACCCTTATTTACTGCTCGTCTATGCTAATATACGACCTTGTCACCAGCCAGGTTTGGTGAGAAGTGTTCTTTTTTAACAGTTCCTTCTGGTCAGCAGTGTTGACTTTTTAGACTGGATTACTCTTTGTTGCGGGGGGCTGTCCTGTGCCTTGTGGGTTGTTTAGCAGCATCTCTGGCCTAGATCCCAGCAGCATTGTTCCTTCATTGTGACAACCAAAAACGTCTCAGACACGGCCAGACACCTCTCCTGGGGGCAGCATTGACTTGGTCGGTAACCGCTGCTCTAGGAGAGAGACCATGTACCCAGTAGAAATCTGCCAGCAACTCCAGCTGCATGGAGGTGGGTCTGGCTGGTGAGCTGGGCTCCTTCAGCTTAAAGGCAGTTCAAACTGTGCTTTAGTAAGATGACAAATCCACACACAATTGGATGTGATTATGGTCCATTCTCAGTGCATTAAAGAGAAAACCATACAGACAACCATTGTGCTCAGCAGCTCATTAAATGAGAGCACACACACACACACACACACACACACCACTTTATAAGTATTTTTCCAATTACTGTTCATGCCAGTTTAAACCTAACCCCTGCTAGTAGTATCTAACCGTGGAGATAGCACAATATGGCATAGAATGTTCCTAAACCTTTAGCTAAGATTTGAAAGCCTAATTTGTCCTGGGTAGTAAATGAGGTACGTTCATAGCAAGTAGCTTAGGTGATTCGTAGGAGGTAACCGTGATGAGCTGCCCATTTGAAATAGCACGTCCATCGCAAATGTGCCCTATCAAGTACCTCGTGCCACTCCTCGCCGGCATCTGCCAGTCGCGACCTTCACACCGATCTTTCTCCAGATAGGCATCAGGATTAATGATGCATTAGCTGAATTAGGCTACTCCAGCACAGTATTATCTATCGTGTTAGTGCGTCAATAGGCATTTGGGTCCATGGCAACAAACCTCCCGAGAATGCTTTTTAAAAGCATGTTTTAGACTCAAACATGCTTTCTAGATAAGAGATCAGCTTTTATGTTTTGGAATCCTAGAGTCACTCCAGAAGTTAGCTGCAAACAATAGTTCCAGTAACCCATCTACTTAAGACTCGGGAACACTGATCAACATATAGAATGTGAGTCTGAAGTTTGAAGTCTGAAACTTTGGTTTAATTTCTAGATATCTCAGAGCCTCTTTTTCTTTGTTTGTTTGTATCCATGGTTGATTCTCTTAGAGTGCCAACAAGTAAACAGTACCCTGCAGAACACAGGCTGTGTCTGACCTCCTCCTTCCCCTGTACTCTGTGTTGTTTGAAATGGTTCTCTCCAGTGTTATAACCTCGTCTCAAGCTGACAATGTGCTCAGAGACATATCAAAACTCATGTAATGGGACGGTTTAGATATTCCTACTATGTCAATAAAAGATATATCGCAATCCTTCAATAGTTACCTTTTCCTTAAGATGGTATCGACCGTGCCCGCCCTGTAACATCAACCTTAGCAAACACCCAATAACGCATGCACACATCATTTAATGTTTAATTACACAAGTATTCTAGTTTCTCCGCTGTTTCTTTCTTTCTTTTCTTTTTTTTTTTAATGCAAAGAATGAGAAAGAGCATTGCTGCCATGAGGGTTGCTTCTCCTGCCCCTGCTGCTCCGGTTCCCCCAGGGCTCTATTATCTGCTGCTGGTAGGGCCTTAAGGGTTGCTGGATGTCCCTCCCTGGGCCCTATTTCTACATCAGTGAGTATTGAACCAACGGGAAGATCCTTCGTGTCTCTTACACTGGAGAGTTCTGTCATTCTGAGTTCATCCTGACTCCCTGGTTCTCTGGAAGGTTCCAAACCTTACCTGTGGGTTCTCCCCCAGAACCTCGACGCAAATTATGTCAACAAAAAAGAAAGAAAAGAGGACTAGTTTCAGCATCTTTCCCCACTGTCATCAGGGAGGGGAAGCCAATACTGTTTCCAAATCCTTTGAAAAGAGATGATGAGGGACCCTCCAGAGAAGGAGAAAATAGAGGTGAAGGGGAAAGTGACCAGGGTCAGGGCCACAGATGCCCACCTTGAGGGAGGGAGTGCGTCCCCAGAGGGATAACAGGCCTGGAAGTCTGGGGTCCCCCAGTGGAACTTGCGGCTAAGCTTACTTTAGGGGCCGTGGCTATCGGGTGCACTGTGGGAAGCGGCAGGAAGGCGGCTGAGCCCGCGCCTGGAGAAGCCCGACAGTGGAGAACCTCCCTGCGGAGACGGGCTTTCTCGCCACCGTTGTCGAGTGCGGAGGACTTGGGATCGATGTGCACTTGATGTAGAAAAGCGAAGAAACGGGGCACTTCCTACATGCAAAGGATGCTACAGAGGAGCATGCACACCGCAGTGGAAGTAGAGTGTTTACAGCTGGGACACCACCTGGTCGGGCAGCGCAGGGAGGTGTGGCCGTGCCCACGGGGCGCCCCGCAGAGGCGGCTCTGTGGTCCGATTCCAGCAGACGGTTGTGGAAGTGGGTCTAGTGACGCCCAGTGGAGAAAGGGGTCATCGCAAGGACCGGGGTAGAGAAGGGAAAAGGGGTGATGCTGGAGCCGCCGAGCGTGGAGGGCTTTGGAGAGCAAACCCACGCGCGCTGCGCCCTGCAGCCAGAGGTGGGTGTGGGCTTGGCTCCCCCGCCCCCCGGCTCGTGGGTCCGTATCAGGCTCCCCCACCCTCCCCGGGCTGCAAAGTCGGGAGCTGCACCCCGGCCCGCGCCTGCGCCCTGGGCCCCGCGCTCCCGGAAGCGCCACGCCGGCTCGCACCACGTGGTGTCGCCTCCGCGGACCGACCGCCATGGGCAGCGCAGCCCCGCGCTCCGCGCCCGCCCCGCCGCTGCTGCTGCTGCTGCTGCTCCTGCTGCGGGCCGAGCGGCCGCGGGGCGCCGAGCTCACCTTCGAGCTGCCGGACAGCGCCAAGCAGTGTTTCCACGAGGACGTGGAGCAGGGCGTCCAGCTCTCCCTGGACTACCAGGTGGGGCCCCGCCCCCCACCCAGGTGTCGCCCGGCTCCAGCTGGGTGCCCAGGACGGGATGTGCGGGAGGGCCCTGAACCCCGGGAGCTGGCCAGAAGGACTCCGCAGGCCCGGGGCTCTGAGGAGTGCCACCCCCGGTTGGCTGGACGCGGGGTGTCTGTCCCGAGCCTCTTGGACCTCATTGTCCCGCGCACCGAGAAATAGCAGAGGAAGTGGGTTCGTGGTTTTCTTTTCCCCTCCGGCTTTTAGCCGGGTTTTCTCAGCGAGCGCAGAAGGATGAGATCGGGCGCTTTAGAAAGGGGGGCTCGGCGCAGCCTCGGAGCCCCGCAGAGTTTAAGGGGCCTCCCTGTGGCCGCAGGGCGTGGCCCTTGCCAGGTGGCTCAGCAAAGCTGCCCGACAGACTTCAGGCTTCACAGGTCCGGGAGCAGGTCCTGCCCCTAAGGGTTAGTGAGCAGGCCTGGGCTTGGGGCCAGTGGAATGCACCTGGACACTGCTGGCTGGCCTCCAGAGGTGAGCTGGGCACAGCCCGCTCATGGGCCCGCCCTGGTCAAGAGGCTTCTGCCTGTGTGCTGGTCTCTGAGTCCCTGATTTGGCCACTTTCATAACTGGGGACAAGGTACTGTGGCTGCGTTACTGGGAGCGGCATGGGTACTGTGCCCCAAAATGATCATTTTTAGGCTGGAGAGGCCTGAGAGGTCATCTGGCCACAGCTACATCAGGAATCCAGGTCAAGGGGTGTTCAGCGGAGTGTCCCTCCAGCTGAGTGTTCACAAAGCGATGCTTGCATGTAGGGCTTAGATTCTAGGCCAAGAGGAAATTCTACAGTATGGAAGGAGATGCAGGCCGTTTATTGGGTCCTTTGAGGGATCTTGGGAATAGCCACCAACCACCTTTTTGTCCGGTTGTGGGTCTTAACCTTCTTATGTTTACAAAGAGAGCTTGAACAACATGATCCCAGGACTCCCACCTCTGATAGTCACTGATTCTGTGAATGCTCACGTATATTTGTCTCTCCTTCCGTTCCATCAGTAATCAGATGAGCAAGGCCTGCTCAGCAGTTGGCTTCACCTCGGACCTCAGTTTCCTGTTCTGCAGAGCAGGAAGGATGAGGCTTATTACACTCTTGCCAAGCTGGAGACAGGCAGACATGGGCTCAAAGCTTAACCTTGTCCTTTCCAAGCCGCGGGACCACAGCCAGCTTATTGACCCCTCTCCACCTCGGGGGTCACCCTCTGAAATGGGCATGTCGTAGCACCTGCTTTGGGAGGTTGTGAAGTGAATTAAATGACATGTTTTGAAGTCCAGTCACTTAGTGAAGGGTGGTTGCCCTCTGGTAACAGCAGACCGTGGGTGTCTTTTGTGGTTGTCAGGTCATCAGCGGAGGCCACTACGATGTTGACTGCTACGTGGAGGACCCGCTGGGGAACACCATCTACAGGGAAACCAAGAAGCAGTATGACAGCTTCACCTACCGGGCTGAGGTCAAGGGCGTTTATCAGTTTTGCTTCAGCAATGAGTTTTCCACCTTCTCTCACAAGACCGTCTATTTTGACTTTCAAGTGGGCGATGAGCCCCCCATCCTCCCAGAAATGGGGAACAAGGTCACAGCTCTCACCCAGGTGAGTGCGCATTCTCAGCGACAGTCCTGGTGGAACCCCCTGGCCTGTTCCCTCCTCTGCTGTCCCGGCTTGGCTGGCCGGCAGCGTCACCGTCCACCTCGCTCCGTCCGCAGTCTGCTGCTTGGCCCATCTGTTCACATCCAGGCCTGGAGAACACTGCTCTCCTGACCTTCCTCTCCATTCTCTGGCTGGCTCCCTGCTGGGCATCCTGTGGATTCCTGCCATCCAGTCCTCTCAGCTCTGCTTTCTAAGCACCTGTAGCATGGGCCTCTCGGCTTACACGACGTGTGCGCATCCTAGAGAACAGAGTCCCACTCTGCGTGGTGTATTAGTTGGGGTAACGCAAGTTGCTATAACACGTAAATCCCAAATATCAGTGGCTTAACACAATAGGTTTTTTTTTCTCATTCAGTAATCTAGAGAGTGGGGTGAGGGGTGGAGAGCTTTGCTCCATGAGCAACTCGGGAATCCTGGCTCTGTCTTTTTTTTTTTTTTTCTTATTGATTTTAGAGTGAGAGAAAAGGAGGGTGAGAGAGAGAGAGAAACATCGATGAGATAGGACATCGATTGGCCGCCTCCTGCATGGCCCCAACTGGGGACTTGGGTCACAGCCTGGCCGGGAATCGAACCTGTAACCTCTTGGTGCATGGGTCGATGCTCAGCCACTGAGCCACAATGGCTGGGCAAGGCTCTGTCTTTCTTATCCTCTTTCTGCTGTCTCTTGGGGCTTCTGAGCCCTCTGCCTCTAGCCACCAAAGGACGAAAGAATGAGAGCCGCACCAGCCTAAAAGCCCCAGCGCAGAAGTAGCACATCCCACTCACACCCCATCATTGGGAAAGAGCCATGTAGCCCATCTGGATAAAAGAAGGGCCGGTACAGGTCCGATTAGGCTGTGAGCTCCTGGCAACAGCTCCACACTTGATAGAAAGACGGTGAACACTGTTGGAGAACCGGTGGTCATCACCGGCACCCATGGCTCTCCGGGCTAGTTATAGTCTGATCCCCAGCCTCCTCCATCAGACTGCCCTCCTGCTCTTTAACCTCCTCCTTTCTCCCACAGGTAGGCCCTTGTCATTGGCCCTCTGTCCCCAGTGCCTCAGTACTTGGGGCACAGCTCAGAACAGGCGCTCACCAAATAGTGGTCAGATGACTGAGCGACAAGGCCCAGGCAGACCTACAAGGCAGGAATGACGTCTGTGACTACACTTGTTCCAGAACCTAAGTGAGAGCACCTGGGTCTCTGTCGGACCAGATTACCTCCCGGGGTGCCCTCCAGGGTGGCCACACGCTCTGTTTCTCTGGGGCTGTGGGCTGTGGGCCCACATGCTTCGTCTTCCACCTTCCCTAGGCAGTTGGAAGCTAGTGATACATGGTCCGGTGCGCTAACCGCTACTTTTATAACAGCTATTCCATTTAAATTTAAATTCACTTCCTCATTCACTCACTACTATTGTAGTGCTCAATAGTCACGGGTAACTAGTGGCCACACATAGGAACTTCTGTGGACGCTGCCAGCAAAGATCCAGCCCAGGGTGTGTCTGGCATGTGAGATGTTTCACAACCTGTACCCTCGACAGTTCCATTGGTCGTTGATGAAACGCATCCTGTTTGGAGATTTCGTCAGCCTCCAGAAGCAGAGTGGAAGGACTGTCCTCTGTGGCCAGCGGAAAACCAAATGGTAGAGAAAGGGCTTTTTTTTTTTTTTTTTTTTATATCCTCACCCGAGGACATTTTTCCATTTTTTGTTCAGGTAGAGTGGGAGGGAGAGAGAGAGAGAGAAACATCGACGTGAAAGGAACACATCGAGTGGCTGCCACCCGCACAACCGACCAGGGCCGGGGACAAACCGCAACCGAGGTACGCGCCCTTAGCGGGATCCGAACCCGGGTCTCTCTGGACCGCAGGCCGACGCTCTAACCGCTGAACCAAACCGGCCAGGGCGAGAAAGGGCTTTAATGGACATGTGAAGTAGAGAAATTCTTTCCTGGAGGCTTAGAGTTAGGGTTTGATTCTGTTGCAGGAAAGAGGGACCTGCATCTCCTCTTGCCCAGTCTCAAAAGAGGCATTTCCTTCCACTTTTGTCCCTCTGACCCCTGACCCCTCCCTGAGCAGAGGTCCCTTACTGTTTGCCTCCGGCAGCGCTGGCTGGCTGTGGTGGGCGCTTACTCTGCACAGGGTGCCCGGTGCTGTCCTCGCCATCGGGGAGCCCGTGTGGAGCCACAGAGATCAGAGCGCTGTGACGTAAGGGTGAGGACTCGGGGGAGGGAGCCGTGGATTCTCCCAGCAGAGTCAAGGAAGTCTTGGGGAGCACTTTCTCTTAAAAGTGCAAATGTGGGCCCTGGCCGGTTTGGCTCAGCAGTTAGAGCGTCCGCCTGCGGTCCGGAGAGACCCGGGTTCGGTTCCTGCTAAGGGCACGTACCTTGGTTGCAGTTTGTCCCCGGCCCTGGTTGGTTGTGCGGGTGGCAGCCACTCGATGTGTCCCTTTCACATCGATGTTTCCCTCTCTCTCCCTCCCACTCTGTCTGTACAAAAATGGAAAAATGTCCTCGGGTGAGGATAAAAAAAAAAAAAGTGCAAATGTGGGCGCTGCCTAGGAGTGTGTCTGGAGGAGGACGAGGAGGAAACACCCAGTGAGGTGGGGAGGACAGCAGGTGCACAAAGACGGGCATAACTTACCTTCTCCCCAGCACAGCGCTGGTCTAGAGCCCATGCCTTCTGGCATCAAAATCCACACTGGGCTGAAAGAACAGGGCCCACAGGGACCAAGGCCCAGGCCAGGGCTTCAGTTCTAGGATGACCAGGCTCCTAGGAGAGGACGTGGGCAAGGAGAAAGCTACTGGGGAGGCCAGGCTGGAAGTCTGGGCAGGTCTAGTGGAGGCTGAAGGTTTCTGAGGGGCTAGTGGCCTGGCTGCCCCAGTGCAGGTCGAGGGAGATGGCAGGTTTTCCAGACCCTGCCCTGAGGCCAGCTGATGCCTCCCTGCCTTTGGGTTCTGCCCTGGAGGCCCTGGCGAGGCGAGGACTGGGGTCTGAGCATCAGCAGGTGGTAGAGGTGGTTTGGGCTGTGGTGTGGGAATGGAGGAAGGGGACAGGTCAGGTGTCTCCAGAGACCCTGGGGGAAGGCTTGGAGGCGCCAGCCTGTACTGCTAAGCACTGGGGCCGGGGCCCATGTCCAGGAGCTCCCAGACCAGTGTGCACTTAACTTTCTGAGTGAGCTTGGGACACACTAAACGTGTGCATATGTATCTGTGGATGATGCATGTGTGTGTGTACACATGTCCATGTACACATGTGGGGTCTGCATCCAGCCCTAGATCATTCCAAGAACAATCTGCCTTGTTCCCAAGTCCTCTTCGCTCAGCTCCCTGCATCCCTCCCAGGCTCCCTCCTCCTGCCACTCAGCAACCTTCTCAGTGGAGGCCCCTTCCCAGCGGGAGTCCAGCAGCTGAGTGGTCTCCCTGCGTCCAGGTATCATGGCGGCCAGGGGGTTCTGTTCCAGTGGGTTCTCATCCTGCCATTCTGCTGAGCTTCACAGTAAAGCCTCAATCCTCGAGGCTATTACCATAAGCTCTCACCTGCCCGCCTCTTCCGCCCACATCCCTGAGGCCAGGCCAGGCCCTGCACATGCCCCCCTGCCAGTCCTGGCCCCCGGACTCCCTTCCCTCACCCTCTGCCTGCTCATCCGTCAAGGCTCAGTTGGCCACTCCTGGGTCAGGCCTGCCTCCAGCTCCCCTGGCAGGATTAGCCGCTTTCTCCTGCTGTTCCCTTAACTCTGCGCACCCTCTGTCACTGGCTTATCGCACGTGACGTGGGCTATGTTCACCTGTAAACTGTAAACTTTCTGAGACCCGGGATTGTGTCTGATGCTGGGCCTAGAGCAATGCCTGGAAGATGAGTAGACATTTAACAGGAATACGTTTGAATGAATGGATGAGTGGAATGAGTCTGGGCTGTGAGAGACCCAGCCTGGTTTGAAATTCTTGTCGTCTTGTTTTTCCAGTTATCTTTCCAGAGTCTCCAGCTCCACCTTCAGTGACTGTGGTCCTCTAGGGGTCCCCAGGCTGGCGTTAGTCTAGAACCGGTTACTTGCCGAATCTCCCTGTGTCATGGTCACAGGCAGTGATGGGGGGGGGCACTAGGGAGGCTTCTGGAAGTGCTGCGTCTTGAGCCAAGTTTTAAATAGTTACGACCTCTTTTCTGTTCCTTCCCGGGACCCCGCACATGTTTTTGTGAGCTCTGGATGTATCAAATAAGAGAACACAGTGTTTGAAAACAGAGGCTCAGGAGTCAGAGTCTTGAGTTCAAATCCTGACCCTGCCACCTACTAACTGTGTGGCGCTGGGCAAATTATTTAACCTCTCTGAGCCTCTGTTTGGCTTATCGGCAGGGTCAGTGAAACCTGTTCAGTCGAGGTTACCGCGGGTGTTGATGACACTGCTGTGTGCTGAGGCCCCCTCGCTCCTCAGGGTCACAGTGTGCCTGCTCTTGTCTTCCCGCCCAGATGGAGTCTGCCTGTGTGACCATCCACGAGGCCCTGAGGACGGTGATCGACTCCCAGACGCATTACCGGCTCCGGGAAGCCCAGGACCGGGCCCGGGCCGAAGACCTGAACAGCCGGGTCTCTTACTGGTCTGCTGGAGAGACGGTCGCCCTGTTCGTGGTCAGCGTCAGCCAGGTGCTGCTGCTGAAAAGCTTCTTCACGGAAAAGCGGCCCGTTGGCAGGGTGGCCCACTCCTAGATGAGGCGCCCTGCGCCGGGTCCCCCACAGCTCTCCCAGGCCACAGGCTGCCGGGGGCTGTGCGTGGGACCCGGGCGGGCAGGCATGTGCTCACCCCTCCCTCCATTGAGATGCTCAGTCCTTGTCCTCCGGTTGCCAAGTGCACAGAGCTCGGTAATCAGAAGGACCCACTGTGTTGTGTGTGTAACGCTGGGTGGAAACGTTTACAGTCAGATGGGCCACTGTGGGAGGGCGGGTACCTAGTGCCCAGGCTTCAGGGACAGCTAGTGCTGTATCTCTGCTCCACGGTGCCTGGCTTATCTGGCCTGTGTGTCCTGCCCAGTGTGGAGAGGAAGGGGGCCCGCAGTCTGGTCTTGCCTCCCACAAAGCTCTCTCCACCTGAGGAAACCAGGCCGGGGCAGCCTCCCACCCCAGGGGACTGAGCACGGCCAGCCCTTCCTGCAGCAGCAAAGTAGTGACTGGGTGTGTGGGTCAGCTATGTTCTCAGGGGTGGACTCTGGCTAATAAAGATTCAGCGTGAGCGCCGTGGGGACATGTGTTTTTATTGCTTTGCCCAATAGCTCACAGCCTAGTAGGACCACAGCTGTGTGTATCAATAACCACAGCGTCAAACAGCAGGTGATGCCCCAGAGATGTGTCGGATGCTGCGCATGGAGGTGGGCGGTGGGGTAAATCGCTCTCCTGGTTGAATAAAAGCAGTGAAATGGAAGCTTGTGGTCTTGAACCCCAGAGAGCACTGTCAACAATCCAGTTGTCATTTCATCTAAATGCAGTTTCTGGGTCCTTCGTCTCTTTTTGGGGACTCTCCATGCTTCCTGGGCTTGTGTGTTCATTTCCTTCAGGTTGTGGACATTTTCCATCATTAATTCTTCAACTAGGTTTCCAGTTCCTCTCTATTCTTAGGGCACCCCTGTGATGCCGACGTTCCAGAGGCCCCTTAAACTATCCTCGTTTTTTAAAAATTAATATTCATCCTCACCTGAGGATATTTTTTCACTGATTTTTAGATAGAGTGGAAGGGGGAGAGAGCGTGAGAATTTCGATGTGAGAGAAAGACATCGATTGGTTGCCTCCCACATGACCCTGACCGGGGGATTGAACCTGCAACCTAGGTGCCTGCCCTTGTCCGGAATCAAACCCATGACCCTTTGGTCCGCAGGCTGACACTAACCACTGACCCAAACCAGCCAGGGCTGGTTTAAGTCATTTTGTGTTGTTCTGTGTGGGTATTTGCTGCTTCTTTCAGTCGATTCAGTCTTCTGCTTTCTCTAGTTATGATTTCCTGTATCTTCCTCACTGTACTTCCAGTCGTCTTCATTTCTGACTGGTTCTTTTTCATGTTTTCCATCTCCTTGTTGAAGTTTTCGCTGAGGTCATCGAGCATTCTTACCCCCAGTGTGGTGAGCTCGACATCCTTCTGCATTCTGTTGAGGTCTTTTTTTTGCAGTTTTGTTCTGTTGTTTCATTTGGGACACGTTTCTCTGTCTCCTCGTAGTGGCTGCTTCTCTGTTTCTATGTGACAGATAGAGCTGCTACGTCTCCCCGTCTTGGTAGAGTGGCCTGATGCAGAAGGTGTCCTGTGGGACCCCGTGGTGCAGTCTCCCTGGTCACCTGAGCTGGGTGCTCCTGGGGTGTCCCTTGTGTGGGTTGTGTGTGCCCCCCTGTTGTAGTTGAGCCGTGTTTGTTTTTGGCTCATCAGTGGGAGGGATCACTGCTTAGGCTGATTGGTCGTGAGGACTGGCCGTCAGCTGTGGAGGAGCCACTGTGCAGGGGCAGGCCCTACGGAGCAGGGTTTGCTTCTGGGGGGGCCCTGGTGCCCAACGAGCCTGCCCTTTGAGTGTGTTTTTCATGGAGTGGGTTTGGTGTGCTCTGGTGGGTCTGAAGCTGGCCACCGAGTAGGTTTTTTCTGAGGTCTCGGGAGGTACAGGCCAAGGTCAGCTGCTGCTTGTGCCCTGCCCGGGGCCACATGGTGAGAGTTACAGAGCGATCTGCAGGTGGCTGGTGCTGGTGCTGGGTGTGGAGGTGCCTGGGAGAGCCTCAGCTGCACCCTGAGGCTGCCGGCCACTAGCGTTGAGCGTGGGGCTGCTTAGCAAGAGGAGCGGGACATGCTGAGGCCAGATGGTGCTTGTCTGGGGTTCATGAACCTTTGCGAGATCTTAGGAAAGTCTGCAGCATGAGCCAAGATGGGCCGTTTGTATGGAAGACGAGCGGCTCAGTGGGTCTGCAAGTTTGGTGCGACAGAGTCTCAGGGAGGCACCAGGGTAGGTTGGACGGTCACCCAGGTGGCTGGAGACTCACACATGGTGTCCACCTGCGCCTGCATAGGGAGGGCCCGCAAAGGAGCAGTGGCTTCTGCCACCCTTTTGTTTGAGAGAAGGCAACCCCTGAAGCCCTCATTCTGAAGGCAGACAGTTCAGCTCCTCCCGTGTGTCCCTGTCTTCTGAGTCCCCCACCCCACCCCCAGCGTTGGAGCTCAGAGCCAGTGAGTCCGCCAGTGAATAAGCTGTGTGCGGGTTCTTCGAGAGACACCTGGGATTCCAGCAGCCCCACAATCACCGCTGGTTTTCACAGCCAGAACTTATGGGGACTTCTCTTTCCGGCCCTGGAACCCAGCACTGGGGAGCCTGCTGTGGGGCTGGGACCCCTCGCGTGGAGGGCTGGCAAGTGGCGCATGTGATTCACATCCTCGAATGGGCTGGGGAGATGGTGTTCCCCAGCCGATCTCTTTGCCCAGGAGCTGTGTCAAGGGAGAGAGCTACATGACATTAGAAATTATGGCTGCACAAGCCGGGGGCACTCTGGGCCACTCTGGAGATGGAGAAAGGGCAGCGTGTGTTTCTAACGATGACGAGGGCTCTGAGGACTACCATGTCACAGTAGTCCCCACACAGTCCAGGGATTAACCTGCAGGCGTGAGCGATGTCACAGGACGTGGGGAGGACAGCTCAGGGATATGGGGTGCTGGCCCAGGCAGGAGGAAGCAGGGTCTGCAGTCACAACAGTTGCCAGCAGGTCACAGTCCCGCTAACGCCAATCAGCCTGTGTTCAGACTCCTCTGGCACAAATCATTTTTATAACCTGGGCTGCAAAGTTACAGGTGTCAGGGCCTGCCAAGTTCACAGGGTAGTCAATTAAACTTTCCTCCCAAATTTATTGGTTTTTAAGCTTCCCCATAACTCACGAGTTACAGCCCCTGGAGGGACTGCCGTGGTCTTAACCATATATCACAGCGAACCTCAGCATCCCACCAGAGCCTCACCAGGCAGCGTCTGGGCCTCCCTAGGCCAAGCAGAGCTACGCTCAGAAGAGAAGGCTCTGGCACTGAAGGCAAGTCCGGCCGGAGGGGGAGCTCGCGGATGAGCTACTGGGTCAAGTCAGAGGGGCAACTGGGGCCAGTTAGAGTAGAGAGTTAGAGTGGGGATCTAGGGGACAATCTAGAGTGGGGGGTAGGGGGTGCGAGCTAGTGGGGCAAGCTAGAGGGGTTACCTAGGGGGCAAGGTTCTGGGGCAAACTAATGTGGAATGAGATTGTGGAGCTAGCATGGGGGTGTTGGGGCCCAGCTAGGGGGCGAGTTAAAGGGCCATGTTAGACTGGGGAGTTAGCGGAGCTCTAGAGGGGCGAGCTAGAGTGGGCAGTTAGGAGGTGAGCTAGGAAGGTGAACTAGAGTGGGGAAATGGGGGTAACTGTAAAAGGTCTGAGCCAGCAGATCACATCCACAACGCAAGGCCAGTGCAGAGCAAAACAGCTTTACTGCATGCACCTTAGTGGGGACCGAACCTGGGTCTCTCTGGACTGCAGGCCAATGCTCTAACCGCTGAGCCAAACTGGCCAGGGCCCTCCTCCGATTTAAAAAAAAAAAAAAAGAATTTGTTCATCTTCACCTGAGGATATTTTCCATTGGTTTTTAGATAGAGTGGGAGGGAGGGAGAGAGAGACACATCAATTGGTTGCCTCCTGCAGGACCCCGACCAGGGGCCAGGGATTGAACTTGTAACCCAGATACATGCCCCTGACTGGGAATCAAACCCGAGGGCCCCTGGGCCGACGCTCTAACTGCTGACCCAAACCTGTCAGGGCCCTCCTCCGATTTTATTAAAAAATTTTAAAATCCTCACCCAAGGATATTTTTCCCATTGCTTTTTAGAGAGAGTGGAAGGGAGGGAGGGACGAGGTAGGGGAGAGAGTGATGGATTGGTTGCCTCCTGCACGCACCGCCCACCAGCATCTAACTGGCCAGGGCCAGAGAACATCCATCAGTCTCCTGCACGACTCCTGGGGGATCGAGCCAGCAAGCTGGGCACAGCTCTAGCCAGGAACCCAACCAGCGACCTCTTGCTGCATGGGTCCATGCTCAATGCCTGGGCCACCGCACCGGACCCTCCTCCAATTCTAGTTACCAAAGAGGGAACTAAGTGAAATCCCACGCGTCCTGATATGATGCACTAAAAACGACACAACGTCATTTATTTAGCCTTCTGCACAAAGCACAGTATCTAAACTGAACCACGAAGCAACACTCAGGCAAGCTCAAATGCAAGCACAGGCTGCAAATCAACTGGTCTGTCCTCGTCAAACATGTCGGTCACTCAAGGAAACGACGGGCAGAGGAGCTGCTGGCGATTGAGAGACTAGAGACAACACCGCCAATGCAGAGATCGACCCTGATTAGATTCCGGATTGGGGGCGGGGGGGACCTACAACGGACACTATCGGGACAACTGGCAAAGAGTATGGATGTTTAAAACTTAGATGATGATCCGGGGGCAATGCTAAGTTTCCTGAATTGGATCATCACACTGTGGTTACCTAAGGAGATACATGGTGAAGATTTCAAGGGCAGGGCCGTGGGGAGGAGGCCAGGGCCCGAGCCCGGGTCATTCAGTGCCCAGCGCACTGAGCGGGCAGAGGGAGGCGGCGCGCCCTGCGGGGCCAGGAAACCGGTGGTCCGCGGGCACAGCGCGGACGGAGGGTCCTTCTCAACAAGGGGACAGCGAGTCGAGCAAGGGCCGGGTGGCAGGGGAAGGGCGAGCACCGCAGGCGACTGTCCGCGGGATAACGCGGAGGCACGGAGTGGAGACCCACGGGCTGCAGCGCGCCGAGCGCCCCCTGCCGGTCGCCGCGTCCCGGGCGCGCGCAGGCCCCGCAGCACAGGCGATCCAGGGCCGCCCTCGGGAAGCGGCGTCCCGTCCCCACCCCGCCGACCCCAGGACCCCACGGGAAACCCGAGGCCGCACGAAGCAACAGATCGCGAAGCCGGGCCACGCTCCCGACGCCCACCACACAGCGGCCCTGAGCGACGATCGCGCGAGAACGCGCTTTCCTCTAAGCTCCGCCCCCGCCCTTTCTTTGTTTTCTCGCCCGGAACGTTCGCGAGATCTGAGCGGCAAGTCTCGCGAGCGCGGAGTCGGGCAGGCTCGGCGGCTCTCGCGGTGTTTGCACGAGACTGCGCCCTTCCTTCCTCCCGGCTGAGCGTCCGCCTTCCTCCCCTTCCCCGCCCAGCCTCCCCTTCTTCCCCGTGGCCCATCCCCGCGGGCTAATATGGTCTCCGGCGATGGACGCCCCAAGTGCAGGTCAGTGCCGTTCGCCGCGGGGGCTCCGGCTGCTGCAGGCGCGCAGCCCGGCGCCGGGTCCCTGCGGGTCTCGTCAGGAGGCGCCGGGCCGGCGCGCGGCCTCGGGCTGGGGTCGCTCCCGGGCCTGCCCGCCGGGCCCTCTCCGCCCGGGCCCCCCCCCGCCCGGGCCCCGCCGGCTCCGGCCCGCTCGGGAGGCCGCTCGTTAGGCTGCGGGGAGGGGGCCGGGTCTGCGGGCCCCTCCCTGCCTCCGAGCCTCCGAGCCGAGTGGGAGGCGGTCGGGCCGGGCGTCGGTGGGCCGGGCCGGGACCACGCACTGCAGCGCCGGCGGGCCGTGCTGGGCTCCGTCTCGGACCCACGGCCCGGCCGAGGGTCCGCCCCAAAACAGGAAGGTGCCTGCTCCCTCCAGGCCGCCTGCGGCCTCCCCGAGAACGCCCGGCCCCGCGGTGCAGCCTCCCCGGGACGCGTCTGTTTTAGGGACAACCTGCCGCGTACGCGGATGTGCTCGTTGCTCGCTTTTACCTCCCCTCTCCAGACCTATTGAGGGCTTAACCGGTTCGGTGGTTGGGCTGGGTTTTGATTTTGTCCGTGGGGTGAATGCTTTGTCAGAAGCCTGTCTTTGGAGTCTTTCAAAAGGGAGAAAATTCAATACCGCTAACATAATTGTGGTGGTCTCAAATTACTTACCGCCTTGTACTTATGAAATATTCAGGACATGTCTTCCCCAAACACGCCTATACATCATTGAAATCGTCCTCATTGTTCCCTTCCAGCTATTCTTTGTTTTCCCATATCAGTGCTTAATTCTGTTACCAGTTTTTGCTTGATAAGAGTCACGGTTGAGAGCTCCGCCGTCCAATACAGTGGACACCAGCCACGTGTGACTGACTATTTAAGTAAAAAAAAAAAAAATACAGTTTCTCAGTTGCTGTAACCACATTTCAAGTGCTCAGTAGCCACATGTGGCTAAATGCACAGGGCAAATGTACATTTTTATCATTGCAGAAAATTCTGTTTGATATTTTGTAGCTGTGTTTAATGAAAGTTTTTTTCTCCCCCCAGGATACACCTTTGAGTACCTTATTGAAACATTAAATGACAGTTCACGCAAGAAGTTCTTCAATGTACCTAAATTTGGAGGCACGAAGTATGGTAATGTTGCTTAAGTGTTCCTGAGTTGCTTTAGTTTCTAATAATAATGTATTTGTTAAGCTAAGCTGAAAAAAATTGAAATCTGTTCCTATCATTGTTGTTACAGGTATAAGTTCACATATCTCTAAGGTTTTAAAAGTTCTTGGGACCACTTTTGTTTGAGAAAGACATAAACCCATATTTTAACTTCTCATTTAAAAATCTAAGTTAAGCACTGGCCGGTTTGGCTCAGCCATTAGAGAGTCCTGGGTTCGGTTCCCGCTAGAGGCATGTACCAAAAAAAATAAAATACAAATCTAAGTTAAGCGATACTTTTTTTTAACTCAGAGAAACTCCTAATGCAATTTTAAAAATCTGACTGATGATATTTTACAGCTATAAATTTTACGTTTTAATTTTTCAGGTGAATAATGCCCATAGTTCTTTATCTGCCATCCTTTGACTAGCAGGGCCCGCTGATTTGAGTTGTTCTCCAGGACTGGCCGTTTGGATGTTTTGGAGTATCTTAGAAGGTCCTTGTGTTAGAATCCTGTTGCCATTCAAAAACAAACAGTCCACCACACTGATTGCCTCTTTGGTGATGTGGGGCTGCCTTCTGGCACTGCAGTGCAGTGGCTACAACCTGTGGGATTCCGAGAGATTCTCTTGGGGAGATCTTTGAATTTGAAAATAGACCTTTCACCAGGAAAGGGAGAAATCACTGTCGCCTGGTAAGGGAGACTTCTCTGAAGGAATTGGGATTTGAGTTTATGTTAAACGGGGGGTCATAGAGGACAGTGAGTGCCCAGGGAATGAGGCTGGACAGCCTAGCAGGAACTAAACGATGTTGAGCTGGGGGGACAGTGAGGAGACTGCCTTGGCCGCAGTGCGCGTTTCAGAGCAGCTGCTGTCGGGTAGCCGGGCCTCTCTCAGCCCTCTTGTTTCAGGTGATCGCACTTGTCCTTTTTTTCCTTCCCAACTGCTAGCTTTTCTAACCACAGTACTGGTCAGTCTTGCAGTAGAGCCAGGACTTGGCTTTCCAAATCTGAAAGAAAAGGCTAATTTTGGGGGAGCATTTTTATGGTTTACAAGAAATTAGATTGGGGTTGAGAGTCAAAAAGATGAGAACATGACAGACGTCACAGAAACCTGCTTGTTTTTATGTGTAGGTACAAATGTGTGTAAATGGCCCTGGCCGGTTTAGCTCAGCGGTTGGAGTGTCGGCCTGTGGACCAGAGAGTCCCCGGTTCAGTTTCCACTAGGGGCACATACCAAAAAATTAAAAACGAATGTGTGTAAATGTGCTTTTTTTTTTTTCCCTTCATTTATCTTCAGATAGAGCAGGAGGGAGAGTGGGAGGAAGAAAGAGAGAAACATTGAAGTGAGAGAGAGACATTGACTGGTTGCCCCACACACAACCCCTGGGGCCAGGGACAAACCGCAACCGAGGTACGTGCCCTTAGCGGGAACCAAACCTGGACTCTCTGGTCTGCAGGCCGACGCTCGAACCGCGGAGCAAAACCGGCCAGGGCTAAATGTGCTGCTTTTAACAAAAAGGCAGTAGATGCTGTTTTGTAACCTTTTCTACTTGGCAACGTGAACATCTTCCCATACCACTGAACACAGGCATCTCTTGATATCCAGAGACAGGAAGAAAACATAGTCAAGCCTCATGGGGACCAAAATTTCTAAGCTGCAGTCTGTTCTGCCAGTCACTTGAAGGCTGCCTGGTCTCTTTATCCCTGAATCTTTGAATATCTCTCTCCAGTATTCTACCTACAGTTCACTTACTCTTTTGGAGTAACTCCCAACGTAGGCACTGCTGGCCATTCTCTGTATGTTACGATCGGCTCACTAGCCAGTTGAGACTGTACTTCTGGGAGACTTTTCTGCCTACTGTCCTAACCTCCTTTGGCTGGGCTGTCAGGTGTCTGTTGCTGGTGCAGTTGCCTTGTTGGAACATGGAAAAGAGTCCGAGTTTTCTAACATTGTCTCTTCATGGACTCTGGAAAGGGCTGTGAGTTAGATAAACAGTAAAGTAGTTTGCTTGTGGTTTATACACACCGTCCTTCACTTGGTAAGGATTACCTTTGCCTGACACAGTTCTACTCCATGTACTCACCAGCTCTCCACATTTTGTCCCAGGGTCTGTTGGCTCTTCTGCTTTTGCTGACAACTTCTGTTCTAGATTAGGCCTTTGATAGTAAGAGCAGGCACCCAGTAGGTAAGGTGCTGGGTGTCGCTGCGTGGCCCATAGCTGCCAGGCCACGTAAGTGTGGCCATGTCTTAGGGAATGGCCCAGTGGCAGCTCAGCCCTCGCTGAGCCTCTAGCACCTTCTGGTTTGGTCTGTGTGCTGATTGCAGGCTCCTGAGGGACAAATCTAATGGTGCCAGTGTATCTTTCTCAGTGGGCTGCTGGTCATTGACCTGCCAAGGCTTGGTCTTCCTTCAGTGCTGCAGCCAGGGAGGTGATGGGACACAGCACTGCGTGCTCCACTCAGCAGTTTGGACAGCCGTAGGTGAGCAAGTAGTGCCAGGTTGCATGCTCACCAGGGTGAAGGAGAAGAGTGTCCATACCTTCATCAATAATAGACACTCTTTGTTGTTTCTTCTGTGTTTGTCAGTGAGTGCAAAAAAAATACATCTTGAGCAGGAATCTGTTTTCTCTCTTTCTGCCTTATTAGACTCTCTGTGGCTTTGGGTAGGCCAGGGAGGGAGTGTTTCCCCAGTCCTTCAGTATGGTGTACTTGTCTCATTGAGTTTATCTAAAGCAGGGCTGGGGAATGTCCGGCCCTAGGGCTGTCCGCGAAATCAATACCAGCTAACATCACACACCTCACCAAATTAGCCTGGCCAAATATAGCAGGCTAATTTTCAAGTTGATAAGTTTGTATGGCCTATAAATGATATAAATATCCAAATGGCCCTTGGCAGGAAAACGGTTCCCCACCCCTGATCTAAAGCCTGCTTACCAGCCAGCTGTTAATACCACCCCTTTTAATACCACTTATGGTGATTTCTCCATCTACAAGAATTTCCACAAAACCCTTTTACATTTCTACTTGTCTTTACCACATTCTTTGTGATAAGTAGGGAAGATAGTCTTATCTCCACTTTATAGAGATGAGGAAAATGAGTCTAAGAATCTAAGTAATTTGCCTAAAGTCACATCTCTTTTAAGTGAGGATTTGGTCTTGACTCCTGTCTTCTGACTTTAGGCCAATACTTTTTCCTCCTTAATACCATTCTGTTTTCCACATTAATAATGGCAGTAATGAAGCTGCCTCTGTTGATTATTTACCATAGTCATCCTGTAAGATCAGCTGTGTGGTCCACTTGGCCAGAGACACACTACCAGGTGCCATTACTTCCTCAGTGGTGGAGGAGAAACTTGAACAAACTGACTCTGAATCCTCTGGTTGTAAAACCTACTGTCCCGGGGTGGGGTCACAGGCTCACACCCACGAGGATGACAGGACAACACAAACCAGGGAAGTGGCCCTGGTCAGAGCTGTGGCAAACATGGAGGGGAGGTGCTACTCACTTCCCACAGGTGTTGTAAAATTTTCTGATATGTGAAAAATGTCTGGTTTTTCAGTGTCAAGCAGTTAAATTTTATTTTGTTGATTTTTTTTTTTTTTTTTTTTTTTCTGGAGAGAAGCATCGATGTGAGAGAAACATTGATCGGCTGCTTCCTGCATGCCCCCCCACTGGGGATTGAGCCCGCACCCTGGGCATGTGCCCTGACCGGGAATCGAACCTCTCAGTCCATGGGGTGACACTCACTCCACTGAGCCACACTGGCCTGGCTGGCAGTTAAATTTTAAATGTTAAAATGCAGGGTAGAGCAAAGAAAACATGTCATGGGACCAGCGGTTTGTGGCCTCTGCCCGGAGCACTGTGTTGCCTAACCTCAGCAGCAGCTTTTAGCCTCGATAAGGAGGGTCTGCAGTCCTGGGGGCCAGTGGCAGCTCAGCATCTGTTTCCAGAGCCCTAACCACGCGTGGATCTTCCTCTACCAAGCAATTGACCAAAAGGATATCTGTTGTTATCGGCTCGTTTCAGAAGTGTGATAACACAAATTATCAGAGTTTTCTAGTTTTAAATTACCGGCTTGTCCTGGCGTCCACATGTCTTTTTGATTATCTGTTGTTGAAGGGTTAGCTTTCCAGATTCTTAAAATTCTAGAAATTCCTGGTTAGGAGAGGCAAAATCATTCAGTCCAGTTTTATACTTAGTGTGGGAATCTCTCTAAAACACTGTTTAATTCGGCCAGTTAACATTTATTGAGTACTCATGTGTTTCTGGCAAATGAAAGATGGCTAAGGTGGCATCTTTGTGGTGAAGCAGCACACAGTTTAGTAATGGGGACGTGAATGGAAACGGTCCGCACAGTGCTGTATTGTAGCAGTCTCAGTTTGATCACGAGATCCAGTGGGGATTTTAACATGATCACTAACTGGTTGAAGAGTACAGTAGTCCCCTTATGGACATGTTCAGTTACCCATGGTCAGTTGAGGCCCAAAAATAGTACATGGAAAATTTCAGAAGTAAACATTCATAAGTTTTAGGTTGTGCACTGTTCTGAGTAGTGTGGTGACATTTTGCACCATCCCGATCCGCCTTCCCAGGATGTGGATCTGCCCAGTGTCTCCTCGCTGTATGTGCTCCCCCTGTCAGCCACTGAGGAGCCATCTCCATCATCAGATGGGCTGTTGCAGTTACAGTGCTTGTGTTGAAGTCATCTTATCTCATAAACGATCCCAAAACACAGGAGTAGTGATATTGGCCATTCAGACATACCAAAGAGAAGCCATAAAGTGCTTCCTTTATGTGAAAAGTGAACGTTTTCCACTTAAAACAGTTTTATGTTGAGGTTGGTAAAGTCTGTGGTAAGAATGAATCTTCTGTCTGTGAAATTGCCTAAATTATAAATTAACCTTTATCATGAGTATGTATATATTGGCGGGGGGACAGTCCATCCAGGGTTTGGTACTATCTGCAGTTTCAGGCACCGCTGGGGGTCCTGGAACATGAACCCCTTGGTATTCTAACACTGGTCATCAAGAGTGAAATACCGTTTTTATGAAATGAATTTTACTCACCTGAGCACCTTGATTTACTTTTAAACTTGAACGATACTTTTATACAGTTTAACCAAAATTTGCCTTAAAGGTCTGTCTTTGTCATTGTATTTAATTCTAATTTTCTGTGGTTTTCAATTTTTCTTTGTCTTCCCTGAATTTGTACTTGTCAGTCTTCTGTGCTCAAATCAGCACAGCTCTTGTGTGGAGGTTTTGTCTTCTTTTTCCAGGCCCTGGCTTGCATATAGGAACATCCGAGTTGTAGAAATCTGGGTGTTAACATGAGTAGTGTTTTATTCTGTAATGGCTAGACTAAAATTACTTTAAATTAAGGAAATAGCTAGGCCGTTGTGGCTTAGTGGATTGAGCGACCTCCCAAGGACTGAGAGGTCCTGGTTTGATTCCCAGTCAGGGAACATGCCCAAGTTGTAAGCTTGATCCCCAGTAGGGGGCGTGCCGGAGGCAGCTGATAGATGTTTCTCTCTCACATTGGTGTTTCTCTCACATCAATGTTTCTCTCTCTCCCTTCCCCCTCTCTAAAAAATCAATAGAAACATATTTTCTTAAAAAGAGAAAGAGCCCTGGCCAGTTTGGCTCAGCGGTTAGAGCGTTGGCCTGCGGTCCAGAGACCCGGGTTCGGTTCCCGCTAAGGGCACGTACCTCGGTTGCAGTTTGTCCCCTGCCCTGGTTGGTCGTGCGGGTGGCAGCCACTCGATGTGTCGCTTCATGTCGATGTTTCTCTCTCTCTCCCTCTCCCTTCCTCTCTCTCCCTCCCACTCTATCTGTATAAAAATGGAAAAATATCCTCGGGTGAGGATAAAAAAAAAAGAGAGAGAGAGAGAAAGAAAATAGTGCGTTTTTTAACTTTTTGTTATTTAAGTCCTTTTTTTTTGGTACTTGCCCGTAGCGGGAACCGGACCCGGGACTCTCTGGTCCGCAGGCCGATGCTCCAACCACTGAGCCAAACCGGCCAGGGCTGTTATTTAAGTCTTTATAATACATAGTTGTGACTTTCTTACTGATAAAAATGTTTTCTTGTGAACCAGATGTTCTGCCTTACTCAATACGGGTCCTGTTGGAAGCTGCTGTGAGAAGTTGTGATGGCTTCTTAGTGAAGAAGGAAGATGTCGGGAACATTCTGGACTGGAAGACCACGCAGAGCAGAGTCGAGGTGCCCTTCTTCCCAGCCCGTGCTCTTCTTCAGGATTTCACGTGAGTGGCACCCTTCTTCGTGCGTGAATTTTCAGTGTTTCCTTTTTTAAATACCCTGATTTTAATTTTGAATATCGGTTTATAAATTTTTAAACATCGCCCTTTCTAAACTGAAGCAATTCTTTAAAAATTAGGCACTTGTTTCTTGTACCATTTATTTCAAAACTACTTTTAACTGCCTACTTCTTGTCCCAAGCCAGCTCACAGGCTTTTCAGACTTCACACCAAACTTGAGAGCCTGTCACAGCACCTCCTTCTCAGTATTTTCTTCTTTTTAAATTTTTTAAAAATATGGCTTTGTTGCCCTGGCTGATTTGGCTCAGTTGGCCTGTGGACCAGGGAGTCGAGGGTTTAATTCCTGTCCACGGCACCAGCCCTAGTTGTGGTCGTGCGGGAGGCAAACAGTTGGTGTGTGTCTCTCATCGATGTCTCCCCCCCCATCCGCCCGACTCTATATGAAGATAAATGGAAAAATATCCATTTTTAAAAATATGGTTTTGTAGATTTTAGAGGCAGGGAGAAGAAGAGAGAAACACTGATGTGAGAGGGTAACCTCCATTGGCTGCCTCCTGCCCCACTGGGGATCAAGTCTGAAACCTGGGCATGTGCCTTGACCCGGAATCAAACCAGCAATGTCTCAGTGCAGGGACAATGCTCAGCCACTGAGCCACACTAGCCTGGGCCTTCCCAGTCTTTTCCCATGTTGGTGGAGGGCACTGTCGTCTCCCGTTTGTTAGGGCAAAATCTAGGAGTTAGATTTTGATTCCTCTCTTTCCCTGATTCCTCTCTTTCCTTCATACCTACTCCAGTCTGTTGGCAAGTTCTGCCAGCTCTGCTTTGAGACGTGCCATCTCCACCACTGTCACCTGGTTCTGGCCTCATTGTCTTTTGCCTCGACTGCAGCCATAATCATCTCCTAACTGGCGTCCCTGCTTGCACACTTGCAAATCTATAGTCTTTTCGAAGTAGATGAAAATGTTAATCAAGGTTATATCATTTCCTTGTAGACCAGTTGGTTTCCATCACATGTAGAATAAAATCCAGTCTTCCTGAAAGACTTTGCCTGGTCTGGGTGTCTAGGGATTAGTCATTAGAAGAGGTCACCTTTAGCTGAGTTCTGAAGGAGCCGTAGGAGTTAGCCGGGCAGAACCGTCCCCTTCAGCACCCACGTGGATCTGGTTTGTCTGCCCCCGTGCTGAACTCTCCGTGCTGCTGTTGCAGTCCTCGTGATTCTGCCTTGTGACCATCGCTCCATCTGCACTGCAGACTGCTCGAGAGCAGGAACTGTCTTGTCTGGCCTGTGCTGTTGGTGCCTAGCTCACTGAATGCTTGTCACATCGTTGGCAGCAAGTGTGCAGGAGTATATAGTGGGCAACTTTGGAGGAGCAAGAAGGCTCTGGGGTGGACGGGGCTGGAGCTTGGAAGAAGGAAGGGGGTGGCATAAAATTGAAGGCAGGAGAAAGAATTCCATAGGCAGTTCCCCGAAGTTCTCTTATGCTTCTGAAAGTCATTTCTCTTATTTTTGGCATATCTACTCCTGAGCACTCAAGTCCTCAGATAGTATTTAATGTTAATTCTCATTAAACCAGAGTAGAGCCAACTTTGGATAACAAGTGCATTGTTGAACACCAATGCAAACTAAAAAGGGATACTTTTTTTTGTTAATCCTCACCTGCAGGTACTTTTCCATTGATCTTTAGATAAAGTGGGAGGGAGAGGGAGAGAAACATAAATGAGAGAGAGAGATACGTCAGTTAATTGCCTCCTGAATGACTCCATCCAGGGCCAGGGATCAAATATGCAACCCAGGTACATGCCCTTGACTAGTAATCAAACCTGTGACCCTTCGGTCCTCAGGCCAACACTTAATTGCTAAGCCAAACTGGCCAGGGCAGAAAAGAGGGATTTTACTTATTTTTTAATCCTCACTTGATATTTTTCCATTTATCTTCAGATAGAGTGGGAGGGAGGGAGGGAGGGAGGGAGAAACATCGATATGAGAGAGACACATCGACTGGTTGCCTCCCACACGACCTGAGCCAGGGACCGAGCTGCGACCGAGGTGTGCGCCATTGACTGGCGACTTTTCGGTCCACGGGCTGACGCTCTAACCACTGAGCACACCGGCCAGGGCATGGGATACTTTTTAAATATAGAAATGAATAAATGCATGTTAATAACTTGAACATATTTAAAAGAACAATTGGAACCACAATGTGATTGTGTTCTGTTTTTTAGTGGAATACCAGCAATGGTGGATTTTGCTGCTATGAGGGAGGCAGTGAAAACTCTTGGAGGTGATCCTAAGAAAGTCCATCCTGCCTGTCCGACAGACCTCACAGTTGACCATTCTTTGCAGATTGACTTCAGTAAATGGTACTTTAACACAGACATATAATGACAGCTGTGCAAGCCAGCTGACAACCACCCAGTGGAAGTGTGTGGTGTATTGGGCGGGGAGTAGGTAGTCTATGTCAGAGTACCCTACGTTTAGTGTTGACTAACACAGAGAGAGAAAACGTGGGTGACAAATTTATGTATTGGTGTTCTTTTTTTGTTTTTGTTTTTCTCAGTCTGAATTTATTTTTTACTTTTTTTAAATCTCACCTGAGGATATTTTTCTATTGGTTTTTAGAGAGAGTGAAAGGGAGGGAGGGAGAGAAAGAAAAACATCAATGTGAGAGAGACACATCAATTGATTGCCTCCTGCACTACCCCAACTCCGGCCAGGGATCAATCGTGCAACCAACAGACGTGCCCTTGACTGGGAACTGAACCTTTGAGTCTTTGGTCTGTGGGCCAATGCTCTAATCACTGAGCAAACCCGCTGGGGCTACTCAGTGTGAATTTAAAAGTTATTTTCATGTTTGCATATTTCTGCTGCCATTGTTGATAGAAATGTGCAGTGAGCCTAGAACCTGCCTTTTGGAGTAAACTGTCTGAGTGCAGTCTTCATGTTTCACTAGAGTTTTTTAACTTCCCTTCCAGGGAGGGTCTGAGGGTGTGAGCCATAAATGTCTCTAAGTAATTGGTGGTTGAAAACACTGAGCTCACTGAAGCTGTTTTCCTTCCATTGAAAAATTATTTGAAAGATTTATTGACCACAGTCAGACTAGAGAAGACATGATTTTTTATATACTCTGGAGTCTTGGAATAAGACCGAGATTTATCACAACTCATGAGAGTGTTTGCACTCTGGATTAAAACTATGGCTCTGAGCTTCTTTTAAGTTGTTGGATGAAATAAAACTATTTCAGTACTTGCTAAAAGGTTGTTACGGAAGTATGTGAAAATTATTTTATTGGGCACTTAGAATTATGTTTCCATCTTCATAAATTTAAATCCTCTGTTTCTTTTTTTGGTAACCTGAGATTTACTTTTAAAACTTGAGCTAAGTGGTGTGTTAACCTTCAGAGAGTTCAGTTACTTCCAGATGCATTGCTAGTGTGTGACTTTCGAAGAACTAAGTTTCTGTCACTTTTAACTGGTTCTGTTTCCTGTTTTGAAACGATAGTGCAATACAGAACGCTCCCAATCCTGGCGGCGGGGACCTGCAGAAAGCAGGAAAGCTTTCTCCACTTAAGGTGCAGCCCAGGAAGCTCCCCTGCAGAGGCCAGACCACCTGCCGAGGCTCCTGTGGTCCTGGAGAACTGGGCCGTGGCTCAGGAAGACCATCCGCGCAGATTGAGAGCACACCCCTTCTGTGCCCTTTTCATTTGCAACCAGTGCCTGAGTACGAGACTGTTTGTTTTTACTGTTTACTTTTTATTCATGCCTGGTTCTTTTTTAGTTAGGGAAATCCATGTATTCCCCTTCCCCTCCTGATTCCGGTTACTCTCCTGTCATACCAACCGCTGGGTGACGTAATGCCGTGTATTTCCTACCGTCCTGACAAAGTAGTTAAATCTGTTTCTGTTCCTCGGGAAGAAAACGTTAAGATTTTTCTGTAAGTATATTTAATTTCCATGACTACTGTAGGCAGAAAGATGGTGTTGCATTTTAAACTGTGAATATTTATTTTAGTGAATTTGTACCATCATTATTCATTCATATTTCTTTTCTGTATTCCCTATTTATATTTCTTACTGCATTAAGAATTCTATGTTAAAAAGAGGATTGTTATTGTATGTTTTAGACACATGGTTGCCTCTATGGCTCCGTGGAGAGTAGTGAACCTGCTTAGAAAAGACTCCTGGTCGTGGGTATTGGCTAAATTTCCTCATAGGTAATTTTTTAAGTTAAAATTTCTTTTTTTAATTTCAGGTTTTTTGAGATACAATGCTTCGGGTTGTAGTGACCCCGTGTATTCTCCCTTTCTAAGAATTCACCATGATCTCTGGGTCCTTTGCCATTAAATTATGACAGTTGATAGAATCGCTCCTTATTCCTATTACCTAGTTGTACTGATTATTCGGACATGTTGACTTTTGACATTAGTATCTCCTCTGACACAAGAATTCATTTCCTGAAAAGCAGGATTTATTGATTCAAAAATCATTGATTTTTTTTTGTTTGTTTTTTTCTTACTTTAAATTACGAAGTAGTGAGATGGGTAAGATGGGCTCTGTGCGGTCCCTGGCTGTGTAAAAATAGCAGCTCTTGAGTGTGCTGCAGTGCGTCGGTGAGGCATTAATTAGACTCAAACACGAAATTAAAGGTAGGAGTTGAATCACTGCCTAATTTGAAGTTGGGTTATGAGCTAATAAAGGTGTGGATGGCATTTTTATAACCACAGGTGCTGTGGGCACACAGTAATTGGCGTGGCCCTGGAAAGCTGTGTTCCCTGAGGCCTGGGAAAGCCTCCCAGGTGTGCTGTGGCTTCAGGTGATCTCTCAGCAGTGATTTGTCTTTGTTTCGGACAGGCTGACAGTTGAATAAGTGTAATTGTACCCTGGAGGGCACCTCTAACTTACACTTAACCGCCAGCCGAGTTGGCAGGTAGAGTAAGCAACTTAAAACTGTCAGTAATGATTTTTTTTTTTACGTATCCATTAGATAAAATTAAGCTTCCTCAAAATGGAACTATGTTTATTGTTTGGAAGTGAATTGTTCCTATCTCTGACTTAAATAGTTCATGAATTTACTTATAATTCACATAAAGTAAACTGCTAATTATAGATAAAATAGACCCTTTCATTTGGGGTGAGATGAATACAAGATTTGGACCAAAAGCTCCTTTAAAACTAAAATGACGTCGAATGTGTGATCACCAGCGTCCCTGTCCCCAGTGTTCCTGGCACAGGGGCCAAGTGGGTGAACATGTTCATACTGATGGTTAGTAAACTACACACTCGTTCCTTCTTTCCTGCAGTGGGAACCCAGCAGAACTTGCCACTTTATTTTTAGAACTGTTTTAGCCAGATCTCACAGTAGTGCACATTAAATACAGTCTGGGACACTGGTGTGGACGCGGCTTTAACATTCCCAATAAAAGAGTCCTTGCGTAGCTTTCTAGTGTGTTGTTTAAAGCCACACTCCCTGTTGAAAAGAAGGTAACAGCGTCCGAGAAGTCTGGTGAGGGGCTGTTCCCAGGATTTGAAAAGTGTGTGTGTGTGTGTGTGAGAGAGAGAGAGAGACGGGAGACTTGGAAGCAGTGCAGGTCTGTCTCAGAGAGAGAGAGAGAGAGAGAGAGAAGGGAGACTTGGAAGCAGTGCAGGTCTGTCCCGTAGCACCTGCAGCTAATGCCAGCTCTTCTTCCTTTTAGACCTGAAACAGTGTTAAAGCACCAAGAAGTAGAATTCGGCAGAAACCGAGAGAGGCTTCAGTTTTTCAAGGTATAAATGGTTTGGGAGAAATTTTTATATCTTTATACCAGTCATTTTTTAACACTGTGTAATAGTAGACCCCTTTATTTCTTCATAAAAACTTACTGGACAGCCCAGTGTGTAAGAAAATATAATGACAAGCTCTAGTTCAGGTGAACTGGGAGGGCTCCCCACTCCCATCCCCGAGTCCTGGGGACACAGCTGGAAACTGCCATTTATCTGGAGTCTTGGAATATTTTTCTTTGACTTAATTGTGTTTTAATAGTCTGCAAAATGAACCCTGGCTGGTTTGTCTCAGCAGTTGGAGCATCAGCCTGAGGACCAGAGAGTCCCGGGTTCGGTTCCTGCTAGGGGCGTGTACCAAAAAAAAAAAAAAAAGTCTGCAAAATGAGTATGTTCAGGTTTAGTCACTACATATTTATGGTTTTTTTCTGCATATTTGTTTTTAAGCATGTACTGTAAACTTGGACCCTATGGGACACTGGTAGCATTTTTAGTGTCCATGTTTGTTTATGTTTTAATGTTGAAACACATTCAGATAATGTACTGACACTTGGATTTCTTTACACAAAACCTAGTGGTGTTCCAGAGTGTTCAAGAACGTGGCTCTCATCCCTCCCGGGACTGGAATGGCTCATCAAGTGAACTTGGAGTACTTGTCAAGAGTGGTTTTTGAAGAAGAGGACCTCCTCTTTCCAGACAGTGTTGTTGGCACAGACTCCCACATAACCATGGTGAATGGTTTGGGGATCCTGGGGTGGGGTAAGTAAACGGCGAGTGTATTTCATTCTTTTTGGCAGAGGGCGTCAGGAACGTTATGAAAGAGCACAAGCAGAAGGTCTTCATCACCTCTGAGACCTTTCCATCCATAACAGTAGCAAGAAAATATATCTCAACTCGGGTGTTTGTGGACAGTGTGTTGTAAGAGAATTTACGAAAGTTGCACAGTGGTTAGAGTGATGGTGATGGGTCTGTGAAGCTGATGTGGTTACTCCCTTGTTTGAAGTCCTTCCGTGGCTTCCCCGGCCTTTTTGATAAATCCAGATTCCTTTGCGTTTTATACAGGGCCCTTCACAACCGGATGCTCTTTGGCCCTTCCCCCACACCCGTTCAAGTCAGTCGCTGGCTCCTGCGCGGCTGTGCTAGTGTCATGCCTTCGCACAGGCTGCTCCCTCTGGCAGGATGCTCTCACTCTATCGCATTGTGACAACTGACTCTTTTTGTCTTTGCCATTAGGCTGAGCTTCTTGGTCTTGACAGGGTTTTATTCATATCATATCTTGAGCAAGTACCCTACTTAGCATAATAAGTACTCCATGTTTACTGAACTCAATATAAAGGTAAAGATCCATTTTTTCAACCACATGAGTGGAGTCGTTCTTTTGAGAAGACTTGGGTTCCGAACCCACAGTAGTGGCAGGGAAGCAGCTCTGTGTTGCCAGGGTAGCTCGCGTTTTCTCTGTGTCCTGTGCTAACCGTGTGTGTCTCTCATGGCAGGGGTTGGAGGCATCGAAACAGAAGCAGTTATGCTGGGGCTGCCTGTTTCCCTCACGTTGCCCGAGGTGGTGGGATGTGAGTTAACTGGCACATCGAACCCTTTTGTTACATCCATAGACGTTGTTCTTGGCATCACAAAGGTACGTTCGAAGTGTGCTGGGACACATTTCCCTTGTCCCAGTAAGTACAAGACAGTTGGCTGTGTCATGTTCACTTGACCTTGTTTATTCCTCACTACAAGCCTGGGAGATTGGTACCAATATTGATGGCCCATTTCCCCGTCTTCACTCTGAGAAGACAGGCATGGTAAGGCTGAATGCCTTGCCAAAGGCTCCCAGGGCTGGACAGGAAGTGGTGGAACCGGCATTCTGACCCAGACAGGCAGGTTCTTGAGTCCATCTCCTGCCCTTCTGCCTTCTTCCTGCCTCAGCAAGCAGCTGGTTGGCTCCATGGATATCAGGAAGAGTCAAATCTCCTTTATTTTTTTATTTTTTTGCGTTTATCTTCAGATAGAGCTGGAGGGGGAGAGGGAGGAAGAGAGAGAAACATCGATGTGAGAGAGACACATCGAGTGGTTGCCACCCACACGACCCCAACCGGGGCTGGGGATGAACTGAATCCAGGACCTCCGGTCCACGGGCCAACGCTCTAACCACTAAGCCAAACCGGCCAGGGCTTAGATCTCCTTTAATACTTAATTGAATCATTCTTCCTTTAAAACCATAACTTACAAGATAATAGTTTAAAAAACAGCGACTGAGGAAATAAATGTGATGGTGTCAAACTTCTCTGTTGACCATTCTAACGTTGCTTTAGAATACTGGCTGCGAGTATTCAGTATAGGTGCTCTGGGGTTTGCTAGTGAACAGTGTATGTAGCTCCTCATCCGAAATTTCTGGTGCTCACTGGCTTCATTTTAATGACTCAGTCGCATGAACCTGGGGGAGTGTTCTGCATGGAATCCCAGTTGGACGCAGGTCTCAGCACTTAGGGTCTGGTTGTAGTTGGAGGACTTTCAGGAGACTCTGCAGGGAAAGGAAATGGCATTGCCTCCCTCTCAGCATGTGGTATTGATCCTTTCCTAATTGGAAGACCTTTGACTCATTTATTTTTTAATCCTCACCCAAGGATGTTTTTTTAATTTATCTTTAGATAGAGTGAGAGGGAGAGAAAGGAAGAGAGAGAGAAACATCACCGTGAGAGGGACATATCGACTGGTTGCCTCCCACACGACCCCCAACCGGGGCCGGGGACGACCTGCAACTAAGGTATGTGCCCTTGGCCAGAATTAAACCCGTGACTCTTTGGTCCGTGGGTCGGCGCCCTAACCGCTGAGCTGAACCGGCCAGGGCAGCTTTTGACTTCTTACAGAAATGATTGACTTGACGTGTGGACCAAAGATCAAGAAGTTAAATTGAGAATTACAGCTTTATTCTCAGAAAAGGGACATCCCATTATGTTTGTAGAGAAGACAGTTCTTCCTTTCAGATATCCTGAAAATTAATGCTGCTTTTCAGACCCCTCTGGCTGTTTTATGTCTGTTTTTGGTATTTGGACTCACTGTTACAAAAATTACACTTATTATGCACACATTTATTGAAGATTATATTTGTTTGAGTCCTGTTCCATTCGTGATCTTTATAGGATTAATCATGTATGTTTTGACTGTACATTGTGGTCCTTCGTTGATTTGGTGAGAGCAGCAGCAGGCGTGTCTGACTCGTCTTACTCTCCTTTGCAAAGAAAATAAGCATGAATGTAAGGAGACATCTTTCTCTTAGGCTTGAGTTTCTACATCTATGAGACAAGGGTTTGGATTCAGTGACCCCTAGCACCTCTGCCACGTGGGACTTCACATTGTCCGTAGGTAGAGGTTGCTTCCTTCTTGGCTGCCCTTTAGGCTCCCTCCCTACACCAGTCTGAGCCCACTGCCCAGTCTAGGAAAGGTCAGTAGCTGTTTTGGTTAGTTATTTGGTAACAACTAAAAAAATGATTTTAGAATGAATTAAGTTTGAAGCCACATGTTAAATTCTATGAAAATGGAATTTACTTACAATTAATATTGCTGTAAATATTGGGACCAGTAGTTGAAATCTGAAGAATATTTATAGCCAGTGTATAATTTCTTGTTTTTAGACACAGTTCGATCAGTGTGTTAGTATTTTCGTTAAATCTAAGGTGCCGTCAGTGGCTAGAAGCACCGTTACTTTAGGTACTGCTAAGAAAGAGGGGCTGCCAGCTCCCAGACACGCCCTGGAGTCTGAGCAGGACTCCGGCTCCAGAAGCCGCCACGTGGCTCTTGGCCTCGTGGAGCTCGCGCCCTTTCTGCTCCGACCGCAGGGACACGGCCTCTCCTCTCACGACTGCCATTTTAGAGCACCGCAGAGGCCTTGGCTTCACGGTCACGTGTCGGGTGAAAACCAGGTGATTCGGTGTTCGGAGAACCCATCCCGTCCTGCTAACCAGTGTGTTTCTGTGCGTCCCTTTGTGCAGCACCTCAGGCAAGCAGGAGTGGCTGGAAAGTTCGTTGAGTTTTTCGGAAGTGGAGTTTCACAGTTATCTATAGTGGATCGAACTACAATAGCAAACATGTGTCCAGAATACGGTGCTATCCTCAGCTTTTTCCCTGTTGACAATGTGACGTTAAAACATTTAGAACATACAGGTAAGAAGATACAAGATCATTAGGATAAATGTTACATTGCCAGTGTGTCTGCCTGAGCTGTTTTCACAGGAAATCACTACCTTGTTTTTTAATGTTCATGAAGTTATGTTATTTTGGGGCAGTGGCTTTCAAATAAACTGCATCCAGTGACTTGAATGTTGAAAAGTAGTCTCTTACCCATTTACAATCAGTTTAAAGGAATTATTCAAACCGCTGATCTTCACCTCACTTCTCCGCGCGGTGAGGTTGCCCCGCCCTGCCCAGGGATGGGGTGGTCTAATGGTCACTGCTTCTCCCTCTACCGCCAGAGCTCTGCCTGAAGGATGAGCACGTGATCTGTGGACAGTAGCGTAGGGTTCCGGGTTTCCATCTCTTTCGTAGCCTGATGGACTAGGAACTTTGGCCACTCTTCCGTTTGGGGGCAGATTATTTTAAGTTAACAAGTCAGTGGCAAGATGGTTGTGGTCATTTGGAGCCTTAGAGGAAACTGCCCTCATAGAGCACAGAGCTTCCTCTGAACTGGATCTGGTTGGTAGGACATCAGAGAGAGTGGTTACAGCGGCCTCACTCCTTACATATTAGAATGAGGTATTACCAGCCTGTTACTGTGTGACCAGTTATCCTAAAACTTAGTGGCTTGAAACAGCAAGAATCTTTTATTGCCACATGGTTTCAGTGGGTTGCTAATTCACACAGGACAGCCTGCCTGTGCTTTGTGGTGTCAGTAGCCTCGGCTGCAGGACTTGAGAGCCAGGCTAGGGAGTCCGGCAGGGAGTGCTGGCAGGCAGCTGTGGTTCCTCCATGTGACCTGAGCGCACGTGCGCACCAGCCAGATCCCATTGGTCAGATTGCAGAGGCACCAGCAGATGCCACCTCTTGATGGAGGCACTGCCCTCACACTGTAAGAAGAACGTGTAGTTGGGGAACCTACTGCTGTGGCAGACATTGGAGAACACACCCTGCCACAGCCATTCACTTCTCATCACGCTTATGCATAACCCGCCAGATGTTATGTTGGAAACTCTCATATCAACATCTAAATTCTTTTTATTTCTGGAAGAGATTTCTGCTCTGTGAAAGTTCTTTTTTTTTTTTTTAATCCTCAACCAAGGATATTTTTAAATTAATTTTTAGAGTGGAAGGGAGGGGTAAAGGAGAGGGAAACATCATGTAAGAGAGGCACATCGACTGGTTGCCTCCCGCATGTGCCCCAACTGGTGCTGGGAAATCGAACCTGCAACCCCAGATGTATGCCCCTGACCGAGAATTGAACCCATGACCCTTTGGTCTGCAGGCTGATGCTCTAACCACTGGCCACGGCTCTGTGAAACTTTTTAACTTTCATCTTTCATTCTATTAGTGCTACTTATTGTTTAGGGACAGTAATGAATTTACTCTTCATGGTGGGTAGTAATTTATTATATTCAATTTTATTATTGTTTTTTCTTTTGCAAACTACTTTTTGTGAACTTTAATAGCATTGGTTCTATTTCTGATCTTGGTTGTGATCTATTAAGTTTTAAGGAGGTGGCTGCTATGTAGTTTATAGTTTTTCACAGAGCAAAATTCTTACTACTGTTGAGAATAATACCAAGTACCAATTTGTAAAGAAATCAATTCTGAGTCCTGTGTAATTTATAATACTCATTTCTAACTCATCATTGGAATTCAACACACCCCCGAAGGTTTCAGAATTCCTACTGGGTGTTTGTTATTTATCTTTTTAGGTTTTGACAAAGCCAAACTCAAATCAGTGGAGACCTACCTTAAAGCTGTGAAGTTGTTCAGAACTGACCAGAATAGTTCGGGAGAACCTGAGTACTCCCAGGTATGTGCAGAGTGGCCCACCTAGTACTGCTGTGAGTTCTGAGCCTGGCCACCTGGGTTTCAGTCCCAGCTCTAAGATTTATTAGCCATGTGACCCTGGGCAAGTTGATTAGCCTTTCTGCCTCAGTTTTCTTATCTCTCAAATACGAAGATAATGTCTATTGCGTAGAGTTCTTAAGAGATTAAATACAAATTCACTAAAACAGTGTCAGGCACACAGTGAGTGCTCAGTAAATTCATTAATTTTACATAGATTTTTATGACAACAAAACTGAGAAAGAAGAAAGGTTTCCTAAGCTGACCTCCACCATCACAGCAGGCAGAGGGCAGTTTTGAGGCCCAGGTGCAGAAGGTCGTAGCTGGCACAGCCATCCATGTTTATGTGGTGGGAGAAGGGCACCTGGGGAACAAGAAGGTTTATGTAGTCTGTGCAGTTGGTCGTGTGACAGTTTGCATCTGCTAGTCTTGCTTTTAGCAAATGTTCATGTTTCATAAGTTAAATGGGTTTTAAAATATTCCTCTTTGATGGATGCTTTTCACCATCACAAGTTGCGCACAAACAAATGTAAACACAAATGTAAATGTAAATATAAATGTAAGTAGTGCTTGAATTGGAATCTATCCTTATGAATCCTAATACCTTTTCTTCCACTTCTCTCTTGTTTCTAGGTGATCCCGATTAACCTGAATTCAATAGTTGCTTCTGTCAGTGGTCCCAAACGACCGCAGGATCGAGTTGCTGTGACAGAGATGAAGAGTGATTTCCGAGCTTGCTTAAGTGAGAAGGTAGAAGACCTCGCTGTCGTCTTAGGTTAAAATCTAGTTTCTTGCCCTGGCCGGTTTGGCTCAGCAGTCAGAGCATCAGCCCGCAGACCAAAGAGTTGGGGTTCAATTCTGGTCAAGGGCATGTACCTCGGTTGCAGTTTGTCCCCAGCCCTGTTTGGGGTTGTGCAGGAGGCAACCAGTCGATGTGTCCCTTTCACGTCAATGTTTCTCTCCCTCCCTCCCACTCTGTCTGAAGATAAATAGAAAAAAATCCTCAGGTGAAGATTTTTTTTTTTTAATTTAGTTTCTCAGTCACAGTAGCCTCATTTCAAATGCGGAATAGCCATGTGTGTCTGGGCTCTTGTGTCCGATGTGTTTGTGCTGTCGCGGGATTCTGCTAGACGGCAGTGCTCCAGACCAGAGACCGAGACCCGCGGCCTGTCTGAGGGTCACGCTGCACACCCGTCACTTTCTCTGCTCTGAGAGCTCGTGGGCGGGCGTTCTTCCCAAAGCTTTTGTTTTCATGATTTATTGATTTTCTTGTTGTGGAGAAGTTCGGGCTGACACGGGAATAAACGGTGCATCCTGGGCACCTCCACTTCTCAGTTACCAGCTGGCTCACAGTCTGCAGACACACAGGGTCACTTCAGCGAAAAGTTTGTCCTGCCTCTTTTTTGTTGTTAACTTTTGTTTTAATCTTCACCAAGGATACTTTTTCCATTGACTTCTAGATAGAGTGGGAGGGAGGGGGAGAGGGAGAGAGAAACGTTGATGTGAGAGAGACACGTGGATTAGTTGCTTCCCGCACAACCCCATCCAGGGCCCGGGATTGAACCTGCAACCAAGGCACATGTCCTAGACCAGGAATTGAACCCATGACCCTTTGGTCCACGGGCCGACGCTCTGCCACTGAGCCAAATCAGCCAGGGCTGTCCCCCTCTTGAGAACTACTGTGAGCGGGAATGAATAGAGAACCTCAGAGCCGAGTGAGAGCTGGACCCCGAGTACTTGGCTGACCTGTCAGTAGATAAAAGCTGTGGGCACAAGCAGACGCCTCTCATGACTGTTCACCCTCCTGCTCCAGCTGCATCACAGCGACTGAGGTCATGGGCCTTTAGCATCTCTTGCACTGGCTTATAACTTCAAGTGTTAAATCAGCTAACGTCAAGGATCTGCCTTTTTCTACCAGCCCTTTTTCCTGTACGTGTCCAGGACATCGCGTTTACGTGTGCGCATTTCCACAGGTCGGGTTCAAAGGCTTCCAGATTGCAGCCGAAAAGCAGAACGATGCCGTGTCTGTTCACTACGAAGGCCATGACTACCAGCTGTCGCACGGGTCTGTGGTCATCGCCGCGGTCACCAGTTGCACCAATAACTGCAACCCGTCCGTCATGCTCGCTGCAGGTTGGTGGTGGGTGAAGGTCACACGTCTTTCTAAATTATTTGCATCTTTTTGTCACATTCACCTTCTGCTTCTTAGATGGTGCACGAGCATTGGTGTCTGTTGGCCGGTGAGGACTTGGAGGTTTGAATGAGGTCTTTAGGAGCCTGAGTTTGATTTATGTTACTAGTTTTATGTTTAGTGCACAGAAGGTACGTCATTCTCTTGTAACTTACACGTCTGTTAGTTTGAGGTCATATCTGCTCTGTTAACTTAGGGCTGTTCATGAGCAGGTCTCTTGAGAAGCTGCTGGGGATTCAGCACTGAGAGTGGAGGGAAGGTGGCGGACAGGGCATCCGAGGGGTCGGTCGTGCGCCTGGGCCGTTGCTGACGTTGCTACTTGCCAGGACCGTGTGTCGTTGCGTTGCTGTCAGTTCATTACGATTATGGCATTTAAGATCCTTCATTAACATCATGTGTCTGAGACTGCTATCGGGTTGTACCCTAAATTTTTTTTCAGGTTACACCTTAATCTACAATGTAAAGGCTACTACACCTACTGTAGTGTTTTGTTTTATTTTTTTAATTTTTTTTTTATCCTTACCCAAGGACATTTTTCGATATTTTGTTCAGATAGAGTGGGAGGGAGGAGAGAGACATCGACGTGAAAGGGACACATCGAGTGGTTGCCACCCACACGACCCAACCAGGTCCAGGAACAAACTGCAACCAAGGTACATGCCCTTAGCGGGAACCAAACCCGGGTCTCTCTGGACCACAGGCAGACGCTCTAACCGCTGAGCCAAACCGGCCAGGGCTGTAGTGTTTTGTTTTAAATGAAACAAATCTATAGAAAAAAATGAGTAAAGTGTATGGATTTGGACTTTTACCCTGAGGTGAATTGGAGATCCACCTGTTTAATTAATAACCCTTCCTTGTTCCTATTTAGATGTGTGGGAAAGACGGCAGCATCGTAATCACGGTTTGTTTACTCTGCAGGCCTTTTGGCTAAGAAAGCTGTTGAAGCTGGTCTGCGTGTTAAACCGTATATAAGAACAAGCTTATCGCCGGGCAGTGGGATGGTCACGCATTACCTCAGTGCCAGTGGAGTGCTGCCGTATCTGAGTAAGCTCGGGTGAGTGCCAGCTGCCCTGCTCACGTCGACGCTGCTGTCCGCATGTGCAGCTGCCTGTCAGGCCTTGTTGCCTTGCCATTACCACCGGCACCTGAGGCCTTCGTCCTGAGAGAACATGTGTGAGCATGCTCAGTGCGTAAGGCAGTGTGTTGGCTAGAGAAGCACATGTGACCTCTAGTTTCAGGATGGAAAGACAAGACAGGTGACAGTGATTGACAGTGCAAGGGTTGGTGCCAACTATTGCATACTTGCCCTGTGTTGTGTGGGTCATTTTTCAGAAACGGATGAAATATTACAGGTTGTATTATTAACTGAGCAAATTGTTTTAAGTGAGGTTTTATGAGGTTCCTGGGTCTATTAAGCATAGTTTAACAGGAACTTTGGAGAAAGTAACATTTCACATTTCTTACGTACTGCTCTAAAATATAATTGATGCTAGCCTATTTTGAGTGTGTGCTTCAGGCCATACTGTCTTAATTCCTTTGCATGCCTAATAAATGTTATGGGTATTTTTGGGGGAGTAGATTTAGAAGAGCAACTGAAAGTAATTTTGTGGATTATATCTATAATTTTTTAGTTACATCATCTTGAAATTTTTGTCAGGGACTTTCCTTAGCTTAGTTGGTTTAGACGTGAAAAATTTACTCCGATCATCACCCAATCACAGTGCCTTTTGGGGGCCTTCGGTCAGATTATAGCTGGGGCCTCCCGATACTTTACAGTTGAAACCCCTTTGGAGGAAGTACGCTTCAATGTTTGAGTGGTCATGTCATATCCTGGCAAGCAGATTGGAGGGATTTTCTTGTACAGTAGCTGTGTACATAGCTTCTGTGTCAGGTGGTGTCGAACCCAGCTGGGGAGCAGCTTCAGTGTCCCGCTCTCCAGAGGTTTGCACATGGGAGGCAGTGTGCCGGAGGGTGAGCCTTGACGCCCAGAAGCTGCAGTGACTGTACCCATAAAGGTTAATTCGTGTGCCTCACGAATGTTTCGAGTAATCGGTAGTAGAGGAGATGAAAGATAAAGCCTGCCCCTCCTTGACACGCATCGTGATGTCTGTCCCGTCACGCTTGTTTCCAACATGCAGATTTGACATCGTTGGCTATGGCTGCTCGACGTGCGTGGGGAACACAGCGCCCTTGTCAGAAGCTGTCCTGAGTGCTGTGAAGCAGGTGAGGCAGTGCCCAGTGACAGCCACATGGGCTTCTTCTAACTGCATTTTGTTATTAGACTATAGGAGATGTGCACTGTTGTGTTTGTTTCTGTAGTCCTTGCACCTCTTTGGAAGAGTAACCTGTCAATCTTAAAATAATTAGAAGAACCATTTTTTTTATTCTTGAAATAATTCCTTAAAAATGTGTCCTGGCCATTTTGGCTCAGTGGTTAGAGCGTTGGCCTGCAGACCAGAGAGTCCCGGGTTCCATTCCTGCTAAGGGCACGTACCTCGGTTGTGGTTTGTCCCCGGCCCCGGTTGGGGTCGTGTGGGTGGCGACCACTTGATGTGTCTTTTTCATGTCAATGTTTCTCTTTCTTTCTCTCTCTCTCTCTTTTCCTCCCTCTCTCTCTCTCTTTTCCTCCCTCTCTCCCTCCCGCTCTATCTGAAGATAAATGCAAAAATGTCCTCGGGTGAGGATTAAAAAAAAAAAAATGTAAGGAGTTAATTTAGCTTATTTCCAGGATTGATAGTCTGGGCTGTAGAATTGGTAATGTGCTCTTTGGTTATCTTGCCCTAAGAAATATAATATTTGTAGTTGCTTTATGATTATACAAATTGGCATCATCTCTTAAACTGAATCTGTGTGTGTGTGGTTTTTTTCCAGGGTGATTTGGTTACTTGTGGAGTTTTATCTGGAAACAAAAACTTCGAAGGTCGTCTTTGTGACTGTGTCCGTGCCAGTTATCTGGCCTCTCCGCCCTTAGTGGTGGCTTACGCCATAGCCGGCACCGTGAACATCGACTTCCAGACAGAGCCTTTAGGTATCTCCTTCGTGTGTGTGCTTGCACACCTGCACACAGGCATTCTGTTTGTTACGTATTCGTTGTATTTTGAAATGTTTCTTATACCATTTGTCCTTTGAATTATTTTAGGAAATTGTACCGTAGTTATTAATTTCTGTAGTCACAGGAAGAAGGTAGAATGTGCAAGTAATCAGCTTCCGGCTGCTGAAGCCTGGCGCACTCCAAGGGACGTGCTCGGTTCCCTGCTGTGTCTCTGAAAGGGCACAGCTGTCTTGAGGGAGTTATTTCTTACACCACATCTCATTTTTAAATGTTTTAACCAGGTACTGACCCCACCGGCAAGAATATCTACCTGCATGATATTTGGCCTAGTCGAGAAGAAGTTCATCAGATAGAGGAAGAACATGTTACATTATCCATGTTTAAAGCATTAAAAGAGAAAATAGAGGTCAGAATCTCACTTGTTTCTTAAATAGTTTGATAAAGTGACAGTGTTTATTTTACTCTTCTTGCTTTCTGAACAGGACAAAAACTTAAATCACATTATTTTTAACACGGTCTGAATGAGTGATAGTCATTTTGTATTTGGAATCTATGTATCTGAGGAACAGTGAGAATACTGGAACCGATGTCATTGCTTATTGGAAACGTATCGTGAGCATCTACACCTGGTGTCCTGAATCACGGGCACATCATCAGAATATCCCTTGCTCGTCACTTTCACTCAAGTGGCTCAGCATTGAGAAGTGGGAGCAAACACTGCCCGCCCTCTGCCCCCTCAGGTGGCCAGAGGTGTTTCCTCAGCACCTCCCATAGGTGTCTGTGCCGTGCAGGCATGGAGCGGATCATACATGTGAGGGCAGAGAAAGCATGTGTTCACTTAACACATACTTACTGAGCACCAACTATGTGCTTGGCATGTGCCTGTGAATAAAACACAGAATTCTCATGGAGAGAGGCAGACAGTGAACAGTGCCTCATTAGGTAAACTACAAAGTATATTTAGAAGTGATACATTGTTTATATGGAAAAAAGTAGACCAGGGTAAAGAGAACCAGTTGTGCAAAATTTGTGGAGTAAATTGCAGTTGCGTATGGGTTGGTGGAAAACACAGCCCTTGAGATGAGTTTTGAAGGTGAACAAGTCGGACATATGTCTGGACCAAGAGGAAGACTTTCCAGGCAGAGGGAACAGTGGCAGGGCCTCCGGAGGGAGCCTCAGCAAGCACTGTGTGGCCACAGCATAGGAAGCAAGGACAGCGGTAGGAAATGATGTCAGCGAAGAGGAGGACCAGAGCTTATAAGGAATTTTAGACTGTTATAAAAATTTAGTTTTTTACTCTGAAGTTAGATGGGGAGCTGTTGGAGGTTTTGAACAGAGGAGTGTCATCATCGGAGGGACTGCTCTGTTTTCCTTCTGAAATGCACTGGGGAGAGGTGGTTGGGAAAAAAGATGAAGGAGTAGACCAGTCATGGTCCAGAGTACCAGTGGTAATGGCAGGGCCATCAGGCTGCAGAATGACAGTGACATTGCAATGTAGTTTGAAGGTAGGACTAATACTCAGTGATATGGGACAGGTACATTGAAAACAGCAGGTTTCTCTCCATTGTCACTTTTTTTAATATATTTTTTTCTTTATTGATTTTAGGGAGAGAGGAAGGGAGACGGGGAGAGAGATAGGAACGTCAATGAGAGAGAACATCAATTGGCCGCCTCCTGCATACCCCCCACAGGGGATTGGGCCCACAACCTGGGCATGCGCCCTGACCAGGAATCAAACCGGTGACCTGTAGGTGCAGGGCCGACCTCAACCACGGAGCCACACCGGCTGGGCTTAAAGATCAACAGCATATGCCACACACAGCAACCTCATTTCTCTTTAGCAGCATGTGTAGATCTTCCTAAATTCTATAGCTTTTTTGGGATTCTGTAGTTTTGTTTTGTTTTTAATCCTCACCCGAGGATGTGTTCATTGATTTTTTTAGGGAGAGAAAGAGACACATCGATGTGAGAAACATCAGTTGGTTGCCTCCCATGCGTGCCCCAGCTGGGGATGGGACCCCTCCTGGCACACAGGATGACACTCCAGCCAGCGGAGCCACCTGGCCAGGCAGAGTCTATTGTCTTTTATGTCCCGTTTACATTAAAACTTAGCTTCTAGGGTGTTCCTGCAAATGTGTTGTGCTGGGATTTGAGCAAGTCTTACTCCTTCTGAGAACCTCATGATTTTGTAGAGTGCGTTATCCTACTTTCTTTGGAAATGGATAAGACCTTTTTATTATTATTATTATTATTATTATTATTATTCTAACCTAAATACTACTTTATCCCCTTGATCATTTTTATAAACCTTTTTCTGACTCCATTTTGTCTTTGTTTTGGTTCTCAACCGAAACCATGTTCACAGATGGGTGATAAACGGTGGAATTCCTTAGAAGCTCCGGATTCAGTTTTGTTTCCGTGGGACTCAAAGTCCACGTATATCAGATGTCCCTCGTTTTTTGACAAGCTTGTAAGTATGGTTTTACTATTTCATCTTTCATTTTTATTTTTTTGTTAATCCTCACCCAAGTATATTTTTCTATTTATTCTTGGAGGGAGGGAGGGTGACAAACATTGATTGGCTGCCTCCTGCACGACCCTGACTGCGGCTTGGGATCTAACCTACAACCCAGGTACATGCCTTTGATCAGAATCGAACCCGAGACCCTTCGGTCTGTGCGCTGACGCTCTAACCACTGAGCAAAACCGACCAGGGCTGTTTCATCTGTTAAAGGTTGTTATGAAAATACATGTCTCATGAAGAGTTAAATGCCTTCAACTTTCTTTTGCCTTTAGACCAAAGAGCCAGTTGCCCCCCCACCCATTGAAAATGCCCACGTCTTACTGCATCTGGGAGACTCCGTCACGACAGACCACATCTCGCCGGCGGGAAGCATCTCCAGGAGCAGTGCTGCTGCTAAGTATCTGACAAACAGAGGGTGTGTGCGAGGGTGAGGGTGTCTCGTCCTGCTCCTCCGGCCAAGAGGCCCCCACAGCCGTGCTCCGCTGTCCAGGGAGCGCACAGTGCCCTTGTGTGCGGTGCTGTTCCTGCCTCTGCAGAGCTTTAGATGTGGAAATTGCTACTTTAAATAGAGCCCTTGTAATCTGAATAAAAAGCTGATTGGAAACAAGATTTTGCTTTTTTAGGGCTACTTTGTTGAAAAATCAGCTTGGCCCTTGCCAGTGAGGCTCCGTTGATTGAGCATTGTGCGGTGCACCGAGAGGTGGCCAGTTTGATTCCGTGTCGGGCACATGCCTGTGTTGCGGGCTCCATCCCCAGGGCATGGGTGTGCAGGAGGCATCCAATTGAAGTTTCTCTCATTGATGTTTCTCTCTCCCTCTCTCTCTCTCTCTAAAATCAAAGAAAATGTAATAAAAAGAAGGAAGGAAAGAAAAATCATCTTGGTTTGACCTACCACATAAAGGCTGATGGTTTGGTTCTAACCATCCTCCTATTGTTGGAGCATGGCATCTAAATGTGTTTGTGGCTATAAAATGTTCATGCACGAGGCTGGGTTTGACTGGTGTCGGTTCAAAAGATGGATCGTTTTGTTTTTTTGTTTTTTTTTAATCCTCACCCAAGGTATGCTTTTATTGATTCTAGAAAGAGGAAGGGAGAGACATCAACGGGAGAGAGAAACATCGATTGGTTTGCCTCGTGTACATGCCCAACCAGGGACAACCTGCCACCTTTCTGTGCAGGGACAATGCTCCAGCCTGCTGAGCCACAGCGGCCTGGGCGAAAGATAGGTCTCAGCAAGCCACTAGATGTGACATCTGGTGTGTACGATGCAGGGGACAGAACAGCATGTGAAAGGGGCATAAAGGTGCGGTCAGCACAGCCTAGTACAGAAAACAGATGAAGTACAGGGACAGACAGAGGTAAATGCAGAGATTAAAAGAAGCTTGATCAGCTGGATTTGCATCCTGATTTGAACAAACAAAATGATGTGGGACAAGGACATTTGAATATTGGCTAGCTATCTGATGGTAAGAAGTTGTGACTTCTTTTTTGTTATTGATAGTATTTTTTAGGGATCCATATCTTTTAGAGAAAGCAGCTGAAATACATACAGTTAAAATATGCTGAGTTCCCTGGGCATTCACTGTTCTTTTTTCTCTACTTTTATATATTCTTGAAATGTCCATAGTGAAAAGTGTTTCCTAGTAAGTTTTACAACTCAACAATGTGTGATTGTGTTCCATCTGAAGTGAAAACTGGCTTTTATAACTTCCTTATAGGCTTACCCCTCGTGAATTCAACTCTTACGGAGCCCGGAGAGGCAATGACGCTGTGATGACAAGAGGCACTTTTGCAAATATCAAACTTTTTAATAAGTTTATTGGAAAACCGGCTCCCAAAACCATCCATTTTCCGTCAGGACAGACGGTAAGGACGCATACAAAGCACCTAGACGAGTGCTGACTACGTCGGAACTTGCATCACCGACGTGGTGTCTGTTCTGACCCGCAGCTGGACGTGTTCGAGGCTGCAGAGCTGTACCGGAGAGAAGGCGTCCCCGTCATCATCTTAGCAGGGAAGAAATACGGTGCAGGGAGTTCCAGGGACTGGGCTGCCAAAGGACCATATTTGCTGGTATTGATTCTTAAATTTTATATTCTCAAACTTCTGAGTTTTTGTTTTGCTTATTAATCCTTACCCGAGGATATTTTTCCATTGATTTTTACATAGAGTGGGAGGGTGAGAGGGAAAGGGACAGAGAGAAACATTGATGTGAGAGACACATCAGTTGGTTGCCGCTTGCAAGAGACCCTGACTGGGGCCGGGGATTGAACCCGGAACCCAGGTACATGCCCCTGACTGGAATTGAACCCGCAACCCTTTGTTCCATGGGCCGACACTGTAACCACTAAGCCAACCAGCCAGGATGGACTTCAGAGTCTTAAGTTTATTTGCAACATCCTATTAAACTTTATTTTACTCATTTGGTTTTTTATGCTTATTTTGATCTCAATATTTGTGGGTTTTTTAAAGAGATCATGTATATTTTGGACTTAGCTAGTTGCATCAGTACTCTGAATTTAACTGAACTACATCAGTCTTTTCTTATGTGAGAAAATCCATATGGTAGCCGAAGAGATGATGATCATGATTTGTACCCACTGGAAGTGTCCTGTGCCCGTTTCCCTGGACTTTCTCAGATTTGCTCTGTCGAGGTCGACAGAGATGTGGGCCAAGTATCACTCATTTCCCCAAATAGAAGGTGATGGTGGCTGGCTGTCCTCTGGAAGACACTTCTGCTGAGACTGCCCGTCGGCAGCAGCAGGAGTGCTCTGGTGAGAGCAGCCCGTGTCGCCCGCGGGGCTTCTCTGCAGCTGTGGTTGTGACGCGGCGGAGATGGCCCTCGTCACCCTCATGCGCACAGTCTTCTGCCCTGTGGTCTCCCTGAAAGTGTGAATAGTCAGCCAGATTCTCTCATGTTTTTGAGATATTACAAGTACTGTATTAATTATAGGTATAAGTTTTCTTTTTTCCTGAAGTTTTCTTAGTGTTTGTTTTTATGTTCTAGGCTTTGCTCCTCTAGCTGGTGGTGTCCGTTCAGCTAGACATTAAGTCACTGACTTCGGGGTGTGGGTGTGGGTGTGGGCTGGTGTTGCAGTCCTGGGCCTCACTGCAGATGGCTGGCCGGGGAAGCTGCCTTTCTGTTGAGGGGTAGCCCTGTGTCAGAACCTGTGAGAGGCAGAGACCCGTCCAGGACCGAGGCTTCGACCTCGCTGGTACTGGCGAAGGCGTTCTCGCCCTGCCCAGGGTTTCTAGTCCAGAGCCCTCTGCAAGGTGGCAGCCCTCCTAAGGAATGAAGGTCAGTTCTTGATTGTTAAAAAGTCTTACCTCTTGATATATAAAGTACAGGTGTACACATTGCTCGTAGACAGGTCGCACCAAATATTTGTTCTGTTAACGTTCGGGGCGTGGGCAGTGAGGACAAGGACGTGATCAGGGGAGATGTCTGAAAGGGCTCCCGAGGGCAGTCATTACTTTTAAAAGTTGAGAAACACAGGCTGAGAGCCTGACCGGCAGCTCTGGCTGCTTTCAGACCCCTAAGGGCACCGGCGTTCCGACAGCCTTGGGCCTCTGGGTCTCCAGCCTTTCGCAGCTCTTGTTTGTAGATGTACTCAGACCTTGGTACGGCTCTTTTTTTTTTTTTTTTTTTTTCTAATCCTCACCCGGGGATGTTTTTCAATTTATCTTCAGACAGTGGGAGGGAGACAGAAGGAGAGAAAGGGAGAGAGAAAAAAACATCGATGTGAGGGTAACACATCAGTTGGCTGCCTCCTGCACAACCCTGACCAGGGCTGGGGACGAACTGCAACCGAGGTACTGAGGTACGTGCCTTTGGCCGGAGTTGATCCCGGGCATCATTGGTCCGCAGGCCGATGTTCTACTGCTCTCTAATTGTGGTTTGTCCTTCTGTACTTCCAGCATTGAGAGCTAAGTCAGTCACCTGTGTCCTCTCCTAAGTAGTTCTGGAGTTCATTCGTCCTGTCCTTGCGTTTCTGGGGGCTACACCTTCTCTGTCTATTTTGGTTCTGTTTCAAGAGGCAGTGTTGGTAGCGCATGTCAGATCCACCTTATTGAACAGACCCTGCGCCCTCTGAGGCATTGGCAGGACCGAGCTGTGCGGGTGGGGCAGGCAGGCAGCGGCTTCACACACAGGCACCTGTGAGAGAGGGCTGCGGTTCTTCGGTGCAGCATCAGCCTTCAGTGTGGAGCACTAGGTTAAAAGTTTTTACCGAAAGGCCAAAAGTAGGATTTTTTGTCCTTTAAAATGCTCAATAAAGCAACTTTCAGAGGTGATTAAAGGAAATAAAATGCATGTTTATTACAGGGTGTGAAAGCTGTTTTGGCTGAAAGTTATGAGAAAATTCACAAAGATCACTTGATTGGAATGGGCATAGCTCCGCTTCAGTTCCTCCCGGGAGAAAGTGCAGACTCCGTGGGCCTCTCCGGCAGAGAAACGTTCTCCTTAGCGTTTCCTGAAGAACTGTCTCCTGGAGTTACGTTAAGTGTGAAGGTGTGTACTGTATGTTCAAATAGGTGGTTGTATGTGGAATAGCGGCAGTTACTGTGACCCACATACAGGTGTCAGCTGGGAACAGTACACCTGTCTCAGGTGCCGTGTGTCCTGTGGGTGCTGCTCTTTGAGGAAAAGCCCAGAGCACTGGGCCTTGGTCCCGAGGAAGTGGACATGCACTTAAGCACTTGGATTATACTGCCAGCTACCGTTCTTTGTCCGCTCCTGTGCCGATCTCATTTCCTCCAGGCACAGGGGCCACCGCAGAGAGAGGGCAGAGGGGCACACCTGGGGTTAGAGTGCAGGCTGCACCGGGGAGGGGATGGCGGGGGTTGGCAGTGAGCAGCCGGGATCTGAGTGGCCTGATTGGTTCTAGGTGATGCAGTGCTTACATTTAGAATTAGGGATGGAAATTAGCGTTGTCTAATTTGCTGTGAGGCTCACGGTTGGGAATTCCAGGTGGTTTTTAAGTAGGAGAAGCTTCAGATAGACTATGTGGCAGGTACAGTCCTCACATATGAGGACAAATGGTCTGGACCACTAAGCAACGCTTGAGAGATTTCACCCGTCTTGAGATGTTTTTGTGTGTTTACAGACAAGCACTGGAAAAGTATTCAGCGTGATGGCTTTATTTGAAAATGACGTGGAGATAACATTGTTCAAACATGGAGGATTATTGAACTTCGTGGCACGGAAGTTCCCCTAGTACCTGCTCACCAGAGACACCTTCCCAGTCTGGTGACCGCAAACCAGGCCTTTCGTGCTGGACCCAGGGATCCTCACCATGGAGCTGCAGGTGCCGGACGCTCGCTTATCTCACCCATGGATGAAATCGATTATGAATCACGTAGTGACAGAAATGAAATCTTGATTTTAAATACTATATGAATGGTGCTATTAACATTGCTAAAATCAACGTGTGAAGTGTGTTGTGGAAGAGATCGGTAAGTATGAGGGGTGTTTTATCAGACTGTTTTGTAAATAAAGGCAGAATTTGAGCTTGTATTGAAGATTCTTATATGAAGAACCTTCCTGAAGTTGTTTAGTTTTGCTTCTGTAAAACTGGATACGGCTGTTTGTTGGTTGAAAAGTAGGAGGTTAAAACATAAGAAACCAGATTAGACTCTAAAATCGTGAAAGTTGGAATCTGATTCATAAGTGGACTTCCAGATATATTCATTCCTTTTCAGAATTGTGCTGGATGTAGTTGGCTTTCTTAGTTCTATCAAAGGGTAGAGCCTGCCCCAGACAGAATCACTGTCCTGAGGACGGACGTGACAGGAAACCACTGCAGCAGGTGCCTGCCACCGGCGAGCAGTGGCCGCCGGGACCGTGCCTGCAGCCCTCAGTTACCTGGTCGGTGGCTGCAGAGGCCTCTGGCAGGGCCCTCTGCTTCGTCTGCAGTGAGGGAGATGACTTTGCTCACCGTATGTGATGCCATCACTTCCTAGGACCTAACATTTTGGGTGTCATTAACCAAAATTCCACCCTAGTTTGAGTTGCTAAAGAGAATTTTATTTAATCACTAAACACTAAAATTATTTCCTCTAGACTTTTAAATTGTCCTTTCTAAATTATATGGTTGCTCAGCGATAGGCATTTTTAAATGTCGGTTATTTTTTAATTATTTAGGTTGATTTCCTGTCATTTTGAATCATTGTTTTACCTGGGATGTATGATTCTGTGCGTGGTGTTACGTTCTTTTGTTTTAACCAAAGCTGACCATTGGGATGGAACACTGAGGTTGTTGCCCAGCGCCATGTTTCTCTAGATGCTATCTGTTTACCGCCTCGAACGCCCTGTCACCAAGAAGTTCAGCAGTTTTTAAGAAACAGGTTGGATGATGAATTCCAGAAAGTCCTATGCCCCCTTTTTAATCAAGAAATTAACTTTCACAGCAAAAGGTGATTACAGTGATTTTTTTTTTTTCACATAAAGATCTTCAGTGTGACCTACTTAAGTTACCATGACTCCTCATTAGAGCCCAGAGCCAGGGCCCTGTGCTCGGCACCTGAGCAGAGACCTGGAGCCCTCTGCACAGGCGCTCAGTCAGCCTGCAGAATGCTCTGCAGACGGTTCACACAGTCAGACGGGCAAGGGCTTGACAACTTCCCTTTTGTATAAGTATTTTCTGTGGTACTTTCACATTGAATTGTGTTCTTAATATTTTTTCTGTGTATTTCTCAGTGCATGTGTTTCTAATTTACATGAAAACATGAGTTAGGGATAGAGAATTTCCAAGTTGAATGTTGAAATACCTGTGATAGGCTTTGAAGAAATAATTCCAAAATGGGGAGGGGTGTCTGCATTATTTTTCAGCAGATTATGATCTAGAGCCGGTGGGCAGAGACCTGGGTGTCATACACATCTGACCCAGGAGAGGGAGACAAAGCCAGCTGGGAATTAAGCACTGCACTGCCCAGTCTGCCCAGCCCAGTAGTAGTACAAGCGCACCTTGTATTTCAGGAACAGGATCTCAAGGGTCCCCTAACCTCTTGCTTGTACACAGTGAACCAAAAAGCTTGAAAGCACAACTGTCAGTTGGGGAGGGGATGCATGGATGTGAGTCCCGGTGTGTACCTACAGCTCTGCCTCTAGCCAAATACTGTGTTTTCACAAATGTGGCATCTCTTGGTTTTTATTGTTTTACTGGTCTCGTTGGTTAACGACATCCGGGGGGTGTTGGGTAAAGAATACATTGTGGCAAGGACGTGTGATGGTCACACAAGAGGTGTGGGTGGAGGAAAAGCACGTCATGCTGTACACGATCGCCATGTCTCATGCCTTCGGGTATGTGACTCCCCATAAAATGACATCAGTGAAATGGCACCCGGCCTCTGGATCACTGTTGTTCTACCTGACGTTTCCATACTGGCAGGTGCCATTTTTTCTTGTTTTATCTCTAGATGTCCAAGGTGATGTGTGAATAAGGTGTCAGGATCCCTTTAGCCAGAAAATTGCTCAGTTCTCCACTGGTGACCAAACTTCAGTGTCACCAAAGGGAAAAGCACAGCCAGACCTAGAACAGTCATGTTTGTTCGCACACACGTGACAGTGTGTGCATGGCCTTCTGGGTGGTGAGTGACGGTGGGAGGAATGCATTGACTGACGTGTCCTGTGGTCGGATGAGAAGACCCTTCCCTTCTGCCTGTCGGTGTGGGAGACGGTACTGAGGTACTGGGTGTCGACTCTCAGTTTGACCCGGAGCAATAAAGAGGGGAGGCAGGTGGACCCGGGCTTCTCCAGTGGCCTTCTCCTTAGTGTGACGGTGCCGATATTTCTATCAACTGTACACATGATACCTGACTATGAAAACATGTATCTCACTTAAGTAACTACAGATTGTCAATTATTTAAAGCCAACAAAACAGTGTATCAGTTTTAAGTTCAACGATGTTAAGTATTGTATAGAAATATATTGGAAGCAAAGTTCAGTTGATGACAATTGTGTATATGTTATTGATGCTGTAAATTATTTTTAATAAAGAAAATTGTATTATCACATATTTGACTCTTCTAATAATATATTTTGTGGTAGCCCTGGCCAGTTGCTCAATGGTTAGAGCATTGGCCCGCGGACCAAAGAGTCACAGGTTTGATTCCAGTCAGGAGCTCCTACCTCAGTTGTGGTTTGTCCCCGGCCCCAGTAGGGGTCATGTGGGAGGCAACCAGTCGATGTGTCCCTCTCACATCAATGTTTCTCTCTCTTTCTCCCTCCCACTCTGTCTGAAGGTAAATAGAAAAACATCCTCGGGTGAGGATTAAATATATATATATATAGTGGTAATTGAAAACAAAACACCGTAGCTTAAAAAGAAATAGGATGTCGTCCAGAAATTTCTCTTTAAAAATAAACATGTCTAGCCCTGGCCAGTTTTGCTCAGTGGTTAGAGCGTTGGCCTGCAGACCAGAGAGTCCTGGGTTCAGTTCCTGCTAAGGGCACGTACCCCAGTTGCACTTTGTCCCTGGCCCCGGTTGGGGTCGTGTGGGTGGCGACTGGTTGGTGTGTCACTCTCACATCGATGTTTCTCTCTCTCTCTCCACCCCCCCCTCCCACTCTATCTGAAGATGAATGCAAAAATGTCCTCAGGTGAGGATAAAAAATAATAATAAGTAAACATGTCTAAATATTCGGACACGAGATGCCTGCCGCAATATGGACCATGGTCATTTTCATCCCTGCATCGAGTACTTCCTTTCAGTTCCTGGGCCAGTGAGAAGGAAGAGGTGGACAGACGTCTGACAGGGATAGCCTGGAGGGAACCAGGCAAGTGGGCCTCGGGTCAAGGGTGGTTCATCACGTTTCAGAGTTGAAAAGGTCAATTTCTCCCCCCAAAGCAGGATCCCTTGTACAAATACCACCTAACTGGGCAACCTTTTCTTGACTATTCAAGAAATGGAGACTGCTGCCCTGGCCGGTAGCTCAGTTGGTTAGAGCGTTGACCCCAGTATGCTGAGGTTGGCGGTTCACTCCCCAGACTGGGCACATACAAGAATCAACCAATGCACACACAGATGAATGGAGCTAGGAATCAGTCTCTCTCTCCCCATCCCCACCGCCACCCCGTCTCTAAAATAAAAAATAAATAAAAGGTGGAGACTGGGCAACCCCATTCTGTTATCTAAAGTTCAGATGGTAAGATAGATTTTATTTTGAGTGCAAATCTGCCTCCTTGTAGCTTATACCTACTGATTCTAATGCTCCCTATTTTAACTATGCCTCTCAGCACTTTGGTACATCTAAAATTTGGTACTTCCACAAGTTGCACTGCATGAAACCTCCATAAAGGAGATCGTTTACCACGGAAGTAACATATTAAAGTGGACATCAAGGATTGAGTGGGGGTGTCGTGCTGTAAGCTGTGTATCATAGGAGGAATGACCCTTTCTTGAAGTAGCAGGTGCTGTATTTTCACAAGCCAGCTGATGGCACCACCTGCTCCCTCCACTGGCCATTCACTAGTGTGTTTCCATAAAACATCATCTGGACCTGGGACCCAGAACCGAGCCTCTAAAGACATGTTTTGTAAAGAAGGTCAGCTGCCCATGGGCCTGCCCTTTCATTCTTAATGGCAACCTCAATGGATGATTAAAGTTTATTATAAGTTGGCCTTCATATTAAGCTTCCCAAGGATTCTAACTCGACATTCTAAAAAGTCAGCATTACAAAGGGAATACCAGCCCAGCACATTGATGGTGGCAATGTGTGGAGTGCTGTGAGGAAACAGTCCATCACCCGTGTTGCATTTTGTTGGCTTACAGTTGTCACTTGATGTCAGTTTTGCTCTTTAATTATAAATTGGTTTAGTTTAAGCTCTTTCATTCTGGTTTGATGTGAGTTATCTGGCTGATAAGTTTTTCAGAATATCAGACTGTAAAGTTTGGGTTTAGTACACTTCAAAAATAGAACACACGTTGCGAAAGCAGGTGTATGAGTGATCCCCACAAAGTTTGCTTGTCTAATGAGAGTTGTCACTGAATTTTGTGTTTACATGATGTTGGCACTGAATTTTGAGCATTTTAAATAACCTGCAGTACATAGCTAAAGGGAGTATCATAAAATTTCTGGGGCATTACCTTTTATAGGATGTTTTATAAAGTCACGTCTATAATCTCACTCGGCCAGTTGTTCGTTTTTGCTTCAGTCCAGTTTTTCTTTTTCTTTATTGATGTTAGAGGGGAGAGAGAGAAACCTCAAGGAGAGAGAATATTGATCGGCTGCCTCCTGCACGTCCCCTACTGGGGATCAGGCCCACATCCTGGGCATGTGCCCTGACTGGGAATCGAACCGGGACTTCTCAGTCCATGGATGACACTCATCCCACTGAGCCACCCTGGCCAGGCTCACTCGTTTTTGATCACTGGATTTCTGAGAGCCACTACATGTCTCAGTGGCCAGGTGAAGAAGAAAAGAATTGTCAGTGTGACAGTGACATGTCCATCAGATTGGTGGAGCTTTTCTCATCACGATATCCACTATTGATTTAGATCCAGTAATAGGACTGAACAGTATCTTAAAGACATTTAAAATGCACAAAAGATTCACATATGAGTCTATTCTTAAAGACACAGGAGTGCTCATTTACAGTGAAAAGGGCAAGTCACAAAATACAGTATTTCCACAGAAGGTCACTGAGTGGGAAGAGGCAGTGTGGGTCTGCGGTCCTCCCTTGCCCTTCACACTTGGAGACGACGGAATATACATAAGGAATCCTACTTCGCGGAAATTCATTTATTGTGGTAGAGTCTGGAACTGATTAACTGCCATAAACGAGGGCCAACTGGAGTAGCCCTGTCTCTTTCATTCTTACCGGTTTCTAGACTCCAATCTTCATTTCCATTCCCTCATCTGAAGAAGAAGGAGAAAAAACATAGTGAAGGGGTAAGGAATTCAGGTGCTGCCTGAAGGGGCCTAATGGGGCCCACAGGAGTCAGATTCTAGTTACAGAAAGTCCAATCACAGTTGGTCTTTGACAGCCTCAAGGAATTAAACATGTTAAGAATGTCGCCTTGTGGCTGTAAAAAGACAGAATGGTACTTGGAGATTAGACTAGAAGTGAAGCAGATAAGAACCTAATCTAAAGGGGTGAAAGGCCATCCCTAAACAGAGGTTTGGAAAATACCCAAGTCAATCAAGTCACTATAGTTAACTGAGTGTGCTATATCCTGATAGGGAGAAAATACAATAAACGCATGGGGGGGGGGGGGGAGTGCATCTACAAAAAATAAGGACCGAGTTGCGGACCTGAGTGAGCGGGTGTCCAGATCCCTCAGCAACGAGAAGTTCTGCAGGCTGCAGACGCACATCCAGCCCCCCATTGGAGTCTGGTGCCTTTGACAATGAGGATTACTAGTAACCCCGCTGTTACAGCAAGGTTCTCAGGCAGCCTGCTGAAAATCACGTGTTTCTGCACCTTCCTGCCGGGAGAGACTCCTCTGGACTAAAGTTTCTGACCCAACTATTCTCTTGCTCAGTGTAAATTAATCATTCATCGCACCAGACCTGAGCTGTGGGCACCCGCCCCTGGAAACCTCCCCGTTCTCTTTCTATCTATTGCATTGAATTCAGTGCCTTGGGAAGAGGGCAGAAAACGGGGTGCTCTGTGTCTGGCCGAGGCTCGCGCCCCTGGGCTTCGGTTCCCCATCAGCACTAGGCGTGTGCAGACCTATTCGGTAAGACCATTCTGTGCAGACCTGGGAGCTCGGTCTGGTGCAGCGCGCGGCCAGCCCGACCGCCAGGACCTCCCATAAGAGCTGCCGTTCCTAGGCCTTGAATGCGAAGGCGCCTCGGGGACGCGTGCTGCCTGCAGAGGGGAAGGGAAAAGGACACTAAGATCCCACGAGGACGGCCCACAAAGCCCCTCCTCCGTGGCCGGCGGACTGCGGGTGCCACTCAACACTCGCCGAGGGGCGGGGCAGAGTCCAGAAACACCCGGCCCCGGTCTGCAGGGAGGCGGCCGGATTCTGAATGGCATGTGCAGGACAGGAGGCGGGGCCGGGCCGCGGAGAGCCAATCCGAAGCCTGGTCCTGCATTGTGTTTGCAGGCTGGCCGGGGGAGGTGGGCGGGGCCTCGCCTCCCGTATTCTGCGCTGATTGGTGGTGGAGGGTTCTCGGGGAACCAATCAGAAGTCAGGGTCGCGGGCTCCGAGCAAGGGCCGGCCGAGGCACCGCAGTCGGGCGCGACCACCCCACGCTGCGAGATCTGGCCGCGCGAGACCTTCCCACCCACGCGAGCGTCTAGACCTCAGCCGGGGCTGCCGGACCGCGGAAGCCGCCTCGGGACCGCGGGTCGCGCAGGGTGAGCGGGCGGGGAAGCGGGGGTGGGCCCGGGGCTCCCAGCAGAGCCCTGCTCGTGTCCGTGGGCACAGACTCGACTCCCCACTTTTCTAGGTCCGCACCCGCTGTGGGCCAGCGGCCTGGGCGCCCCTGGGACACGACCAGATGTTGGGGTACGGACTTCTGCCTGCCTGTCTCCGCTCTCCAGCCCCGGGGAGCAGAGCAGCTGCAGGCGCAGAAGGGCGCACTTGGCGCCAGGGCCAGGCTCGAGGTTCCTGGACTTTGTAGCCCGCGGGGTGCGGGCGAGAGGAAGGGACGCGACCGGTGCCCCTTGCAGGAGTTTAAGGTCCACCCCTGCTGCACAACAAAGCTGGTGGTGTTCTGGCTTGAGACGGGAAACCTTCGCTCCCTGTGCACTTTCTCAGGAACTCCGTGAAACCCGTGTCACGTGGGTGTTTCTTTTAGAACAGTTTTTAGTTTTCTGTCGTTGAGGGTACCCGTGATGAGGGTTAACTCGGATGTTACAGCTCCCTTTCACGTCTGCCAGGGTACCTCCCGGCCGTCAACGCTTTACACCTGATGATTGTTGTTACAATTTTGCAAAACTTGTGGATAGAAAAGTATTTTGATTCTCTTTTAACTCAAAGTAATGGTGATATAGTCAGGAGGACATCATCATGGGTTAGGCATCCAGAGAGCTGAGTTCTGCTGTAACTTGGTCTGCACTTTGGGGCAAAGGCGCTTAACCTCTGAGGACCTCATTTCCCCTGTAAATAGAGTTGATGGGGGTGGGTCAGGGAGGACTTAGAGCAGGTGATACCAAGGTGCTTTCCTGGTCTGTGTTCTGTCCCTACAAACATACCTATAGTTTGTGAGGTGGGTTTAGGAATAATTTATGGCCCGGGGATTTTTACTCACCTGCAAAACGTCTATTTCTTTATCTCCTTTACTGATTTCCATTTATAACTTTATGAGTGAAAATTAATCATCAGAAGTACAGAATCAATGTTGAGAAACATCGGCCTGTCTTAGGGGAAATGATCTAAACAAGTGTTCTTTCTGTGCTCCCTTAATAGATTGTTTCCCTTGGACATGATGTCATGTGGAGGTGACCAGCGACCACAGGCTTCTGCCAAACCCGTTTTCAGTGAGGCACAAGCCTGTGCGGTGGTGGAATCGGTTTTTGGGTTCAAAGTTTCCAAGATCCAGCCGCTTCCTAGCTATGATGACCAAAACTTTCACGTGTGCGTTTCAAGAGCCAAACACACTACCGACGGCCCAATGGAATATGTCCTCAAAATAAGCAATACCGAGTCTAGCAAAAACCCAGACCTGATCGAGGTGCAGAGTCATATCATCATGTTCCTGCAGGCAGCTGGCTTTCCGACAGCCTCAGTGTGTCGTACCAAAGGAGACAACATAACCCATCTCATGTCCGTAGGTGAGACACCACCGACTCGCCGGTCATCACCAGTCCATGTACATGACTGAATTTTGGTTCCAAGTAGAAATATCAAGAACAGGCTCCTCTTCCGAGTGTAGACATGGCTATTTTTCAGCAGCTGTGAGAGGCCACAGTGTCAGCCAAGGGGCGATTGGGGCTCGGATTCAGAAGTGGTGAGAGCCAGGAGGCACTGTAACCTGATGGATGAGGAAGAGGGGACATGTGTAAATCGGGAACGTTTCTGTTCAATATTTTTTTTTTTGAGCAGAAAAATAGTTAAACACGTTTATTCATCAGACCAGTTGTCTATTGCAGTGCTGTGGTGTAACCAAAAAAACAAACGCAGAACTAGAAATCAGAAATTTTAGGTCCGAGCACTGTCATGACTGTGTGACATGGGCACACCACTGACATTCCTGACTACAAGTCCTCCTGTGTGAGAATCAGTTCCTTTCACCTGTAAATGCTGGTTCTCCAAGCAGCAGCCTGAAATACATTCCTAGGAATTTTTTAAGGTTTGAAATTTTGACTGTTTCTCCCCTAATTGCTCGTGCATTCTTTTACTGTGTGTCGCTCCAATGATGAGGCTTCATGGTCCCTGAGGGGCAGTTACTGTGCTGCAAACCACTTGCAGAGCCTGTGATTCTGAAGCAGTTTTTTCTTTTTCTTTTTCTTTAACTGACTTTTTAGAGAGAGAAAGAAACATTGATGTGAGAGAGAAACATCGATTGGCTGCCTCCTGCACGTCCCCCACTGGGAATTGAGCCCGCAACCCGGGCATGTGCCCTGACCGGGAATTGAACCAGGACCTCCAGTCCATGGGTCGACCCTCAGTCCACTGAGCCACACCAGCCGGGCTGAAACAGTTATTTCTTTATATCACATGCTCCTCAGTTGTAAACTTACGGAAAACTGTTTTTCGCCATTCATTTACCGGAGTAGGTCATGTATGTTTGGAGCTGAGGCCTGCAGAGTTGGGGCTGCCATTTTGTTGGTTTGGAAACGGTTGATCCCAATGTTCTGAGGTTTGTCTGTTCTGCCTTCTTGCCTCATCCTCTCAGCCCGGCCTCGGAGAATCCTGCTGTTTTAGGTTAGCGCATTTCTGTCTCTTGTTCTGTCCGTTCTATTCTTTGCAATAAAATAACAAAGGCAGAATAGCCTCTAATTTTTTTTTTTTTGAGGCGACTTGACAGGATATACCCTATCATTCATCTAGATGGTGGTTCTGAAATCAAGAGCTACTTGGTGAGGCTGCTGACTTACCTCCCGGGAAGACCCATAGCTGAGATTCCTATCCGCCCACAGCTATTATATGAAATCGGAAGGCTGGCTGCCGAGTTGGATAAGACACTGGAGGTACGGTTTGGGGTTTTATTTTGTTTCTGAGAATTCTTTCATTTGTCTGGGTTTGATTTATTTTATTATTAAAATAAGCCCAAGTTCAGGCTCTCTTTTTCCATACGGCGTCTCCTGAAGTGTTATAAAGGAAACAGACAGGGTTCTCTGCCCCGGTCTGCGCTTTGCTGGCTTACTGGTAAGATTACTCACATTTTTAGAAATTCATGGTAGTCTCTATGCTGCTCCCTGGAAACAGTCTGTGGTCACAAATTAAAACCTGCAGTTCTCATCCAGATAAGGTGTAACCAGCCAGAGCTCTGGATGTAGCAATAGCTACGTTACGGTGGATTAAAATGAATTGTGTTAAGAATGCTTTTGTCCTGTAGAAATCGTGTCATGTATGACTGGTATTCCCCAGGCCCCCCTACAAAGCATCTTCATTCACTCATACATGTTCACTGCGTACCTCTTACATGCAGGCACAGGGGGAAAGAAAACCATCCCCTGTGCTGGAGGACTGTGTCCTAAGAGGCCAGATAAACACTCCGAAAAGGAATCACAGCAAAACACTTCCAGTCACTCAGCAAGTCCTGTCCATTCAACCTCTCAGGTGTGTCTGGGATCCACCTCCTCCACCCATTCCCACCTTGACTGTCCTTGCTGACCACTGCAGCCACCCTGCATTTAGGGTCTTCTCCCCCCACGTATTCTTCACACCAGTCCAGAGTTACGTTTTAAATGCACAGATCTGACCTTGTCGGTGCTGCAGTTAGAATCATTCAGTGGCTTCTCACTGCCTCTGAACTAAAGGCCAAGTTCCTCGGCGTTTCTTCATACAAGGCCCTGGTGGCCTTGTCCCTGCCTCCGCCCCTCAGTCGCGTTGTTCATGTCTCCCCTCCGTGCACCTGCAGTGCCCAAATGTGCCCATTCAGCACTGGGCCTCGGTGCCTTGCCATGTTGTCCACCAGGGACACCTTTCCCTTCACTCTGCAAAGCTCCCGCGTGTCCAGCACACAGCTGGAGCGTCACCTTCACTGTGGGCAGGAGAGTCAGAACCAAGTTACGTGACAAATAACTGAAGGACCTAGGAAGGCTTGCTCTGCAGAAGAGAAGATGCTGAGGGGCAGGAGTCCAGCTTCTGGACCGACCCTGCTGCCATGGCCCAGGGGTCATGCTGGAATGAGTGCTGGACATGGGCTGAGGCAGACGTCAGCTCAGCAGCAGCAAGAACATGAGCCTTTCAGGAAGGGACAGAGGACATCCTGCAGGAAGTGTGCAAACACAGGCCATGTGGCCACTTACAGGGACGTGGTCCAATAACAAGTGTCAGGGGAAGGCTCTCCAGCTCCAGGTAATGGTCTACGCATTGTTGGCTGGAACCTTTTTTTCCCTCCTTTTTATTGAATTTATTGGGGTGACACTGGTTAGGAGGCATTTTATTCTTTATCTGTGTGTTGGATGTACACTGGACTGTGAGGAAAAATGTATTTCTTATGTGAGAGGTCATGTCCAAAAAGTGTGAACGCTACAGCACTGGGAGCCCCCAGGCGCCTTGTGGCCCCCACGCTGTGAAGGGGGTCTGGACGGCATCAGCACCCCGGTCCTCCCGCAGCCCTGGAGCAGCGACTTGGGATCCCTCTCTGAACTGCATGCAGCCTGTGTAACAGCGGCAAAGCCGTTTAGAACTCTAGATACAGTATAAAGGCCCTTCTAACTCCAGAATTTTCTAGTCTGAGAACATTTACTCAGCAGATCCTGCTTGAGCAGTGCCTCTGTGCGCCAGGCACTGTTCCAGGTGTGGGGGCGCAGTAGCGAATGAAACAGATGAAAAACAAAGTCCCTGCCCCTCGCGGGCTTACCTGCCAGTGCGGACAGACAGCAAGGTGAGTGATTCGTGGTGAACCTTGGACAGGGACACGTGCCGTGTGCTTAAGAGGAACATATGCACAGAGACTAGGTTACAAAGCACTGGACGGAGGGGTCGGGAGCCCTCCCACAGGCAATTTTCATGAAGACCAGGTGGAAATGAGGGCACAGGTCATGCAGATATCTGGGGGAGCATCTCAGGAGGAGGAAACAGCAAATGCAAAGGCCGGAGGTGGGAATGTGTCTGGACCATTCTCTGACCAGCAGGAAGGTCAGTGTGGTCAGAGGGGAGTGAGCAAATGTAGAAGATGAAGACAGAGGCAGCCAGGGGCCCAGGCAGACCATGTGGGGAGAGCACCTGTCTTCACACAATGAAGGGAATGAAGGGAGATGGCAGTGCGCTCTCAGAACTGAGAGGGCCTGTGCGGCGTGAAGTTGCCACCCTTGGTGGACGTGTGTCCGTGGGCGAGTCTGTGCCCGTGAGAGAATACCAGCTCTCTCCGTAAGGCACCCCCCAGGCCTGCCCCTTGCAGGGTTCGGTCTCCTGACCCATCTCTCAGTTGTGGTTGCTCACACTGCCACAAGTCTAAGTTTCTTACTTCTGATTTAGAAATTCCATCACCCAAAGTTAAGATGTCTTCATCGGGAGAACTTCATCTGGAACCTGAAAAATGTTCCTCTTCTGGAGAAATACCTGTATGCCTTGGGCCAGGATCGAAATCGTGAGGTTGTGGAACGGGTCATTCAGCTGTTCAAGGATGAAGTTGTGACCAAATTATGTCACTTTCGAGAGTGTGAGTATTCCACCAGTAAAATGAGTATTTTTCTTTGAGTAGTAATGACTTAAAATATCACTATCCTAGCCCTGGCCGGTTCAGCTCAGCTGTTAGAGCGTTGGCCTGCGGTCCAGAGAGACCCAGGTTCAGTTCCCGCTAAGAGCGCGTACCTTTGTTGTAGTTTGTCCCTGGCCCTGGTTGGTCAGGCAGGTGGCAGCCACTCGATGTGTCCCTTTCACATCGATGTTTTTCTCTCTCTCTCCCTCCCACTCTATGTGAAGAAAAAAAAATGTCCTTGGGTGAGGATTAAAAAAAAAAAAATCACTATCCCAGTAATCAAAAGATGAGAAATTCAGAATTACTTTGTTATCAGAAATGTTTTTGTTTTGGAAATCCTAGGTTAAAATAAAGCCACAGCTGGTCCATTCTGGGATCCTTGGCTTCTTATAATATCAATATTTGTGTGCCGTTAACATTTCTGGCTGGGGGCAAGTCTCCTTTTCCCTTTCCTCTTCCAGTTGTCAAAATCAGATGTTCACACAGCAACTACATTCTTCATCTGCTGGCCTTGTACTGGTGAGAAGCAAAAGCAAAACCACCACCAAAATTAACTGTTTTTGTCCTTTTCAGAGGAAGTTATTTTACTTCAAGAAAAATAGGGTTTGGCTTTTTTTCTTTAATCTGTCTGACTGCTCATCCATTTACTCGATGGCCAAGCCTGAGAAAGAGAACTAGAAAGAGAATGAACTGGGGGATTAAATGACTATTTTTGCATAGCTTGAGTTTTCTCCTTTCAGGTATCAATCATGGAGATCTTAATGACCACAACATTTTAATTGAGTCCCGCAAGTCGGCCTTTGGAGATGCTGTCTATCACGTGTCTGGGGTTTTGGACTTTGATGACATGAGCTATGGCTACTATGTGTTTGAAGTGGCAATCACCATCATGTACATGATGATCGAAAGCAAGGATCCTATACAAGTAGGTGGTCATGTCCTTGCAGGGTTTGAGAGTATAATCCCACTGACACCTGTAGAGAGGGGTGCGTTGTTTCTGCTTGTGTGCAGCCGTTTTTGTCAATCGCTTGTCATGGCCGCGTACTCTTGCCAGTTACACCCAGAGAACAAGGCGTATCTCATGATTACTGCAAAAACCGGGTGGAAACATTTACAGCTAATGTTTGACATGGGCCAGAAAGCTGTCGAAGAAATCTGGTTCAACACTGCTGAGTCCTACCAATCTGGGATCTCCATGTGACTGGACAAAAGCTCACATGAACTTGGGTAACCCAACAGGACCAAATATAAATTTATGAGGCATTTTCTTGCACAGTTAAAAAGGAGTGGATGTAACGGATGAAGACATGTGAAGCCACTAAGTTCCTCAATATTTTTTTTTTTTAATCCTTGCCTGAGGACTTTTTTTTTTTTTTTTTGCATTTATCTTCAGAGAGTGGGAGGGAGAAAGGTAGGGAGAGAGAAAGAGAAACATCGATGTGAGAGACACACATTGACTGGTTGCCACCTGCACAACTCCAGCTGGGGCCGGAGATAAACCGCAACCTAGGTCTGCGCCTTTAGCAGGAACCGAACCTGGGACTCTCTGGTCCGAGGGCCGACACTCTAACCACTGAGCCAAACCGGCCAGAAGAAGGTCTTCAATCTCAAGACAATATTTTAAACAAAGAAACACTACATGATCAGTCATTTTTTTCTGTGCGTGTCAAGGGTTTGCCTTGTGTATGAAACACAAAGAATATTTCAAATCAGATAGTCTCTCGTGGCCTATTCCGGACCTAGTCAGCCTTACAGCCTCCCAAGTAACATAAAACAGGAGGAGTGGGGAGTTTCCCTAGGGACTGAATGAAGCCAGCAAGGAGAGACGGATAATGAACACACACATTAAAACATGAGTTTCAGTAAAGAAGTGCTGTTTGTGTGTTGGTGGCTCGTTCTGCTTTCACTAGGTTGAGAATCCGTCTGAGGAGGTGAGAGGCAAAGGGGGGGACCAAGGAGCAGTGAGCCCGGTTTGGGGTCCACACTGGTGCTGTCCCAGGTGACAGTGCTGAAGGGCAGTGGCCGCAGCGCGCAGGTGCAGAGCAGGATTCGCTGTTAACTGCACTTTGTCCTTCGCTGGGGTCTTCCTGTGCTCCCCCCGCCCCATGGCGCACCCTTCAGGCTGAGGACCCCGCCGGGCCGCTACACCCCATCTCCCAGCGCCCACCAGGCAGCAGCCCCGCCCCTGGAGGACTTCCACGCCTTTGGCCCCGCCCCTGAAGGACTTCCACGCCTTTGGCCCCGCCCCTGAAGGACTTCCGCGCCTTCGGCCCCGCCCCGGAGCGACTTCCGCGTTCTCGGCCCCGCCCCCGAGCGACTTCCGCGTTCTCGGCCCCGCCCCCGGCGGCGCTGCGCACGCGCGGGAGCCATATTGGCAGCGGACTCTCAGGGAGCGTCGGGGGTTTCCTTCTGCAGGTGAAACGGTCCGTGGAGACTTCACCGAGTCTTTCCTTCGGTGAGTCCGCGTCTGCGGCGCCGCGGCACCTGGCCGCCGTCCTGCGGGCGGGTGGGCGAGCGAGCGAGGGTCGTGGGCGCCGCGGCAGGACGGGTCCGGCCTGGAGCCGCGGCACGATGACTGGGCGGCGCTCCTGGGTGACGAGCTGGCCCCTGCCGGCCGCCGTCGGCGGGGCGCGGGGCTGGCTCCCGGGGCTGGTTCGCGGGGCTGGTTCGCGGGGGCGCCCCCAGGGGCGCGGGTCCCGTCCCGGGAAGGGCCGCGCGGGAACGTGAGCGCCGGGCCCGGCGTGGGGTGGGGGGAGCCGGCGGCCTCGTCGCTGCCCGCAGGCCCGGCCCCCACCGCGCGGCCTGGAGGGAAGACCCGCGGCCCTTTCTGGGCGCGCGGGCCCCTCGGACCTGATTCCCGGCGCCCCCGCGTCTGGGCAGCGCGGCTCGGGGTCCGAGGCCCGGCGTGGCCCCGCTGAGCCCGCCGTGTGTCTCCCGAGCGCTGGTGCCGGGGTTGCCGCTACGCCCCGTCCCTCTGCGCGTGTCCTTCCGGCGCCGGCCTCTCCACTCCTGCCCGCGGGCCGCCCTGCCTCCGTGCCTGTGCTCCGACGGCCTCCCCTTCCTTCCGCCCCTGCCGTCGCGTCCGGCCCGTTGCCTCTGTTGGTGTTTCAGAAACGTGCTTTCTTGATTCTCTCCATCCCTCTTCCCACTCCACCTGTGGTGCCTCCGTTTCCACGTTGCTTTGTCATCTCCCCTGTGTCCGCCTCCACCAGACGAGGCCCTTCGGGACCGGGATGGTCTTGCCCGTCCTGGTTTCCGGCGTCTGGCATAGCGCTGTTGCCCGTAGTCGCTGCACCGGCAAGTTAGCCTCCTGAAGGAGTGAACAAAACAGATTTTGTGATGTCGTGGAAATGTTTTGTAAATTGTACATTCTGGGTAGTAAGGATCCTATTTTCTTTTTGCAGGAGCTGTGAAGGTCTGCAAACATGGTAAGTTATACACCTGTCAGTAAGATGCTTGTACTCAGTTTACAGACTTGCATGAGAAAATTGAGTGGGGACAAGGAGATGGAGTGTCATCCTCTGCCTTCTCAGTGCCCCCTACACACGGCAGTTTGTGTGCCAGATTATGTTTTACAAGGTGATCTGCGGGCTTGTGGGAGTTACTTTCAGTGAATAGGAATCACTTGTCTGTTTTTCCTTTGCAGTCTCGAAGATATGACTCCAGGACCACTATATTTTCTCCAGAAGGTAAAATAGAAATTGCTTAATCAGTCCCAAAACATTTTTTAAAAGTGTTTGACTTTTCAGGGGTAAAATAAAACCTAGAAACTTTTTTTTATAATCGTTCATTCTCGCTGTGCTCTGAAGTAATTATGATTACATGCCACACGGGAGGTTGAAAGTGGGACTCGTGTGTGTGGCTTGTCAGCATCCCTGATTTCCTTGGGCCAGTGGTGCCGGTTCCGGGAGGGGAGGGGGTTCTTGGTGTCTCACCACTTGTGTTTTGCAGGTCGCTTGTACCAAGTTGAATATGCCATGGAGGCGATCGGACATGCAGGCACCTGTTTGGGAATTTTAGCCAACGATGGTGTTTTGCTTGCGGCAGAGCGGCGCAACATCCACAAGCTTCTCGACGAAGTCTTTTTCTCCGAGAAAATTTATAAACTCAATGAGTAAGTGAGTTCCTAGGGAAGACAGTTTAAATACCTTGTGTTCACATAAATAAGAGGATCTCCCATATTTTGGGAGGGCTATTCTTTGTGACATAGTAAAATGGAAGTGAACAGTTTATTGTGTTTTTACTGGTAGAACTGTTTGATTTTTATTTTATTTGATATCTCCTTGAGGCTTAGGCTCATGTGTTCCTCTTGAAGTGCAGGACCAAGCACTTAGTGGAGAAACAGTATTTTGTATTGATATGGTAGTAGGTGTGGTAAGTTACACAGATTGGGTTAAGTGCACATTCTGGTGATATAAGCTGTGTGACCTTGCCCCAGTTGTTTAACTTCGCTGGGCCTCAGTGACTCCTAGAGTGGTTGTGCCACTTTAAGGAAATGGAGTAAAGGGAATAAACACACTAGCACAGTGCCTGACATGTAGCAGCCCCTGAAGATATTGTTCAGGATGGCTCCTCAGGAATTTTGTTGAATTATTCTGAATCCTACCTCCTGGAAGTCTGGGAACAGTTTAGATGAGCCGTGTTAGTTTCGGATAGTTGAGTGTGCAGGACTCCCTACTAGCAGAGAGCTGGATTTGCCCACTAGAGACTTCCCCGAGTGGTGGGCCAGGTGAATGCTGACTATAGGGCCTTCTGATACACTCGTCCAAGGAAGTGTCATCCCTCCACAGTCACTGCTGTCCCACTCGGAAGCTTGCAGGCGGCCTAGGTTAGTGAGAGGATATTGGCTGTGGGAGAGCCAGGGGAGCCCTTAGGGAACAGGGACAGAGGAAGGAAGTGTGCCGTTTGTCTGAGTCTAGCCCTGAGTCCCCTCGCTCCAACCCTGTGAAGCCAGGCCTTAGGAGGCGAGAATACGAACTATGCAAGAGCATGGGGTAGTCTTTCTTCCTGTCTGGCAAAAGCTTTTTCTTTGTTTCTGGAGGTTCTCAGGATTTCCTTTAGCTTCCTAATGTTCATTCTCTCACCCTGTTCACGATGTGGTGGTGATAAATACATCTATTGAAGAACTGAAGGGGGCACGTTTATCTTTCATGTTAAATAACATCAGGTTTATCCTACAAAGACAAATTTCCATTCAGACAAAAACTTCTATGGCTTCGAAGTAGTAAACTTCTCATAGAACTTGACACTTTGTAATACTTGTAAAGGACCCTCTCAAACATCTTCCCTGTTGACACTGTTTCTTTTCCTCCAGGGACATGGCTTGCAGTGTGGCAGGCATCACTTCCGATGCTAACGTCCTAACCAATGAACTGAGGCTCATTGCTCAAAGGTACGGTCATAAAGAGCATAATTGATGATATACAAACTAGTTTGATGTTTCCAAGGAGGACTAATTTTTGCAAAGGGTGAAGTCATTATAAATCTGTTAATTGAAAATTATTGTTTTTTAATCCAAACTTGTGAAACGTTATTTACCATGAATGTTGACATTCCCCTGCCTGCTATTCCATCCCACATTACGAGTGACTTTTTCTTTTTCTAGAGTGGAAGGGAGGGGGAGAGAGAGAGAGAGAGAGAGAAACAGAAACAGAAACATCAATTAGTTGCCTCCTGCACAACCCCAGAGAGAGAGAGAAACAGAAACATCAATGTGAAAGAGACACATTGATTAGTTACCTCCTGCACAACCCCAACTGGGGCAGGGGGATCTACCTGCACCCCAGGTATGTGCCCTTGGCTAGGAATCAAACCTGCAACACTGCACCTGCAGGCCGACACTCTTGCTGAGCCAAACTGGCCAGGGCACAAGTGACTATTATGTTGTCTCCATGGCATAGATTTGTTTTCAGAGGGTATTTTGCTTAGAATAATGAGTGTTTCAGAAAAAAAACTATTAATGTGCCCATTTCTTTGTCCTAGATATTTATTACAGTATCAGGAGCCAATTCCTTGTGAGCAGCTGGTTACAGCGTTGTGTGACATTAAACAGGCTTATACACAGTTTGGAGGTAGGACTTTGGGGCACATTTTATTCCGGAAAGGGAACATTTTCTGAGTAATGACAAATTTGAGATGGTAAAAAAAATTGAAAACTAAATAACTAAGTAAACACTTCATACATTTCTGCTTCATGAAATAACTAGCTTCCATGATATAGATTATCATGTTTTATTAATAGGCCATTGAGAGAACAAAAGAACATTTTCAGATCTGGAAACAAATAGCTTTTTTACACAATAATGAAACTCGGCACTAGTCTTCTGTGTCTTTATTCTGTCTCTGGCTGTGTCCAAACCTAGAAACAAATGTGGTCTTTTGCTGGAGCTGATCTATGGTGGCAGGACACAAAGCAGTTTGTGAATGCTTAGCTTCAGCTACATTCAGTGAGCTCAAGTAACTGTAGTGATGCCGAATTTAGACTGTTGGCATGTTTTTGTCTTCGTTAAAGGAAAGCGTCCCTTTGGTGTTTCGCTGCTGTACATTGGCTGGGACAAGCACTACGGCTTTCAGCTCTATCAGAGCGACCCCAGCGGGAATTACGGGGGATGGAAAGCCACATGCATTGGAAATAATAGTGCCGTGAGTATTTTTGTGTTGCTATAAAATCTAGCAAAAGGTCTAATAACTGCTGTGATTTTGAAATGGTGATCTGTGTAAACAGTATTTTAAGATAGCTGCAACAACCTTAACACCTGTGATTACTACTGTATTGGCAGTCGCAGGTTCTGCTAATACTACTGGGGTTTATTGCCTACATTTGTGATAAAAGGAAATGCTACCTTTCAGTGAGAAGTGTTGAAAATAAGATGTAATTTTTTTCATATTCTGGTTCACAGACACCCCTCCCCATTTTATTCAGGACCCTTGGAGGCCTGAAGCCCCAGTTTAAAAACTCCATTCACAGTGTCTGCACCCTCTCCCTCCCCCATCCCTTGTCTACCCTCCCTGCCATCAAAATTATTTATATTGCTTATACACCAGTCGTATCTCAGGCATTATTTTTCTGTCCAGTTCATATTCCTAAAAGATGCAAACATTTAAAAGGAATTTTCTCTGTTGATTCTTGTTTCATAGGCGGCTGTGTCCATGTTAAAACAAGATTACAAAGAAGGAGAAATGACTCTGAAGTCAGCACTTGCTCTAGCTGTCAAAGTCCTCAATAAGACCATGGATGTTAGCAAGCTCTCTGCTGAAAAAGGTACTTGACGTCCCCTGGAACGTGTGCTTTGTGAGGGGATGAATTGCGTGGCTCCTGTGTTAGGCCTTTAACATCAGCATCGTTTATGGAAACTGCAACCTTATGAGCTGGGTGGTCTTATACCTACTTCCTGAAGGAAGACACTGGGGCTCAGAGAGGTTGAGTGACCTGACCAAGGTCAGCACCGATCAGTTGTGGGGCCTGAATGTCCTCACTGGTCGGAGTGGAGATCTGAGCGGGGCTACTTACCAACTTCTTGACAGGGCCATCTGTGTTCCTGTGCACAGGAGCATGTGTGTGGTTGCATGTTTATATGCGTGTATGCTGCACTTTGCCAGAGGTGTAATGTGTGCATGTGCGGTGATCTCTGCTCTTCTGAGCCTGCTGATCTCGTATGTTAAGCCCATGTTCGCAATTTTAAATGCTTTATTTAGCTAAGTTATGTAACCATATAAGACAATATTTCTAAAGAACATTTTTCAAAAACTGGATTGGAACATTGACTTAGTTGAGGGTAACCTCGCCCCAGGGCTCCTGAGAAGGCGCCTTACAGACAGGTCGCCCTCTGCTGTGTGCTTCCGCTTACTGTAGTTTGCGTTCCAGTTTCTCCCTGCTTGAAAAATGCCCCCTCCTTTTGATGGCTGTCTGCTTTTCTTGTCCTTAGTCATGGAACCTGCTTTTCATGCCTTTCTTGTGAAAAGTTCCTGAAAAGTGCATGTAATCACTGGTTAAAGATTGTGGCTGAGCCTTCAGAGTTCCTAGCAAGGAAATTGCTGTTCTGCTGGCCAGCACAGCTTAGTGGGCGGTTAACTTGAGCAATTGGCTGATGTCACTTTCCCCAAGAAGTGACAGAACGGCAGCTCGGAAGGCTGGAGTGGGTGAGGAGAAGGAAGACACTTCAGCAGGAATGTTAGCGGAAGTGTTACGAGATTGAAGTTGGTTTGTTCCCATAAAAGTATCCATGAGTGACATTGAGCACAACATGGAAGAGGTGTGTGCGAAGGCTGAATGGTGTAGGGGGACCTGGGGTTGCCTTGGGTGTGTGTGCTGAGGACGCCGGCCTGAATACACGTGTGTTTGTTCCTAGTGGAAATTGCCACACTAACGAGAGAGAACGGAAAGACGGTCATCAGAGTTCTCAAACAGAAGGAAGTGGAGCAGTTGATCAAAAAACACGAGGAAGAAGAAGCTAAGGCGGAGCGTGAGAAGAAAGAAAAAGAACAGAAAGAAAAGGACAAGTAGAAGACAAAATTGGGGATTTTATAACTCTTGGGCACCATGTCAGTGTGAAAGCTGTCTCCTTCCACACTGAGGAAGTGTTGGCTTTTTTAACCTGGATGGTGGGAAAGTAACCTGGATGATTGGGTCCTCGATAGTTCTGTTCAGTTGGATGATTGCTCTTCATGGACCTTTTAATCCCCCCTTTCTCCTTTTTGGGAATAAAACTTGGAAAGAATGGAAATGGTGAAGGAAAAAATTGTCTGTAGCGGTAATCGTCGGATACCAGGTTTAATAGGGCTGTGCACTTTCCTGCTTTAGTATACTGTGGCAGCCCTTGTAGTTACATTGACAGAAATGTGAACATCATAAGGGAAAAGAAGAATTGGGCCCTAAAGGTTTTCTTTGCTAGGTCCCTTACCAGCTTGGAGAACCCGTGGCCCTCGGCCTCTGACGGGCATGTCGGGTGAGGCCCCTCCTGTGAAGTCAGTCACACTCCTCTAGGTGCTCACAGCCTTTGGTGTTGGTGGATCTTCCTACTGGACTAGCCGTGTGCACATGTGTATACGCACGTGTACAAACTCGTCCCACAATGGAAGGAGGAATGCCCGGTCCCAGTGAGAGCCCAGTGCCCACTGCCGTCCTCAGGAACAGCGTGCTCGGGACTCCGGAAGCCTGTGTCCCTCTCAGACCTCACTCCTCTCTTCCCTTCTGCCCCCGAGAGAGGACAGTCTCGAGTTTATCTTTCCTGTTAGCCGTGGTGTTTACAGTTTGCTCTTCTGTCCTCCTGTCGGGGGGCACATCCCTCAGCTGCCCAGTGAGTGACCTGTCTTTCCCCAGGGGTTGGTTTGAGAGCGAACCTGTGGGCCGAGCCAAGGCAGAACTGTGTGGGTGTGAGGAGAGGGTGCTGAGGGTTTTGCTGCTAGAACAGGCCCACAGCAGGTGCATGGAAGGGGGTAGGAGACAAAGGCCACAGAGGAAAGTGGGACCGGAGAGGAGAGGCTGCCGGGAGCTGCACTGCTGAGCTCTGCCCAGCCCCAGCTTCACCTGGGAATTCGCTAGTCCTGTGAGTTCTGGCGTCCTGTCCCAGACCCACTGACTAAGAATAACTTGGAGTAGAGCCCAGCCATTCGTTTTGTCAAGTCCTGTGCTAACTAATGTTGGAGACGAGGTTGCTGCATATTAGAAGCACCTCAAGACCTTTAAATCTATGCAGGCTGTGCTCCCCAACAATTAATTCAACCTCTGGGGTAGGACCTTGGCATTAGCACTTCTTCAAGTCTCCCCAGGCGACTAAGGGACAGGCAGCGAGGAGCCAGTGCCCCAGCGGGGCTGACCCTCCCCAGTGCTCAGGAGAGGAGCGCGGTTCCTTGCGTTCTCTGGTGTGCAGGCCCAGGTGTTCCCAAGCCCTTTGCAGTAGTGCTTTTTGAATCTGCTGAATTTTTTTGTATAGTAGATTTTTGTTATTCACAGTAACTGTTCGGTGAAGTCACCATGAACACAATTAGCAAAAGCTGGCCATTGCTCCCGGGGGAAATACAGGGCTAACTTCCTTTGATCCTCTGGTCAACCGATCAACATATAATGTGTTTTGCCCTGGCCGGTTTGGCTCAGTGGTTGGAGCGTCAGCCTGCGGTCCAGAGAGACCCGGGTTCGGTTCCTGCTAAGGGCACATACCTTGGTTGCAGTTTGTCCCCAGCCCTGGTTGGGTCGTGTGGGTGGCAACCACTCGATGTGTCCCTTTCACATGGATGTTTCTCTCCTTCCTATTCTATCTGAACAAAAAAGTGGAAAAATGTCCTCGGGTGAGGATAAAAAAACAAAAACATATAACGTGTTTCTGTTTAGCGACATCGGATGTAAATGCACTGGTAGGTCACTGATTGAACTGGCCAGAGCACCCTCTGCCTAAATGAACCTTACCCAACGTGGTTTATTCACAGGGCACATCACAGCCTCCCTGCCCCGTGCTCGGGGCATTTTAAAATGTGAGATCACCAACCAAAACCACAAAAATTCGAAAAAGGCAGTGAGTGAACGCGATAGAGCACTGATGGAGCACTTTTATAACGGCCTCCGTGTCTCTGTGGCTCTGGCCTGAGGCCAGGCAGACACTAGTTTTGCTGGTGGGGAAGAATTCTGCAAACAGCACGCACATTGCAGTGAGGGAGACCATGTCAGACGCTTTCTTAAAATTCCCAGATACTGTTGAGCGGTGTTCTCTTGTACACTGTCTGTCCTTTGCCCAAAGAGCTTTTTAAAAAGCTCCTGGATGAGCTCTGACCCCTCTGTTGCACATGTTTTCCCATTTTAGCATTTGCATTTTTGTCTCTGATGCTGACACATCGAAGGTTTTGTGTGTGTGTGTGCTGGCAAAGCTAGCAATCATTGACAGTTCTGGTTAGTGTAAGGTGTTTCCCATGTCAAAATATGTAAAAATTCTATTAAATTTGTGGTTTTATCACACAATTTAAAAAAATATAATTGGACCCCGGCTTGTTTGGCTCGGTGGTTAGAGTGTCGGCCTGAAGACAAGCATTTTGGATTTGATTCCCAAGGGCACATACCTGCGTTGCTGGTTCAATCCTTGGCCTCAGCTGGTTCTGGCAGGAGCAGCCAGTTGATGTGTCTCTCTCTCTCTCTCTCTCTCTCTCTCTCTCTCTCTCTCTCTCGCCCTGGCCGGTTTGGTTCAGCGGTTGGAGCGTCGGCCTGCGGTACAGATGTCTCTCTCTGTCTCTCTCTCTCTCTCTCTCTCTCTCTCTGTCTCTCTCTCGCTATCTCTCTCGCTATCTCTCTCCTATCCCTCGCTATCTCTCTCTCTCGCTATCTCCCTCCCTCCCACTCTATCTAGAAATCAATGGGAAAATGTCCTCAGGTAAAATACATATAATTGGTATCTGTTTTTAAAAGGCAGTATTTAAATTAATCATGCAAATTGAATCTCATTGTTCAGACTAAGAATTGTCCATTCTTGAGTGAATTCAGAATTACATGAAATAAGAGTTATTTACCTTCCTTAGGTATTCATTCACTTAGATGTTTTTGGTAACAGCTTTATTGAGATGTGATTCACATGCCATACAATTCACCCATTTAAAATCTGCACCCATTACCACTGTCTTAGAATATTGTCATCACCCTGACCGAGCCCTGCAGCACCAGCCGTCACCCAAGTCTCCCCCAGCCCTGGGAAACCGCTGACCTACCTTCTGCCGTACAGACTTGTCTGTCCTGGACAAAAAAGCCGGGGAAAGACTGGTCAGGCATGTCAGGCCATCAGACGTTTTCTAGATACTGCGACATTCATCCATTTAAAAAACTTTGTCATTTGATGAGTTTTTTCATTCAAATACCTGATTTTCATACCTACTTCTGTATTGTTTGGCTTTAAAAGAACCCCGCCCCCACACACACACACCCAAATGATAAACACCATCTTCAATATAAACCCGAATCAGCCCCTGCTTCCCATTGTCCTGAGAATGAAGTCCATTGTCTCCACTCGGACCCGCAGCTCCCTGCCATTGTATTGGTGACGCTCTGCACTGCTCACCCCCCCCCCCAGCGTCCCTCACTGCCAGCCCCTCTGGAATGCTCTCCTTCCTGCCCCCCATGTGGCTGGTGCTCTGTCTCCTGGTCCTGGCTCAGGTCACAGCCCCAGAAAAGGCATGTTTTGGCCACCAAATCAAAAGTAGAATCCCTTGCCTCATCATTTTCTATGTATTTCCTCAAGCATTTTGATCAAATTCTGACATTACCTTGTTTATTTTCTGCCTACCCCGCTAGACAGTGGGTTCCATGTGTCGGGACGTTGTCTGTTCTGTTCACTGCATTGTCCGGGGAACTTGTACACTTGGTTCTGAAATACTGAGTAAATAGCCAGGAAGTGACAGAGGACAGTTCTTAGTTCTCTGTTTCTCTGACTTCAGAGACCACAGGCTGAGCATGTCCCACTATTCTAGAACTTTGTTTCCCACAGAACCTTGGAGAGCATTTCTACTCTGGTTTACCAGTGACTGAGCAGATCGAAGGTCATCAAGAATCCAAACACCCTTTCTGTACAGACGACCTCGCATAGTCTTTCACTTTTCAAAAAAAATAATAAACGAATCGGGCGTGTTACAGAAGAGCAAGGAGAGATTGCGTCTCCGGTGAGACAGCTGTGGAACAAGATCACCCAATAATTTCAGTTTCGAGAGACTAGGATCATGCTTAGAATTGGGTTAGAGAGAATCGATTCTCTGGAACAATCAATGCCATCATTACTCTGGCCTTCCGAGGGGGCTCTGGTATCGCTGAGAAAGGCTGCTCGCTGGTCTTCTCATCCATATAAAAAACTTGACGTGAATGAGTGTTCCCCAGGACAGGATGGGGAAGTGAGCCCAGGCTAAATAAATAAACGCAGTGGATAATGAAGGCAGCTTCCCAAACATACTCGGGAAGCAGCCCTGTGCTGGTTTTATTTGACCCTTTCGTCCCTGAAAGTGTCTTACGACAATTTACCAAGTACAAGTAGAAGGGAAATGTGTTTCATTTTGAATTTTCTTATGTGTTTTTGAGGATCAGAATTCCATAATATCCTTTGATTGAAGTGGGAATGATCTGGGAGCAATTGAATTGATGATCAACTAATTAAATTCAGACCGCAGTTCTCTTGGTGCATAGCCACACATTTCTGGAGCATTTTGGTCTGTAATTTGTGTTTTGGACTTATTTTTGGTCTGTGTGGCACTGTCTATAAATATCTCTCATTCTGGACTAGAAAGTGAGATACAGGCTGTATATTTGATAAAAATTCTACTTTTTCCACAGAATCAAGCATTTGCCATGGGTCTTGCAGACGTTAAGGGCATACGTTTTTTTCAAAATTCATAATAGTATGTCATCTATGAAGAACAGATCACTTAATGCAATGAATAGCTATATATTTCTAATAAGTTGTGTTTAGTATACAAATGTTGAGCTTTACATACTAAGTAATTGCAGGTTAGCTGAAGGAATTTATCTACAGAAATTCCTATTTGTCTTTGTTTTACTCCAGAGGTTGTTTTTAGTAGCTTTGAGATATCATTGCCATAAAAAGTATATAGTTAAGGTGTATAGCTTGATATTTGATCTATGTAAAGGTTGAAATGATCACGACAGTCAGACTATCCATTACCTGTACATAGGTACTGTTTTGTGCGGTGTGTGTGTGTGTGTGTGTTGAGATTTAAGATCTATCCTTTTGCAAATCAGAAGTATACAGTGTAGTATTGTTTATATTTGTCTTAAAAGAAAAAGTTCTTCCATGATTCATCACTCTCAGATGTAAAAGCTTTCGACATTTAGGGAGCGTAGGTCATTGTACTGTACTTTCCCAAGGTGGAAAACAAAATCTCCGTTGGTTACCAGAGCCGGGGTTGGCCCAGGACATTACAATGTTTGCGCTGTTCTGTGGTGACTTGTCAGTCACTCCCTGTTGGTACTGGGTCTCTGACATTGTGCTACATACGCTGTAATTAAATTCTGTTGAGACAGCCCAGTTTGACAAATGGTTTGTACTTTTGTGATATGATTGATTTCATGCACTACTATTTAGTTACTGCAATCTAATAAAATATGCCCAATTAATTTTCTTTCTCAAAGCTCTGCGTTAAAATGTTTCACTTTCACATTTGATGGCAGCCATAGAAATAGCCCCTGAAAGAAACCCTTTGCTTTCATATCATTCTTTTGAAGGATCGAATTTTAATATCCTATCAATTCTTGCTTTTTGCCTTTAATCTCTGAGAACGCATTTAATTTCAGCAGTAAAGTTGACAACATCCATTTTTATCTTTAATTAACTTTTCAGTTCGGTTTCATTCTGAATTTATCACCAAGCTGTAATGGGAGTGCGGGTGGAAGCTTGGGAGACTGCCCAACTCCGGATTCAGCTCAGTTCACCCCGCTGAAAAACAGGAGTCATCAACTACATTGATACAGAGGACAGCTCATGAGACAACACCACTTGCAGATGACAGTGTTTATTCCTGATTTCTGCCGTTTATTTGGCCTCCTAATTCCCTTTCCACGCTTTCTCTCTTTATTTTTTCAATTTTTACCTGAGGATATGTTTTTATTGATTTTAGAGAGAGGAAGGGAGAGAGAGGGGAACATCTATGTGAGAGATCAGTTGGTTGCCTCCTGTACATGCCATGACAGGGATTGACAACCTTTCTGGTGTACGGGACAATCAACTGAGCCGCTCGGCTGGGGCCCCACTCTCTTTCCACCCAAAGGCACCAGCTGCCCCTTAGTTAAGGGCTTTGTAACGGCAAGAGTGCACCAGAGAACCACTGCCACACAAACCACCACCTACTGCTCACTGGGTCCACTTCCCAAGCCTCGTCCCTGCCAGCTGGTTGTAGGCACCATTGTACAGACGAGCGATGGGACCTGCACAGAGATTTGGTTTTTGAAGGCAGAACACCCGGGTTTGCATCCCTGCTCATCATTTCTTAGCTCACTAGTTTGGAGGAGTGGGGCACGCTATTTAACATGCACTTATTCACCCACCAATCTGAGCTTCTACTGCTCAGTGTACTGGACACACACCCAGGAATAACAGACACAGCTGCTGCCGCTAATTTTTATAGCGGGAATTAGACACACTGAAGGGTAGGCAATTACAAAGTGTGACAAGTGTGGTGAGGCAGGGCCGGAGCAGTGACAGAGTAACTGGCAGAGGAAGTGGGGGATCCAACTTAGACCCAATTTAGTGCTGTGATAGGAACAAAATCAGTGTTCTGGGAGTTCAGAGAAGGCTGGCTGATGGGCAAGTGACATCTGAAATGGGACTGAAGAAAGGGTGGGCTTGGATATTCAGGGGAGGAGAGAAGGAGCCGGATGTGCGAAGACAGGAATGCTGTAGGACAGGCCTTTGGCTGAACCTCAAGGTCGGTGGACAGACGCTGTGTTGGGACTTCTGCAGGTGGGGCCCAGCAACGGCAGCAGTTCACGTCATTTCTCCAGCCAGCATTTCCTGGCAGTGTGAACATGCCTGTGTCCCAGGCAGGTGCAACCACCGCAGCCAGCTTCTGGGAGTAATTGGTGTGTCCCAGAAAAGGCCGTTCAAGATGCATCCATTGTGTTCCATAAGTTCCTCCCTTTGCCTTTCACTTACAAAGAGTAACAACTAGTGTTTCTCACAGGTTACGTAAATAATCGTGGTTCTCGTGATTATTACTATTACTTTTTAACGCTTCGTGAATTTGAGTGCCATCCTTGCACCAGGGGCCATGCTAATCGCTGTTTCGTTCCAATTTTAGTCCATGTGCTGCAGAACCAAGCACTCGTGCTTATTGATGTAACACTCTAGGGAGATCTCAGAATCCAGTTATGCTTTGCTGTGGCTGAGCTGACAAGCATTTAATTCCAGTTTTCTCACCAGAGGTGCTGTGACCTTCAGCAGTTATTCAGCCACTGGGTTACAAGTCCCTTAGCAGTAGAAGCACAGTAACACTCCTTCCTGCAAACACCGTGAGGGAGAATTGCGTAAGTGTCTGTATGCCCCATAAATTCTTTACAGCAAAATATACATTTGCAGTGAAGGGACAGTGAGTGCTCTTTCCGTCCTGGGCAGAAGTGTCATGAAGTCCAGCCTTCCTCTTGGTCCCTTTACAGTGGCCCCTTTAACTCCGGTGAAGCAGACTAACTTCAATGGACTTTGTTTCCATTTGGTGGTACTTAGACCTAGGGAAAAAGTCAACCAAAATTTGCTGTTTAGATTCTTTGCAACCAGGTTGAGGTTTTAAACAGCTTGACAGAGTGGAGCTTGGAGTGAACTTTCTGCTCACAAGGAGACTTAGGAGGTCACCTCCCTAAAACGGAAGAATCAGCGACACGTTCTGCCGCTGAGGCTTAAAGGTAGTTCACCTGGATCTCTTCCTAATCAGCTGAGGACAGAAGGGATGAAGCAGGGGCAGCCGGCAGCGTGGGAGTCGCAAGGGCGGGAGCAGAGGGAGCCGCTGTATTTGCGGGTGTTAACTGGTGGAGCCTTTGCGTGTCATCTCTGCCGACGGCCCGGATGAGGGGCAGCCCTCCGGGTTACCAGCTCGGTTTCCGGACGACCCTGGCTCAGAGGGACGGTACCTGCCCCGCGGCCTGGCTGACCTGGGGCCAGGCCTCCTGTGGGGGCGCTCGGCCCTCGTTGGCGGGGGCTGACCGGGGGCACCTCCCCTCCGTGTGTGCGGATTCCTCCGCTGCTCCTACCCACTCGGGACAGTGACTGTGTGTCGGGACTTCTGCAGACGTCGCGGTTTTCATCTGTCCGTGTCCCTCTGGCTGCAGGGCAGCTACCCCGAGGCACGCAGGGGCGGGCCCAGGGTTACAACTGCGCGGGGCTCTGAGTAAACGGGGCGGGGCCAGAGCAGGTGGGGCGGAGCCGGGCGCAAACGGGGCGGGGCAGAAATGGCATCTAGACGTGGACGGGGCGGGTCAGGGGCGGGGCCAAGGCAGAGGGGCGGGGCTCTGGTCAAACGGGGCGGGGCAGAAAGGGCATCTAGACGTGGACGGGGCGGGCCGGGGGCGGGGCCAAGGCAGAGGGGGCGGGACCGGGCGCGGCGGCTCCTCCAGAGCAGCGGCTCCTCCTGCACCGCAGGTCGGCGGGCGCGCGAGGCTGAGCGCCGTCTCCTTCGCCCCGACCCCCTCGCGGCTCCGGCCCCGAGTCCACGTCCCCACGCGGGCGGCCGTCGTGAGGCGGCTCCGGGCCATGGCGGCGCGGGGGTCCCGGCGCGCGGCCCTCCACCTCCTGCTGCTCGTCCCGCTGGTCGCGGGGCGCTGGGGTCCGGCCGGCGCGGGGGTCGGCGCGCCCGGAGGTGAGGCGGGGCGGCGGGGCGGCGGGGCTGGGGCCGTGGGGCTGGGGCCGTGGGGCTGCGGGCGGGAGGGCGGCTCTGCCCTTCCCGGGGCGGGTGGCCGCCGTCCGTCCGAGACGCCGGGGCCCGGGGCCCTGGGAGCCCCTTCCCTGCGCGCGTCCCACGTCCTTCGTCCTTCGGGGAGCCGGCCTCCTCCCCCGCCGGGTGCCGCGGCTCCCCCGGGGGGGCGGGGGTCCGTCCTCGCGGTCCCGCCGAGGAGAAGCGCCGCCGCGCGTGGAGCCCGTGCTGTGACCCGCACGACACGCGAGCCGGGGTTCACGCGTCAGTTTCTGTTTTAGTAAGTCACGCTATTGGTTTTTCTTGGATATGGGTTTGTTTCTTTGTTTTGAGAGAGAGAAACATACGGGCCTGGAGCCGGGGTCGAACCCGCCACCGCTGGGTGCCCAGGACGACGCTCCACCCAGGAGCCGCCGGCCGGGGCCTTGCGGGCCGTCGCTCTTAAAAAGGGGGAGCCGTCCTTGGGTGTAAGAACCTTGCCTTGCGTCTCCCCTCGGGTGTCAGCGGTGGTTTCTGAGTCCGGGGTGTAGCGTTCGTCTGGGGCAGCATCGCCTGCAGCCGAATGTATTGCTCACGGTGGCCCGAGGGGGAGGATGCCCAGGAAAGACCGGAGTGGATTCCAGCCCCAGACAAACCTGGGCTCAGTTGGGACTCCTAGTGCCTTGGACAAGCTTTCCTCAGCTGGCTTCGTGCTTAGAAAAGGGGACACTGCTGCTCCAACAAGGGGACGCTGCTGCTTACCTCTGAGCGGTTGGCAGGATGAAGTGACATCTATGGATTTCCAGGTGCTTTGCAGGACATTCTAGCAAAGTGTGGTTCTCTACTCCTTTGGGTGAAAGGGGAACTTTTTTCCATCTGTTTTAATATAAAACATCATAGCTAAGCATTAAATGGTGTAAATAGCTATGTGTTCGTAAGTGTGTTCCGGGTAACATCCAAACAATCAGAGCGGAGCACTTCCTCCTTTCCGCCCAGGCCCTCCTTCCTGAATACCTCTTGTAACTATCACCTATTGGTTATATTTGCGTTTACCTTTGTCCCATCTGAGCTCCTAAGAACTGTGATCCTGCCTGGGTTTGGCTCCGCAGTTAGAGCGTTTGCCTGAGGACTGAAGGGTCTCGGGTTTGATTTCTGGCCAAGTGCACACACCTGGGTTGCAGGTTCGATCCCAGCCATTTGAAAGGCGATGGGAAAATACCCTCAGGTGAGGATTAACAAGACGTGCTCTTAGGAAGTGACCATTTGAAGAACAAGGTGATATTGAATGGATGATGGAATTGCACACATGCTCCCAAAATGTTAATATGCTTTTGTGCAAAATTCTCTTTGGGTGTAAGGTAGCTGAAAAGTTCTGTTTGGAGTCATTAGGTTTTCTTGGACATATTGCTTGACCTTCCTGATTCTTTATTTCTCCCTCTTTAAAATGAGAGGGTAATGGTAGTTGGTTTTTAGGTCCTTTCAAACATAATTACTTTTACATTGACTTTTTTTTTCATATTCATCTTAGACTCTTAATAATATCTTTCTATGGTTTTCTGTGAACCAACCTCTAGGAAATGTCTATTCTGCCAGCAGCCATACTTATTTGTCTGGTAGAAGGTCACATAGCTGTGGAAGGTGGCTCAGCAGGCAGTTTTCTATAACAAAGAATAGATCCTGGCTGGTGTGGCTCAGTCCATGCATGTTGACCCATGCACAAAGAGATCCCGGTTCAATTCCAGGTCAGGGCACATGCCCAGACTGTGGGCCCAATCCCTAGTGGGGGGCGTGCAGGAGGAGGCCAGTCGATGTTCTCTCATTGATATTTCTATCTCACTATCCCTCTCCCTTCCTCTCTTTAAAATCAATAAAGAAAAAAATTGTTTTAAAAGAATAGGTAATTAACTATTATATTAAGATAACACAGGCCTTTTAAACTGATCTGACTGATCTGGCTGGTGTGGCTCTGGTTGAGCATCAACTCACGCACCAAGAGGTCACCAGTTCCATTACTGGTAAGGACACTTGCCCAGGCTGTGGGCCCAATCCTCAGTGGGGCGCGTGCAGGAGGTGACCAATTAATGTTCTCTCTCATCGATGTTTCTCTCTCTCTCTCTCTCTCTCTCTCTCTCCCTCTCATTTCCTCTCTCTCTAAAATCAATAAAGGAAAAAAATAAACTGATCTGGCTGTGATTGAGAGAGTGATTTATGGAAATAATACAGTCACTAGTCAGTTATATTTCTTGGCTGTGTAGTTGTGTGACATTTTAAATAGTTGAAGCTTAATTTTTAGTACTTGTAGTGGCTGAATTTTGTTTCATTGAAAATAAAATAATTAATAGAGAATGAGAACTATGAAAGATTATTTTCTTACCTTTAGTCATTTTCATTAACATTTCAGAAGCCAACAGACATCTCTACCTTTATTTAAATTTTAAAAAATTATTGATTGGTTTTAGAGACAGAGAAACATTGACTTGTTGTTGTACTTCTTTATGCATCATTGGTTGATTCTTGCGTGTGCCCTGATGGGAGACCGAACCACAACCTTGGCGCGTTGGGGTCACGCTCTAACCAACAGAGCTGCTTGGTCAGGGCTGTCATTTCTACTTTGGTTACAGTTAATCCAAAGAGTATCTAGGTGCCTCCTGCAAGGAAATAAATTTTTCACAGTTTAATGTGAAATGAACAATTATTTTGGTGCCCTTGCAGATACTAAATATGCTCTATGAGCTAGAATGTGAGCATCTGGAAGTAGGGTTCTTTTCATCTCTTGATACATTTTAGATGTACCAGGGTTTAGTAATATAGCCTGTCAATGGAAGTTTACAGTCATTTGTCAGAATAGTGTTTTTTTCAACCTACAAATGAGATTTAGCCAGTCATTTCTGATAATTAGAATGTGAGTTTTTAGTCCTGTGGTTTCAGTACAGAACATTTTTCTTCTAATAGCATTATTCTTCTCCCCTAAAAATTGGAATAAATTCTTTCGGATGAAATTTTAAGTTTAATATTAAATTAGCATGTCTTGGCAATGAGCATTGGTACATACTGGGATGGTTTTTGAAAGAAGTTTACTATTTGCTTTTTATTTTTTAGGAATTTACTCTGCACAACAGCATAGGTATAGCTTTATAATGACAACGGTACAGAAGAGATTTTTATCTTTGTTTTTATTGTTGACATGATTACAGATGTCCTCATTACCCCCTTTGCTGCCTGCCTCTGCCCAGCCAATTCTTCTTAATGACCCTTCCTGTTCTGTGACTACAATTTTTATTTAAATGTTCTGTTTCTATTTTGGGAAGGCATGATATTGTTTCTCCTGTGTTTAATTCAGTGTCTGTTGAATTCAGTGTCCTTATGCTCTTTACTTCTAAAGTAGAATTATAAAACAACTTTTCATCAGTAAAAATAGGATTTAAATATGAATATTTGAATTCTGACAAAAAGGACAGTATGAGCTTTTGACATTATTTTTATTTCTTTTTACTTTGCGATCAACGGTGTATGTATGGACCTGGGAAAACCCGTGTTTCCTCTAGCTCAGGGCTTTGCAGTCTCTGGGACGCGATAGCTCTTTGTCCTAGGAGACTGCCCGGGCCTGTGGGTTGTGGGCCGCGTCTCTGGCCTCTGTTCACCCACCAAAAATGTCTGCAGATATTTCAAAAGCTGTAGGGAATGAAACTATTCCCCAATATCCCGCCACGCCCTCTCCCCCCATGAGAATCACTTCTCCAAGCCCTGTAGAGGGTGTGTGTGTGTGTTGGTTCTCAGACTGTCCCTGGCACAGGCGTCCCCTAGGGCTGTGGTTAGAAGGTAGTTTGGTCAGAGGTGGGGCCTGAGATTCTGCCGACAGAGAGCCTAGACCATGTGGTTGTTGCCGGGTCAGAGCTTCGCACTTTGAGTAGCAAAGTCCTGGGTGAGTTTCCCTCATTTCGATGGGGTGGGTCCTCAGAGGATCCCATGGCAGTACTTGTGGAAACAGAACTGCAGCTCCCGCAGCCTGAGACCAGTAAAACGTAACCATCCTAGGGGATAGCAGCTGTCCTCGCCTTCCCATGCCTCCTGGTCCTCAGCAGTCACTCCCATCAGGCAGCTCCAAGGTGGAGCTTTGCAAGAGTCTCATCAAGGTCACATAGGTTATAGGAACCGAGGCAATTGTACAAGCTCATAATACGCACTTGTTGCCTGTGGAGAGGTTTATGATATCAGGATAGAGAACTCAGCATTTACTTAGTCCAATAGTGCTCAAACGTTTTTTAAAAGTGTGCAAGTTTTCGCCCTGGCCAGTTTGGCGCAGCAGTTAGAGCCTCGGCCTGAGGTCCAGAGGGACCCGGGTTCGGTTCCTGCTAAGGGCATGTACCTCGGTTGCGGTTTGTCCCCGGCCCTGGTTGCGTCATGTGGGTGGCAGCCGCTCGATGTTTCCCTTTCACATCAATGTTTCTCTTCCTCTCTCCCTCCCACTCTATCTGAACAAAAAAAATGAGAAAATGTCCTCGGGTGAGGATAAATAAATAAATAAGTAAAAATAAAAGTGTGCAAGTTTTCTCTCCTTGAGAACTGTTGACTGGGCTTAAATTTAACACCGCCCGAGGTCCTGTTCTGACTGCAGGTGTCCTGAGAGTCTGCGGAAGGTTTAAATTAGGTTTGCTAAAGCATGTCCACTACAGAGAGACTTGATCCTATAATTCTGACAAAAATCAATAGAGAATATAATGAAAATCCTGGAGTGGGAAAAAATACCTCTACATTTCTCCTACAATACTTAAAATAGTGATTGGTAAGCATATTCTCTGTCACACTGAAAATGTTGGCTGCCGGACACATTTCTTCTCGTTTACAAAATGGTTGATTATGTTCATTGCTGTGTCTTGCTATTGCTTAGAATAGCCCTCCTAGGACTGCTACAGAAGGGTTGTTTTTTTTTTTAAAGGTTTTTTTTGTTAGCTTAAAAATATAAAGGTAGCCCTGGCCGGTTTGGCTCAGCGGTTAGAGCGTCGGCCTGCAGTTCAGAGAGACCCAGGTTTGGTTCCCACTAAGGGCGTGTACCTCGGTTGCAGTTTGGCCCTGGCCCTGGCTGGGTTGTGTGGGTGGCAGCCACTCGATGTGTCCCTTTCACGTCGATGTTTCTCTCTCTCTTCTTCTCCCTCCCACTGTATCTGAACAAAAAAATGGAAAAATGTCCTCGGGTGAGGATAAAAAAAAAAAAAATACAAAGGTACAAGGAGACTTAGGGGGAGGGTTAACTCCGGGAATGCCTTACTTATGAGTTGGGGAGCTGGAACACGCACCCCTCTTACACACGCGATTTTAGATGTGTTCTCTCATTTTACTCTATGACAGCTGGTGAGAGGGAAGGGAACCTGTCGGCAGTGACTAGCGAGATTTAAAGTGTGTACCCTTGACTCAGCAGTTCTGAGTCTGTGCCATAATTCTTGTATATGTGGGAAAATAGATGTCCAAGGGTGTTCACTGCAGCATTTTCCCCTTGTAACATTGTGAGAAATAACCCCAAACTGAGGGCTACAGAAATGCCCGTCAGTGGGGCAGCTCACATAGGCTACGATATATCCGTAACCTAGACCCCTTGGCAACGTCCAGAGAGGCTGGAGACGGATGGACATGTACCCACATAGAGTATTGGATATAAGAAAAAGCAAGTCAGAGACTTACAAATAAAACCTCTTCTTCCTCTGTGTGTATTTAAAAACGTCTACCCGTCAAACTTTACAGTGGTTGTCCTTGGAGGAAGGTAGGTAGAGGACTAGAGGCAGAATTCCTCTTCGTGTGCTTCTGGTTCGAATCTTAATGATGATCAGACATTACTTTTATCGTTAAAGTATGATTTTGAGAAATAGTTTGGGTCCTAGTTCCATGCTACTACTGATGTTAGGCCCATTGTTCTCAACCAGGGGCAGGGGTGTGCCCACCCCTGCTTCCGTGACATTTGGCCATGTCTGGAGACGTTTTTTGGTTTGGACAGTGGAGGGTGGGGGTGCTGTATGTTGTGGCCAGAAGCCAGGGGTGCTTCCCAGTGTCCGGCAACCAGGACAGCCCGTCCTCAGCAACGAACACCCAGGCCTCAGTGTCGGTCGTGCCGGGTCGAGAAATCCTGCAAGCTCTAATCGCTGAGCTAAACCGGCCAGAGCCCTAGGATTGATTTTAAAAACCCTTAGCTGTCAACCCTGGCCAGTTTGGCTCAGCGGTCTGTGGACCAAAGGGTCTCAGGTTCGATTCCAGTATCACCAAATGACTGGAAAGTGAAATGTTTGGATTCTGTCATTCTCCTAATTCCCCAACCTTGAGACAGTACTACAGTGATGATCTTCAAAGTTAAAACCGAATTTGTAAAACCCAAATTTAAATCCTTCAGAGTGTAGCCCTGGCCAGTTTGGCTCAGCGGTTAGAGCATCCGCCTGCGGTCCGGAGAGACCTGGGTTCGGTTCCCGCTAAGGGCATGTACCTCGGTTGCAGTTTGTCCCCGGCCCTGGTTGGTCGTGCGGGTGGCAGCCACTCGATGTGTCCCTTTCACATCGATGTTTCCCTCTCTCTCTCTTCCTCTCTCTCCCTCCCACTCTGTCTGTACAAAAAATGGAAAAATGTCCTCGGATGAGGATTAAAAAATAATAATAATAAATAAATAAATAAATAAATAAATAAATAAATAAATAAATCCTTCAGAGTGTGAATGACATTGTACATATTTATACCTTTTATGCATTCAATTTAGTTTGTTTCCGTAGTTGTATCTGTATTTTTAACTGCTTTGGAAGAATTGCCCATTTGTCTATCATTTTTGTTCTTACCGTGTTTTTAGTGCACGTCACTGCTCGAATCCCTTTATTTGTTTGAACTGTGTGATTTGTGTGCTGTCAGGTTGACATTCTGATTATTATCGTTAGCTCTACAGGATAGAGACTTGCGGGAAGCGTTTCACTGGACTGGCCTTGTACTGTCGAGAGGCCCCGTTCCACAGGCCAGCTCTTCCTTTGCAGGTGCCGTTGCCTCAGGTAACGTCAGGAGAGGCCCTTCGCTGGCTGGAGGGAGTGTAGGCAGAGTCCCTCCCTCTGCAGGCAGTGGCTACCTTTGTTGCGATGTGTTTGTGTGTTGTTGTCTTTTGAGGTCCATCGGTTACCATTACTCCAGCCGTCATTTGTGGAAGGACCTGCGCCGTAGCCTTGCTGGGTAGGCACTGTTTCACACCAGCTCCAGGAAGAAAGAGCCATGTGCAAGGAAAGTAGGCCACCTTCAGGCCAGACAGGAAGTGTTGGAGGCTGGATGGTCCCGAGTCCCGCTGAGACCCGAGACCCTCAGCCCTGTGCTCACGGCCTCTCTTTACAGTCACGTCCGAGTTAGGCAAGGTCTCTAGTGTTGTCAGTGTGTTTGTATATTAAAGTCGTGTGAATTAAAAAGCATGTTTGTTTTATATTTACAGTTGATAAGTGAACTTTTACTTCAATATATCTCTTTTCTAGGGGTGAAATTTTATGACAGTTAACCCCCTAACCCTGGTCATTTAAAGGCTTTTGTCCTTTAGATTTTAAATGACTCTGTATTAAGTACTGAGTGACTCTCAAGGAACTCGGCGTGTCTCCCATGAGTGACCTGGTTTAGCTAAAAAATGGATTGGAACCAGAGCGGTCCTCATTGATCACAGACGTTTGCATTAATACTGCATTCTAAAAGTGCTATTAATGCCCTTGCTGATTTGGCTCAGCGGTTAGAGCGTCGTCAGCTTGTGGTCCCTAGAGACCTGGATTCGGTTCCTGCTAGGGGCACGTACCTTGTTACGGTTTGTCCCCGCCCCTGGTTGGGTCGTGTGGGTGGCAGCCACTTGATGTGTCCCTTTCACGTGGATGTTTCTCTCTCTCTCTCTCTCCCTCCCTCCCACTCTATCTGAACAAAAAATGGAAAAATGTCCTCAGGTGAGGATTAAAAAAAAAAAAAAGGACTATTAATAATAGCCTAGCCCTGGCCGGTTTGGCTCAGCGGTTGGAACGTTGCCTGCGGACCAGAGAGTCCTGGGTTCAGTCCCGCTAGGGGCATGTACAAAAAATGATGATAAAAAATGATGATGATGATAATAATAGCCTAAATGGTTTATTAATGATGAGGAACTTTTTTTTTTTTTAGTAGAGGTATTTGGTAGGAGAGAAACGAACACACTAACTTTTAGATATTTGTTCCGTAGGGCTAGCAGAACCATTCTTTGTTGCCAAGCATGAAGATAGGTTGTTTAAGGATTTATTTCGAGACTATGAGAGGTGGGTTCGTCCTGTGGAGCACCTGAATGACAAAGTAAACATCAAGTTTGGCCTTGCGATATCTCAGCTGGTGGACGTGGTAGGTGTGCATGTCACCATGTGTCCAGCTCCACCGCCCTGTGGCTTCTAAGTGCCTGGGGACCTCGGCATGAGGCGCACGGTGTCCCCGGGACTCCTTCCCCACCGCCGCCCTGTCTCTGGGACGGGCTTCCTTCAGCCTCCTCCTTCCCTCTGGGTCATTTGCTGTTACTGCGGTGGGACAGGGGATGGTGCTCTCCGGTCCACGAAGCTATTTGTGCTTCTGCCCCTGCCCTCCTGGGGGCGCTCGGACTTCTGTGGGTCTCTGTGCTCAGTGTTGTGTCCTCCCCGGGCACTGTGGTTGGCGATTAGGATTTGTGACAGGCTCTGTGATATTTCAGTAAAATTTAATGGAAGAGACGTCACTTTTATTAGGCCTTGAAAGTCCAGTGAAGGACGGGCATAAGCAAGACATGTCAGCACGGAGGCACACGTGGCCCGTCCCAGGACCCCGGTACTCTGGAAGCGGAGCGTGGAGGCTTCAGGAAGCCGCCATCCACGGCTGTGGCCTCTGTATCTTTCCCAGAGATCAGATCTGTGCCCGGCAGAGGCAGAGGGAGCATGTGCCCCTCGACAGTGCCCGGAGCAGCAGGCGTCTGTCTCGGCTCACATCTCAGATGTGAGGGAGCAAAGGGGCTCAGACGATGCACGTCACGTCTGAAGGTGCCAACCGTGTGCATCAGGGCAGCTTGTCTGCAAGACAGAGGTTGAAGGGAACAGTGGGAGTTAGGCTGGAACCATGGTCCTGCTCTTCCGGAGCCCTGGATGGCGAACGGAATGCAGGTTCCCCGTGGGGAGGAGCGTCTGTGTAAGACGAGGAAATTTGTGTTTAAAGAGCTATTGCTTCTGTCATTGAAACAATCAGCGTTATTAAAATGTTTGTTTTATAGGATGAGAAAAATCAGTTAATGACAACGAACGTCTGGTTGAAACAGGTATGTATACAATTCGACAGGCCAGCTGATGTGACTGGCAGGACTATGTTCCAGGGTCTGCGGCCACAGGCGTGAGCGAGGCCTGGGTCCTGGGGGACTGGGGATGCAGGCAGATGGTGTGCGGGGAGTTCTCCTATCGACTCAGTTGATACTGAGTGTCAGGCAGAGGGGAAACTGCAGTGACCTACACTGACACAAGTCCTGTCCTCAGAGAACCTAACTCCAGTGGGGAAATAAACAGAAACGAAGCTGATAAGCTTTGGGGGGAAATACACTGGGAAAGAGGGTGGGGTGCGTGTGGTCGGTATTTTTAAATAGGGTGGTCTGGGAAAGTGTCACTGAGAAGGTGATGCTTGGACAAAGTCTTGAGGGAGGAGAAGAAGCCATGTGAACATCTGGGGGAGGGGTGTGTCAGGCTGGGGGGGAGGGGCACGAGTGCAAAGGCCCTGGGGCTGCAGTTTGCCTGGTGTCTAAGGAGCAGCAAGGAGGCTGAGAGGTGAGTGAGCCAGGAAGGACTGGAGCAGAGGAGGGCAGAGGACGGGAGGCTGCTGGTGCGGCAGCTCGCTGATCATGCAGAGGTTTGGGCTTCTCTCTGAGTGAGGTGGGAACAGGCGGTGATGGACTACTTTTGTGTACATAGTCCCTTTGTAAAAAGGACTTGTTATCTCTGGGCCATCGTGCATATGTCCTCAACTGCTGCGGTGTCTTCCCTGTGTTCGTTCCTCATTATCCCCCCTGTTCAATACCGACCGCCGCTCCCTAACCCAACTCCCAGCAGGCACTGGTGCTTCTGTTGGGGTGCAAGTCTTAAGTCGACTTGATCACAGAGCTGCTCCTGTGTGGAAGCTGGACGAGGTGTTTGCATGTGTGGGATGTGGAATGACCCAGCTCTCTGCCTGGGCCAGCCCCGCCGATCATTGTCATACAGCTGAAGAAAAGGTGTTTCCCTCAAGCCTGGACCCTAGATCCCGTGGCTGCAACTCCTGGGCACAGTTAGTGGTTGGGAAGGGGTGCTGAGCAGAGCCATGAGCACACAGCCTGGTCCTCTGTGTGCCATGAGGACCACGCACAGAGTAGCGGCCAGGGGACATGGCTGCCCGGGGCCCGCAGGGAGGACGCGCAGGTGGCGCTCTGTTTGGCTGGCATTTCCGAGTGGCAGAATGAGTGCAGTTTTCAGTACTGCCGATGACTGACTTCATGGAATCGAGGTGGTCGTCTTCGTTTTAAAGGAATGGAGAGACGTGAAACTCAGATGGAGCCCCGAGGACTACGGCGGGATAAGGGTCATACGTGTCCCTTCGGACTCTCTCTGGACCCCAGACATCGTTTTGTTTGATAAGTAAGTTATATTCCAAATGCCATTTACACTTGTATTTCTATTAGGAACGGGTCATGTTTTCTTCCTTTTGAAAATTGTGTAGTTATAAAGTCAAGCAACTTGATCTCACCTTCTTTGGTTTCAAATAGGTTCTGTGATACTCTCGTGTGTGTGTGTGTGTGAATTGTTTTCTGATTGTGAAAATGTTCCCTGATTTCTAAAATCTGTAAAACATTTGGGAAGTCCAGAAAGGTGTGAGGAAGTAGGGGGATCACCGGCGCTTAGCCCTTAATCCGGCACTTGGAGGAGCCCCACGTGAGCTCACTCCACCTGGCTGGGCACTCAGGCCATGTGCTGGGTCTGTTCATCTCTCAGTGACCTCCCGAGCTGGGCACAGTCACGTCTCGGACAGAGGAAGACAGAGGCCCAGGCCATTGTAGACCTTGTCTGAGATCACACGGCCTGAGTGTGGCAGGGTGCGGGTCTCCTGAGGAGGTCTGACAGCCCCGTTACCCTCTTATTTGCAAGTCTACGTATTTGGCAGACTGCCTTCCAGATTATTTTAATCCTCACTCAGGAATACTTTTCTACTGATTTTTCTTTTTTTAGGTAGAATGGGAGGGAGAGAGGTAGAGAGAGATTGATTGGTTGCCTCCGCACGACCCTGACTAGGGCCAGGGATGAAACCTGCAACCCAGGTACGTGCCCTTGACCAGAAATTGAACCTGTGACTCTTTGGTCTGTGGGCTGACACTCTAACCAGTGAGCAAACAGGCCAGGGCAAGTCACATGAATTTTAAGACACAGAATAATATTTCAAAGAAAGCCTATGTCGGTGGGCAGTTCCTACTCATTTCTCGGGAATACGAGCTCACCGGGAGGGAGAGCCTGGAGGCACCACCGTCTGTGGGCGCTGTGCCCGCCTGGCTCATCCTGTTTCCCTGTGCACACACGAGCGTGGGTGTTGGTGATGGAGGGAGGTTCTGGCTCTACACGTCGTCGTACAAATCAGCTTCATGACCTGTGTGTGTAAAGTGAAATCTTTTCAGCCACGAAAATGGCAGGATTCTGTCAAACATAGGTGTGTGGGTCCCAACTCGAGACGAAAGGTGTCCAATCGAGCGGTCAGGTATGAAGATGCCCTTGGAGCAGCCCCATCTCACGTGTAATCATTTGAACGGCATGTCACGCCATGGCCTGGGCTCTCAAATGTCAGGCTTAGCGAGCACCCGCGTGGGCTGCCTGCTTCCCACCTGAGGTTGTGCGTGTGTTTCAGCGCAGACGGGCGTTTCGAAGGGGCCAGCACGAAGACCGTGGTCCGGTACGACGGCACCGTCACGTGGACGCCACCCGCGAACTACAAAAGTTCCTGCACCATCGATGTCACGTTTTTCCCCTTTGACCTTCAGAACTGTTCCATGAAATTTGGTTCCTGGACCTACGACGGATCACAGGTCGACATAACCCTCGAGGACCAAGATGTGGACAAGAGAGATTTCTTCGATAACGGGGAGTGGGAAATTGTGAGTGCGGCTGGACGCAGAGGAAACAGGACTGACAGCTGCTGCTGGTACCCTTGCGTCACCTACTCCTTCGTGATTAAGCGTCTGCCTCTCTTCTACACCCTGTTCCTCATCGTCCCCTGTATCGGGCTCTCGTTTCTGACCGTTCTCGTCTTCTACCTGCCGTCACACGAAGGAGAGAAGATTTCTCTCTGCACCTCCGTGCTCGTGTCCTTGACGGTGTTCCTGCTGGTCATCGAGGAGATCATACCCTCGTCCTCCAAGGTGATTCCTCTGATTGGGGAGTACCTGGTGTTCACCATGATCTTCGTGACACTGTCCATCATGGTGACCGTCTTCGCCATCAACGTCCATCACCGTTCTCCCTCGACACACGACGCCATGGCTCCGTGGGTCCGCACGCTGTTCCTGCACAAGCTCCCCAGGCTGCTGTGCCTGCGCGACCACGCGGATGGAGCCCTGCCCCCAAAGGGGGCCGCCCAGGGCAGCGCGGGGCCCGAGTCCAGGAACACCCTGGAGGCTGCGCTCGACTCTATCCGGTACATCACGAGGCACGTCGCGAAGGAGAACGACGTCCGTGAGGTCTGTGGGCTGTCGTGTGACAAGTGCGGGTCACGACCTTCTAGACCAGGCGTAGATTGAGGGCAGACATGTCGACATAGGTCCCATACCAGCTCTTACTAAGCTCTGCTCCAGTCAAAGCATCCACAGCATGGGGTCACGACCTTCTAAACCAGGCGTAGATTGAGGGCAGACATGTCGACATACGTCCCGCACCAGCTCCTTACTAAGCTCTGCTCCAGTCAAAGCATCCACAGCGTGGGGCGCCTGCACCCATCCCACCTCCCCGTGTCCCCTCGGCATCTCGGGGGACTTTGGAGAAAACTTAGTGTCGTGCGCACTGTTCTGGTTTCTAGGGGATGACAGTCCTGCCCTGTGTGTGAGCCTCTGGTGCTCAGGCTGGTCCCAGCCTGCCCTCCCTTCAGGTCCCCTGCCAGCCGGCTCCCTGCTTAGGCACAAAACCAGGGAGGAGGTGAGCCCCCCGCTGGGGCCATCCTCCCGAGCCCAGGTCAACGTGGCTCTAGGTGCAAAAGCAGGCAAAGCTAGTTTGGCCTGAATTCAGTGTGTTACCTCTTAGAATAATTACTCAGTGTTAGGTTGTGTATTTAATGTGCGCCTTCCCTTTTGTTTTGCAACAGGTTGTTGAAGACTGGAAGTTCATAGCCCAGGTTCTTGACCGGCTGTTTCTTTGGACTTTCCTTCTGGTTTCTGTTGTTGGTTCTCTGGGGCTGTTTGTTCCTGTTATTTATAAATGGGCAGATATCATAGTTCCTGTTCAAATCGGAAACACAGATAAGTGATGCTTCCCTGAGGCTGTAGTAGGAACTTAGTTACAAGGCACATATACCTTATGGCACCTATAGAATTATGAAAACGCCAACTGTGTTTGAGATTTCATGTAAGCTTTAACCGATCAGCAGTTACTAATATCAGTTTATCTTAATAGATTTGCCTGTTAGAAAACTTTCTGCATGACTAAAATAATAACTGACTAAATAACGTTTGATCTTCTAAAAAATAGCAGCAAAATATTCTCTGACCTGTGCTAGTAAAAATCTAACGTTTGTATCCTGGCTAATACCCTGTAATTTGTAATAGTTTATAATCCACAGTGAAGCTCATGTGTTGGTGCTCTGGAAAATCCCTGTGTGTGAAGATGCTTCATACTCTCCTGCATGTGGTGAAGGACACACCTCGGTCATTCTGTCCCGTGTTCACTGGGCAACAGCGAGCCTGGTACAACAGCAAACTGCCGTCCTCGATAAGCTGACCACTTCGTGTGATGAGGACTGAATTCGGTGGCGATTTTCTATAACCAACACTTAAAGAATATGAAAAATGGGTGTTGGGAACTTGTTAAGGCTTACTTCATTCTTTCGATGCTTAAACTGAACAATTATGATGTTATTTTTATCACTTACCTTCCACTGTGAAATCACAGCAAACAACTCCTGTGGACAAGGAGTAGCATCAGTCTCCACCCCTCGTCCACATTTTCTACAGGTAATAGAACCATCTTCTGTGTGCGTTGTGGCAGCATCTCTTCCTCCTCGATCTCAGAGTCCGTGACAATTCAGTGAATCCCATTTCAAAAACATGCCGATGGGTAGCACTGAATTGTTCTGTGAGAAAACCACCTTCCAAAGGTAAAGGCGTCAGACTGTTTGGTATGAGCACATACTACCCTTAGTGTACCTGCAATGTGTCAGTTTTCTCTCTTCCGTTCCAGCATGCCCAGTACTCGAATCTCAGAGTTCCAGGGCCCTTAGACGTAACCCCGTCCTAGCCATTGCTCCTCACGCCTGTAGTGTCCTGCCACAGGTAAGCGAGTCACAGTTCCTCCCAAACATGCCTGGTCTGGCTGTGACCGGGAAGGAAGCCCTGGTAGAACCCTTGCCCTCGATCCAGAACTCTTAGCTCTTGAGAGAACCAACGCCTGATCGGGTTTCAGTGTGTAGCCATCGGCGCTCAAGGCCGGGCTCTCTGGGGGGTAGGAGGGCCCTGTCTAACCTGCGTTTCATTGCAGGCAGGTGTTTGATGCCGTTAATGAGTGCAAGTCAGGTTTGGTTCACTTAAATCACCTGTTAGCTATCTTCCCATGCGTACTTCCCTGACCCTCTGTCTCCATTACGTACCATTTTCATATATAAATAAATCTTAGAGAGCTCTTCCCTTTGAAACATGGCTCTCTGCGGGCTACAGTATGGTCTAATTGATTTTTGCGGAGGAAACACCGTTGTGATGACTAGTGAGCAGGTGGGAACGCCCCTGTGAACCTCGCCTGGGGCAGCGGGTTCTGGTTCAGCACTGGCCTGTGGGCTCTCTTCTTAGTGATTTGCCTACAGCAGTATTTTCAACTAGGGGCGAGTTTGCCCTCGGGGGCCCTGCAACAATGTGTGGATATGTTTTCGGTCGTCACAACGGCAAAGATGGCATGTCATTGGCATCTAGTGGTCAGAGGGCAGTGTGCACACAAGGTCCTGCCGTGCCCAGGACAGCACCCCCCACGGCACTGTTCTGCCTAACGGTCCCCTTGTAGACGCACGCCAGCAGGGGGCGTGCCGAGGCCGAGTTTCTCACAGTGCCGTTCTGAACTGTGCAGAGTAAATGGCTGAGGCCCTTTGCCACGGAGACACGCCTTCCGACTCCGGAAAACGGTGAAGAACAGAACAGGGAGCCGTGGCGAGACCCAGCAGTGCTGAAATGGCGTGAAACTTAGGGAGATTACGGTAAATCAGGAGAGCCACTGAGAAGTCTGCTGTGAGGCTGAACCAAGTAATTTTCACATTTCTGAACAGAGAGTTTTTCTGTCCAGTTGTTTCAACCACTAAGAAAAGGGAGACAGCCCTGGCCGGTTTGGCTCAGCGGTTAGAGCGTCGGCCTGCGGTCCGGAGAGACCCGGGTTCGGTTCCCGCTAAGGGCACGGACCTTGGTTGCAGTTTGTCCCCGGCCCTGGTTGGGTCGTGTGGGTGGCAGCCACTCGATGTGTCGCTTTCACGTCGATGTTTCTCTCTCTCTCTCTCCCTCTCTCCCTCCCGCTCTATCTGAACAAAATATCGAAAAGTGTCCTCGGGTGAGGATAAAAGAAAAAAAGAAAAAGGAGACAGTTTTCACATTCCGTCCACTTTCCATAATCTGTCATGGTGGAAGAACTATGCTCTGCCGTTTCTTTACCTTTCCAGAAAGGCTGGCTAAATACTCATGTATCCATGACACGTACTCGACATTTTTCTTACGTGAATCTTTTTTGACAAAAATCAAGACAACTGGATAGTCAGTAAACCTTGAAATGCCAAAAACAAAGGCAGTAGCTTCATAATACAGTGTGTTGCTATTAAGAAAGCATTAAAACGATGAAACAGAAGAAAACAGGACGAAAGCTGTGTGCCCTTGGGCTTGGCAGTGAAGCCCTGGACAGCACACAAAGCACAGGTGAAGAGAAAAATAGGCACGTTGGACTGCACGAAAATGTTAAAATTCTGTGCCTCGAAAGACACTGTCAACAGAGTAAAAAGGCAACACACAGAATGGAAGGAAATCTTTGCAAATTATATATTCTAATAAGGGGTTAATATCCAGAATATAGAGAGAAGGAAACTGTAACAACAGGAAAAAAAAAACAAAAAACAACCTGATTCAAAAATGGGCAAAGGACTTGAACAGACATTTCTCCAAAGAAGTACACAAATGGCCAATAAGCTCATTCAACATCACTGATCAGAGACATGCAAATCACAACTACAGTGAGGTGCCCGTCACACCCATCAGGATGGCTGCTATCAAAACCCAGAAACGTGTTGACAAGGACGTGAAGAATCGGGAACTCTAGTGCAGTCCTGCTGGGAATGTAGAGTGGAGAACAGTGTGGTGGTTCCTCAGAAAGTTGAAAACAGCGTTCCGGTCTGATCCAGCAGTTCCACTCCCTGGCATATACCCCAAAGAACCGAAAGCCGGGTCTCAAAGAGAGATTTGTGCACCCGTGTCCATAGTATCACTATTCACAATAGGACCAGGGCAACTCAAGTGTCCATCAATAGATGAATGAAGAGCAATATGTGTTCTCCACCGACAGTGGAATATTACTCAGCCTTAAAAAAGGGAAGGACATTCTGCCATGTACCACAGCACAGGTGAACCTTGAAGAAGTTATGCAAAGTGGAACAAGCCAGTCACAGAAAGACATGCTGCGTGATCCCACTTACATGAGGAGATTACAGAGCAGGCAAGCTGGGGACAAAGTGGATAGTGGTGCCAGGGTCACGGAGGGGAGCTAGGAGTGACTGTTGAATGGGTCCTGTAGAGCTTCAGTTTTACAAGCTGCAGAGTTATGGAGATGGATAGCAATGGGAATGTATTTAATGTCACTGAACTATGAATGTTAAAAGGGTTACAATGGTGATTTTATGTTAAGTTGTCTTATTACAATAAGAAAAGAGCCCCTCCCCAGCCAGTGTGCCTCGGGGCAGGTGAGGGCCCAGTGCTCAGGTGTCGTCCCTGGCCATCAGGGGCTGCAGAAACAACCCCGCCGTCCCTAGAACGCACACCAGGATGAAGACCCACAGGAAGATCCGGTCAATCACCATGGCAACGTACTTCCAGTCGTCTTGAATCTGAAAAACAAGAAAAGTCATGAAAGAGGAAACAACAGAACATGAAGGAGAAATGAGCGTGGACACATCGCCAATCCTGAGCACGCGGTAAGTGACCGCGGCAGAGACGGCCGTTCTCGCTGAAACGCCAGGACCCTTCTGTCCCCTGATGCCGCTTGAGGAACTGGACCATTCTCATGTTTCTCCCCAGGCACCACAGAAAATAGTGTAAAACGTGTTAAATCTGCTTTAAATCAGAAATGTCTTCCTGTGTATGCACCCACTTTTTCTAAGTTGATAGTTAGTAAAGCCAGTTGACTCCCCCCCGTGGAGGATTCTGGGCTTTCAAAGTGCTAGTTCTCAGCCAGCTTTAGATGTAGTTTCCTTCTGACTTCCAAACGTGATCAGCCTAGGGGACCAGTCCATCATTATCTCTCTTTCCCTCGCTGCCCCCCCCCCCTTCCCACTGACAGTGCCCCAATGACCACAAAGCATCTTCAGTGATAAGTCCAAATAGCATGCAGTTCTGCTCGGTTATAGGCCAGGCTTCATGGAAATCGGAAATAATTGAGGATGATGAAGTAAAAGGTGGAAGAAAGCAAGACTCATTGTGCATAATGTGGCTTCAGTCCAGGCTGCGGCAAGGAGGGGCTGTACAGTCGTCACACCCCAGACAGCTCAGAAAGCAAGGAAACTAATTGAATTGAGAAGAGAGAATGCACGAGTCCACTGATTTGGAAGAAATAATTGCATAGCAAAGAGGCAACCTGGAGGCAGTAATTTAATTAAGTGGCCGAAATGGGGCTGGGAGACAGGATCTATTCCCGCGATGAGTTTCCATCAATGTGCCCTCCTGATGACACCGAGGAGTCCAGGTAGAGCTGGGCACACGGCGCCTGCATGAGCCGCCCGAGTGCCTCAGGCCTGGGCGAGGGCGGGCAGGGGCAGGGGCAGGGCGACAGCCTTCTGTTGTTTTACCCTTACCCGAGGACATGTTTGCATTTATCTTCAGACAGAGCAGGAGGGAGAGAGGGAGGAAGAGAGAGAAACATCGATGTGAGAGAGACACATTGAGTGGCTGCCACCCCTACTACCCTAACCCCTAACTGGGGCAGGGGACAAACTGCAACCGAGGTACGTGCCCTTAGCAGGAACCGAACCCGGGCCTCTCCAGTCCGGGGGCCGACACTAACCACTGAGCCAAACCAGCCAGGGCTCCTGATCGACGCTTGGCCAGAGTGTTGGCAGCCCAGTGGCTGACTCAGGGCACTCTGTACTCAGGGGCTCTGTCGTCCCATTTCACAGATGAGAAGACAGGCTCAGAGAGGGAGGCGACATGTTCGAGGACATGTAACTGGTAATGGAGGAGCTGGTCTGAACCCAGGCTGCTACTCCAGTCTCATTTTTTAAAAACATTTTTATTCATTTTTTTAAGAGAGAGGAACTGAGAGAGAGAGAGAGAGAGAGAGAGAGAGACATTGATGTGAGAGGGAAACATTGATCAGCTGCCTCCTGCACACCCCCTACCAGGGATCAAGCCGGCACCCCTGGTATGTGCCCTGACTGGGAAGCAAACCTACAACCTTTCGGTGTATGGTTGACACTCCAACCTGTTGAGCTACACCAGCCAGGGCGGAGTCTTAATTTCTTAACCTCGCCCCACAGGAACCAATGTATGTTAGATGAGTGAGTGACGGGAACCCGTGTGTGTGTGTGTGTGTGTGTGTGTGTGATGTCAATGGAAACTGCATGATAATGTGTCCTTACCTCTTTGGCTTCATTCTGTGCTCTCATGTTTTCCGCGATGTACTTGACACTCTGGATGGCCTCTTTGATTTCCGGCGACAGCGCGGAAAGCGAGAGCACGGCGTCCACAGATTCCGTGCTGGAGCTCCGCGTGAGGTTGGCGGTGAAGTTCGAGATTTTCCGCCTGCGGTGGTGGCAGTGGCCGCACAGCCCGTCCTGGCAGGGGTGGCCGTCCTGGCCGCCCTTGGACCCCGTGTGGCTGGAGCAGTTCAGGAGGGAGGGCTCGGCGCTGTGGAGGGGCCTGGGCTTCGGGGCGCTGTCCTCGTTGCTGGCCGGCCGGGTCATGAACATGACCCTGGGAAGCAGGTTCAGGAACACGGTCTTCACCCAGGTGGGCATCGTGTGCGTGGTGGGGGTTCTGTAGTGCACATTGAGCACGAAGACTGTGATGACGATGGACAAGGTGACGAAGATCATGGTGAACAGGAGGTACTCGCCGATCAGGGGGATGACCAGCGAGGTGGACGGGATGGTCTCGGTGATCACCAGGAGGAAGACGGTCAGGGAGAGCAGCACAGAGATGCAGAGGGTCACCTTCTCGCCGCAGTCGGAGGGCAGGTAGAAGACGAGCACGGTGAGGAAGGAGATGAGCAGACAGGGGATGATGAGGTTGATGGTGTAGAAGAGCGGCAGGCGGCGGATGTACAGCGAGTAGGTGATGTCGGGGTAGATCTCCTCGCAGCAGTTGTACTTGATGTCGTGCTTGTAGCCGGGGGCGCGGATGATGGCCCACTCGCCGCTCTCCCAGTAGTCCTTGAGGTTCATGGAGGAGCCGATGAGCACCAGGTCGATTTTCGCCTTGTCGTAGGACCAGGACCCGAACTTCATGGTGCAGTTCTGGTAATCGAACGGGAAGTAAGTCACGTCGATCTTGCACGAGCTCTTAAAGATCGCGGGAGGGATCCAGGTCACCTCGCCCGTGTGCTTGAGCAGAGCCTTGGTCCTGTCGTCCACCTGGAAATCCCCGACTGCGCTGCGGAGACAGGAGGCGTGGCCTGGTCACACACAGCGAGGTCACAGTGGGCCACGCTGGCCCCGGCTGTGCAGCTCCAGGGCTCAGGCTGCTGGGAGGGTCACCGCTCAGCCACCCTTACCCGGACACTGAGGCCCAGGGCCCCCCGCAGTCTGACACGCATCACCCCTGGAGGGAGTCCCTGGTGCACCCCACACACATGACGCCTGATGTACTGAGACACCCCAAGCGCCAGATGGTTTTCCCTTTAAGAATGGAAACGGGACGGAAGTTGTCCTGCAGCCACGAAGCAGGGTCGAGCTGCTGTGAGATCGTGTGGCCCTTTGCAAAGCCCTCTGGTCTAATCCCCCCCTTTTACTGAAGAGGAAGCCGAAGCCCGGGGAACAGGGCTGAGCTGCCCGGGGTCCCATGGAGGGCTTGTGGCCTCCACCAACTGGAACGGGCCCCCAAGCCGGGACTGGAATACCCACACACGCTCAAAGGTCAAGGGAAGTCAGCTCATCTCACCGACTCACGTTTCTGCTATCTTCCAGGGACCCTGGTCACCCCGGCTGTCTGCCCGGACCAGGAGGCCTGTCCGCTGACCGAGGCAGCTGTCTCCCACCAGGAGACAAGAGGAAGACCTAGCCGGGGCACTGCACTGGCCACACAGTGGGCACTTGGTGAGCATTTGTTGACTGAATGAACAACCGGAAAACAGTGAAGATGTCACACCCAGGGCGACCAAGAGATGGCTGGCAGTGGAGGGGGGGGGGGCGCTGAGCCAGAGTGTTGCTGAACCATGTGAGCTGACTGGGAAAAGGACAGGCAGGCTGGCTGCCAACGACGGGCCGAGGCACGGCCTTAGCAGCAGGACGGGCAGAGAGCATCCGTGCAGAGCGTGGGGAGTGGTGGAGAAAGCAGGAGGGCGACAGTGTGAATCCCTCCAAATGCCCTCGCAATATGGGGCGCCTGGGACAGCAGAGGGAAATACCTACGGACCACATGGTCAGCGATGGTCACAGGGAACCCGGGAACCTCAGAATGTGAGTGTGTGGGTTTGAAGCAGCAACAGCAGCAGGACCTGCGAGGGAGCACCTGGGGTCAGCTGCTGCTGGGAGCCACCCAGGGCGGAGAGAGGGGAGTTCTCGGGTCCCAAGAGCCCCAGAGGGAACTCATCTGCCCTCAACCCACAGGACCCCCCCACACATCGAATCTTCAGCAAGGGAGATGGAGAGGGCTCCAGTTTCCAGTTTGGGGGGGTCACAAAGAGGTGGTGGGAACCACTGAGGGGCTGCAGAGGAGCCCGTCGGGGCTGGCGTGGGCTCTCAAGAGGCTCGCTTGGAAATGCCTCCCGGAAGGACAGAGATGCACCCAGAAAAGGCTGCTTAGGGTAAGATCCAAACTGAGCGGGTTGGGAAGCTGGGGTGAGAAGAGAAGAAAGACGGGTGGGAGGGGCCTCCTCAGTGCTTCTGGGTAACTGAGCGGGAGCCCAGGCAGGTGGAAACGAGGCCCACCCTCAGCTACCCCCCCAACTGTCCTGAGAAGCACAGCGAAGGCGTCTGTGTGAACGAGAGCAGCAGGGAGGGTTGATCAAGCGCATGTCAGTGCAGGAGAAGAACATGCAGGTAGGTCAGTGCACACCACAGGCTGGAAACTAAGCGTGGATTTCAGAAAACAGGACTATAGGAGGAACTTTGGCACGAGAAGGTAACCGGTGTTTCTAGTGTTGAAGAGAAACCCTCAACAGGGGACCGATCCTGAGAAGCTGACATTCTGACTGAGGCGAGTTGGAGGATTCTCCCAATGTTTCCATCCTCGGTTCTGAGGAAGTTACTTAGACCTTTGAAGCACTTCACCGTGTCTCAGTGTCGTCACAGGCATGCACCCCAGAGCCCGCCGTTCACCCTGCTCTCCAGGAAGAACACTATCATATTGAAAGCGTAAGATTAGAATTTGTGCCCGTGCTCCTACTTCTAGCTTAGCAGAACTTGTATTTTTTTAAAAAAAAATTTTTCTTTATTGATTTTAGAGAGAGAGGAAGAGAGAGAGGGATAGAAACATCGATGAGAGAACATCAACTGGCTGCCTCCCGCATGCCCCCCACTGGGGATCGGGCCCACAACCTGGGCATGTGTCCTGACCGGGAATCGAACCTGCGACTTCTTGGTGCAGGGCCAATGCTCAACCACAGTGGCAGGCTTATCTAACACCCTGCTGCTCCCTGAGAGCCTGGACAGGAGATGTCCAGGACAGCCGGTCCACACACCAGCCGCATTAACCACATGTCCCGTTCTCTAAGGACCAATTTGCAAACACATTGTGTGGACACACCATGCAATTCTGAATACTGGACTTTCTTGGGAAAGCAGCAAATAAAACCACCTCTGGAGAGGCTAGAGATCCCCTCTTAGACCCTGACCAGGCGGTGGGATTCTCCGGTCCTCCTACTGATGGTGACATGCGTGTTTGTGCTGACACAACGTAAACCTAATGGACTGCTCTCCTTCACTGAAATCAGACGGGACTGACTGCATGAAGTGTTTGCTCGCTGGTGAGAACGTGGTCACTACAGACGGAAGCACAGGTGTAAAAGAACGTTCTCCCACCGCATGAAGGAGCGAGCGCACACTGTCAAATGCCAGCTACAATGTAGGTCTGCCAAATAACAGCCAAGAGTGGGGAGTGTCTGCCTCTCAGGAGAGAGGTGCCATGATGCGCAGGCTCAGGGCAGAGGAGGAGCCTGGGGGGGGGGGCTTCCGGAAGCCGGTGTGGTGGGCAGGGCAGGGCTGCCTCGCCAGGTGAGCCGAACAATGCCACCTTCTGAGGTCTAGCTCACCGGGCCACTGGGACCTGACTTACAGGAAAGGCCAGTCCTGGGAAGGGCTGTGGGGGCCGTGGATGTCCCCCCACCCACGCATTCCCCTTCTGTGCCTTTGCTCCTGTCTGCAGTGCACACTTGGGTGTCTGACCCAGGCCATGTTCCCTGCTGCACGGTCACCTGGAGGCAGGGGCGGGCCTGTTCTGGGCACACTGCGTCCAGCAGCTAGAGGGCAGCAGGCGCTCAGTGAACTCCCACGGGATGAGCCCGGAAGGGAGCCCTGTTGGAGAGGGTCGGGGAGGCCTGGCCAGGCCCTTACTTGTTGTAGAGCACAATGTCAGGCTTCCAGATCTTCTGTGCGGGCACACGCAGGAACTCCGCCCCGTCGTAGTCAGAGGGGTTCCACTTCAGCTTGTAGTCGTTCCAGATCTGGGGGGAGGAGGCCGCCGAAGACCAGCCTGGTTTTACCTCTCATGACACACCTGTCGCGGTGAACTCCCCACCTCGGCCCCATGTCATGGAGCCCCCTCTGCTGCAGACACGTGGGCCACGGTCTCGTGTGGGTGCTCGTGGGGAGGGCGGTGGGCTGTGCAGGGCAGCCCATCATCCACCCCGTAGGGGCCACCAGTGCTCCCACGCCCGTGCTGTGTGCACCCCTGGAATGGCTCTCGGGAGCCCTCACACATCCCCCACCAAGCCCCAGATGGTGCAAATCACACACAGAGCCCTCTTCCGCCTCCAGGTCGGATGGGTCAGCCTCTGAAGGGTTTTGGGAAAGGATCCAGGATCCCATCGGGGCCCAAGGTGTGTTGGTGCAGAGCTGGGAGCCTGAGCCCCTGAGGGAACGTGCCAGTGGGCACTGAGTGGGCACTGTGCTGCCTGGCTTTCCAGCTCCCTGGAGGGAGGCTCGAGAGCCTGGCTGGTGGACGGGTCACCTTCAGGCCAGTGAGTTATGTGTCCAGGCCTTGGTGGAGCCTCCCTGGGGAGGACATGTGGAGAACTATTTCTTTGGCCTCAATCTGAACAGGAAAACCTAGCGCCCCTGCCCCCACCCTACCAACAACGGCTACAGCATCTGACTCCAGCTTAACGATGAGCTTTGGCAAGAGGAAGGGAAGGAGGTAGTCTCATGCCCCCTCTAATGGTGGGGTCAGGGCTCCAGGCCCAGTTTGCCCATTTTATTCTGTGACCGTGGAGAAGGCTCCTCTCTCCAAGCTGCAGTTTGTCATCTGTGACTTGAGGGACCAGGCCTGCAGTCCTCCCGGGGAACCTTGGGACCCAAGCCCAAGAACAGACAGACTAGCAGGTCAACGGACCCCAGCCAGTGTGGATCTACAGAAAGGAAGGCCCAGCTTAGGGTTTGGGTCCTTCTTGCTTCACCGACAGCAAGTACAGCAGTCACCAGCAGGGGGCAGCAGCGCCCAGGGCCTGGTCACTTACTTGCTTCAGCCACAGGTTGGTCTCCATGATCTGGTTCACTTCATCCTGGAAGGGAGATTGAAGTAGATGCATGAAGCACCGCACACGGCTGGGAGTCCCTCCCAGAGGCCCGCACCCCTGGCTTAGGGCCGCGGCACTCACCACCTTCACCAGCTGAGACATGGACACCTCAAACTGGATGATGACAGGGTCAGACACGTTGGCCACAGGCCGGATGATCTCATTGTAATCTTCAAACAGCCGCTCAAATAGCCGGTGCTCGGCCTCGGAGCCTCTGGCCACTGAGGAGAGGGCCCTGTTAGACCCTTTCCCCTCGCCCACGACAGCCTCCTCTCCACCCAGAGAGGGGACTCTGGGACTCCAGGCTTTCAGACTGGTTTTGCTACTTCAAGTTACAGATTGGGAAACTGAGGCCCAGGACCATAGGGCTACCCTCAGGTCACACATTCAGTGAGAAGCACAGTGGGTACAAGCCTGGGTACTGAGTTTGGAGAGATCTGGTGCAAATGCTGACAAATTACTTGTAAGCTGTGTGAGCTCAGGCAAGTGGCTCACCCTCTCTGAACCTGTTGATCTGTGCAAACAGTATATCCAGTACCCACGTCACAGGGTTGCTGTGGGTGAGGGGCTCAGCTCAGCACTAGCATATGGCCAGAGCTCAGGAACTTTCTTCACTGTTACCTCGGGGCAGGTGGGTAGTCTACGTAGGTACAGCCACTCACTGCTTCCATGACGGAGATGACCAGGAGATGACCAGTCTTTCCGGGGGCAGGGCCACCCAGGAACTGGTGTTTTGCCTCCCAGCAGGAGACTGCAGCTTAGGTCTGGGGCTCCACCCCACCCAGGGCCCTGGCAGGGTTTGGCCACCAGCCCTCTTAGAAGCTGGGCGCCTACATGACTCCGCTGACCTCACACTGACCCACGGCTGGGCTCGATGCTGTCTTCACATCCATCAGAAACCCTAACCTCTGAAACCCAGGCATCTTGCGTCAGCTGTCTGCTCCTTCTCGCTCGCAATTTGGGGAGGGGAGGAGGGGAATCTCCGGTGAAGTCCCAGCTTCTCCAGGTCTTGAGATGGGATGGTGCCTGCTCCATCCCCACCCCCACCCCCACCCCCGTCAAGGAGGGGTACGGGCCGGAGCTTCCGCGAGTGCAAAGCCCTCTGAGTGGTGGGGGGCTCAGCACGAAGGTGCAGAAGCGGTCCCGTGCGCGCAGCCACGGTGCGCTGTCCCAGCAGGTCCCGCTGCGACCCTGCGACACCGCCGCCCAGCCAGGCCAGGGGTCAGCAGGATCGGGGCCCCGCTCCCTGACCGGGCGGACCGGGGCGCGCTCTGCATGAGTGTCGAGGCGACGGGAGGGGAGGCGGGCGCGCACGGCGGGCCTCTTCTCAGGGCGCCTTCAAGTCTTTGCCTCGCTGGCCTCAGTTTCCCCAGGTACACGTACAAGAGTGCGTGTGGGGGATGAGACCGTGGAGCCGACGCCCTGGACACGCCGGGCAGGCTCGGGGCGGAGGCCTCAGCGGGCATGCGCCGCAAGGAAGCGGGCGCCCCACCCAGCCCACCGCCGGCCCCAGGGGGTGCGCGCGGGTCCGACCCCGGCTCCGGGCCCGCGTCCGCCCTCGGGGCCGCCGTCCCTCGGCCCCGGCCCGCGCGTACCTGGCAGCAGGAGCAGCAGCAGCAGAAGTGGGGGCGCCCGGTGCGAGGGAGCGCCCATGGCCGTGCGGCCGGCTGCCCGGAGACCCGAGCGATCGGGAGCGGATGTGTGGCCGAGGCGGACCCGGCTCGTGGGCCCACGGCCACTCGGACACACCCCGGGCGGAGGACGCGGGTCTCGGCTCTTCCCGGGTTCCCACCAACCCCGCCCGCGCGCCTCGCGAGTCTGGGCGGGCGCGGGGCGCTCGGGGGACGGCGCTGGGTCTGGTGCGGGGCTGTGCCCGCGCCGGCCAATCGGAGGAGGGCTGGCTGTGCGGCCGCGGCCGGCTCCGCCCCCCGCCCCCCGCCCCCCGCGGGCTGCGCCTCGGAGCGGAGCGCACGTGGGCTTCCGTGGGCCCGCGTGGCACGCGGGTTCGTGCTCGGGTTGCGGGTCCACCTGAGCGCCTCTGACACCCCCAGAACGAGGCCTCGAGACTTTGACGCGATTGAGTAAGTGTGAAATGTTTCAGGGGCGATCGTGGTGTTTGCGGCTTGAGTCCCCGCGGTGTGGGTGGAGGCGGATTGGCGTCAGCTGAGACCGCGTCCCTCAGGCGGCTCAGCGCGGACTTTCGGGAGGTTTATGACACTTCGCCCCAGTGTTTGGAAGGGTTCTTACAATGTCAAACAAAAGAAAGGAAAAAGTGAGCGGTTAAGAGAGGGTCTCACAGCGGGCACTGCGCCCCCAGCCCCCTGCAGACCCTCCTCTGCACAGCACCCCATTGGCATCTCGGGGAACCTCCGGAACCGCAGTGACCAGGCTACCCTGGGGCCCCTTGGCCTCTCCGACCGCCCACCAGGGGAAGTAGGGGCCTCAAGGCTTCCTTGGGGTTACTTCATTACAGGGCAGGTGAGTCGCCTTTATTATTCCAAGAATGGGCCTCCCACCCAATTAAAACCAGATCAAAAAAGACGTTTTGCAGGACCCAGAAAATGTAAGAATTCGGGCCTTGCCCTGCCGGTGTGGCTCAATGGTTGAGCGTCGACCCATGACCAGGAGGTCGCAGGTCTGATTCCCAGTCAGGGCACATGCCCAGGTTGTGGGCCCAACCCCCAGTGGGGGCCATGCAGGAGGCAGGCAATTAATGTTCTCTCTCATTGATGTTTCTACCTCTCCCCGTCTCCCTTCCTCTCTCTCTAAAATCAATAAAGAAAAAAAAGAAAGAATTCAGCCCTACCTCTCAGGTCTCCAGTTAGCCCATTCTCATTCTCCTGGCAAAAAGCCCTTAATTTGGAAAGTGCTGCAAATCTCATATCCTAGGGAGGACTTGTATCCAGAAGATACAGAGAACCCTCAAAACTTGAAAAAAGGATAGGTAGGTGTGAGGGGCCTTATTGGAGTGATGCACACATCCCAGAACTGGACTGTGGTGATACACTTACTAAAAACCCTTGACTCGTCCACCAAAAATGGGAGAATTTTATAATATGTAACTTTCACCTCAGTAGAACTGTTTGTAACTTGCTCAACAATAAGCCAACTAAAACCCAATTTTTAAAATGAGCAAAAGCATCAAACAGATATTTCACCAAAGAGGATATACAGAAGGCAAAAAAAATCACACGAACAAGATGTCCATCATTAGCCACTAGGGAAAAGCAAATTAAAACCAGGATGAGCTACCCTTTCACATCCACCGCTTCGGCTCAAGTACAAGTACAGCCAATCCCAAGTGCAGACGAGGAGGCAGAGCAGCTGTAGTTCTGCTCTGTGGGAGTGATGGCGCAGCCCCTCCAGAAGACAGTTTGGCAGCCTTACGTAAGTTAGACACACACTCCCCCTGTAATCTCACTCCTGAGCATTTTCCTGGAGAAATGAGAACTCCTGTTCACATAGCAGCTCTATTCCTGATTGCCCCAAACTGGTAACAGCCTAAGTGCGTTCAGCACCCACTGGACAGACTACTGCTTGGCAAGACAAATGGACACAGTCTACAGTGTTGGTAACCTCAACGGCTTGGATGGGTCTCAAAGGCAGGATATGAATGAGCCAAGCTGCTCTCCAAAGCTTTTGTGCTGGCTGATTACTGTGTGTAGCGTCGGACAGACTGAGCTCCAGTGATGGAGAAAGAGGCGTGGTTGCTGGGTGCGGAAGTGGGCAGGACAGGGAATTCCTTGGGGTAATGGAGCCCATACATTCTGATTACATGAACTTATACATGTGTTACCTGTATTTTTCTGGCCAAGAGGAGCCTTTTTGTATAAACTTGCATAGTTTTAAAAATAGAATTTTTAACAAGTTGTCCTCCATTCCACAAAGATTGTGAGTCCCTACTGGGCTGAAGAGAGCAGGTGGCAGGGCCAGTCAGCACATCCGTGAGGGAGACACACCTGGACCCCACGATGATACGAGCAGAATGGCACCTGGGCTGTGGAGTGGAGGAGAAGGGGCCATTGCTTTCCTTGGGGATCCAGAGACGGCGGGAAGGAGGAACAGGAGCCATTCATTCATTCCACAAACATTTATTGTGCCGAGCTCTGTCCTGGGCCCCGGGGACACGGCACTGAACACAAAGGGCTGGTCCCTGCTCTCACGGAGTGCACACTCTAGTGGGTAGAGGGGGACCATAAACACACCAGCAAGTAAGAGCCGCAGGAACTGAGGAGGACTTGAGGAAGGTGGTGGGCACTGCATGGTGGGGCGGAGGCTTCAGGAAAGGTGGGCGCCCTGGGCTGGGCAGCGGCAGCAGGGGGGGCGCAGGCCCCGGGCTGGGAAGGACCCTGGAGTGCGTGAGGGACTGGAGAAGTCCTGGGCCTTGGGGACAAAGGGCAGTGGAGAGAGACGGTGCGAGGTGAGATGACAGGCACACAGTAGGCACTGCTGTTGTGCCGTCTGTATCCCAGTGCCGGGGAGAGGACTGGCCACGCCGAACTGCCGAAGCCCCTCCAGCTGGGTTCCTGGGAGGCCTCCCAGAGCTCTGTCCAGGCCCCCATCCATGCTCCTCCCACGCTGTGGCTGTTTGATGGGCTGGCGGTGATGGTGTCACATTCATTTAGGGCCTCATCCTCTGTGACCCAGGAGGAAACAGCAAACTGCCCACGTGGCCAGTGCACCATCTCACCCCACAGCCGGGCCCTGAGACATGCGGGCAGCCTAGGGCCCCCCGGGGGGCATGTGGTTCTGGAATAGGGGAGGCAGGAAGAGCCCCACAGTGCCCAGCACGCACACAACCACGAACACCCACAGGAACAGCCGGTCGACCACCATGGCCACGTACTTCCAGTCCTCCACGACCTGCGGGCAGACACAGGTGGTCACACAGGTGGTGCTGGGGTCCCCCCTGCTCCCCAAGTTGGGCCTCACTATCTTTCCAAGACCCCACAAGCCACTCAGAACACGGGGGGCCAGTTCTGCATGTGTGGCCGGCCCCCCCGCTGGCACATCTGTGCCCCTCAGGCTGACCCCCACCTGACCGCAGCACCACAGACCGCTGGGAACTCGGGCTGTATGGAGATTAGGAATGTGACTGGAGACCAGACCTGGGTACAAATTAGGGGCCGAGGCCTGAGCATCACAGGCCCTTCTCTTACTATCACCCAAACCTCCTGAGCTGGCTCCACCACAGGGGACTGAGCCCTTGTTGGGG